AAGGTCTTCTTTTCTTCTTCAGGGTTTGCAATTTTGAATGGCCCAATTTATTTGAATATCTCTTTTGTGCTGGGTTCCATATATTGATTTTATTGATAAAAGATTATTAATTTTGAATCTAATGGTGTAAATATCGCCTAAATGGAAATATTACCAATTTATGTGGATATTGATTCAGCTACCTCTGTAATTATTAATTTGTTAACACTTTTGATACATACCATTTATAATAATTCTTTTATTCAGTTGAACGCAATTCGTTAATGAAAACAATTTTCTGCATTGAAAACGGCGGTAAATAACATTGTAAACCAGACATTTTAACAATTTTGAATGTATAAATACTTAATATTCTGAATACAGAACAAAACATGGTATTGTTTTGTAAAATTTTAGCGAAAAACAACGAATTTAAATATAAATTCACAAAAAAAGTATTTATTAAGGTTATAAAATATTAATAAATTCAATACTTAGGTACTTAATTTTGATTAAAACGTGTAGCGAGATGCTTTTAAAAATCGTTTATAACCAGAGCCTAACTTTTAATTACTTAAAAGTTGGCGAAGAATTTAATCCCTTGGTACATTTTAACGACTAAAACTCTTTAAATATTACATAAAAAAATGTTCTAAGTCTTTTTTAAAATGCATAGAGGAGGTTATTAAAAAGATAAAATTAAATTAATTTTTGAATAACCACTACATTCATTAATCAATTTTTGCATTCGCTATAAATAAACGTTTTAAATTGATACTTAAATTAAAAGACCAATCACACAGTCGATTTACAACGAGTAGCTTTCGTTGCTTTTAAAACGTGCATTTCGCAAATGCGAAACGTCCTCGTTGCTGTTGTAGTCGATAATTTTTAACGGCCGGTCACAGCATGTGTTCAGAAACGGCTTTTGATCTCATTTTTCTTTGCCTGAACACATCTGCGATCGTATTCCCCTCGTCTGTCGAGACTAACGCCCCCGGGTTCGAAAGGGTTTACCACCAACAGAATCTTTTACCTTTGTCAAACTTCAAAACAAACCCGACTCGTCGCATTTCCTGTCGTTTACAGGAAACACCTTTCCTCGTACGTGCGTTTCCTCCATTATTACTGTTGTTGTTATCGTCATCCGAAGATATTTTATTTTTATTACCACTGTCAACAAATTAATAATACATTTTTTTTATTGCTTTTCCATTCAGTTTTAATCATAATTTTTAAATAGATCGATTTCATTGATCGAAGTCGTTGTCATCACTTAGCGACAACCAACAACATCAATTTCTTCTCGGGAGAAGACGGGAGAAACATTCTTTTATTTTCCTACCGTTCTTCTTCTTCTTCGAGAGTTAGTATGTGAAACTTGAAACTAAAACTTGAAACTCTCGGATTTTTCTTAATGCTTACGACTGCGTCTGCTTTCACAGATTCTTCTTGGTTTACTTTATACTTGAAGCGATATAAAAAACGATTTCAGTATGTCAAGATAAGGATTAGAAAGAAGTTGCGGCGCTAAAGATTTTTTTCTTTTTCTCTTAATTGATTCGTTGGTTATTTCATTCTCGTTATCGTTTCGGCGAAATAAACAAATCGCTGTTATAAACAAATAACGGCGGCTGGTGAATTTTGATTACAAAAGTACTCTCTTGCGCAACGCCGCAAACATTTTTAATTTGCCTCTGGATTGGTGACAATCTCTGTTGAAATTGTTAAGTGCTGATTTCACTCGCGAAATATATTTTGCTGAAAACAAATAAATCTTATTTTTGAAAGTGTACACGGTTTAAATGTTTTGAAGTAATTATTTTTAACGTTTTGATAACTTATAACCTTTAATATAAATCCCATTCATTTTAGGTTTCTTTATTGACGTTATTTATACCACAATGAAAATAAATTAAATAACTTTGTTTATTATTATAGCGATTTTTACAAAAATCATTTGTTTACTACAGGATTTAATCATTTCCAACAATTAAATTTAAATCATTAACACCCTTTTAAGTACTTATTTAGTGTTTCTTTGTTTATGGTTCTAACTTTTTATTGGTTTCAACTTCAACAGTGAATGCAGTGTTAAAAAAAGTTAACGCTTTCTTTCTATTCTCATAAATAATCTACAAATTGTAACAAAACAATAAATTATAATTAGCATGACAAAACTTACATCTATTCAATTTATCAGTAACCGTTTTAGAGAATATAATTGGATGTGATCACTTCAGAAATAAGAGAAAGTTCTCTTTTGGTTGTTCTCAAGTTCTCAATCATTACGTATTCTTCATCCTACATGCTAAAGACCGCTCGATTTTCTTGACAAAGATTTATGGAAATCTCCTACACTCGTTCTTCTTAAAATGGTTAAACGAATGTCTAGTAAAACTAAGCAAATGTGGATTTTAGAATAATCCAAGATATAAACAAATACTAAAATTATTCTTGTTTTAAATAAATAAGTCGTTTAAATGCAAGTAATGTGCTGATGAGGTGCCTACCAAAAATAGAAACATAAGGTTCACCGATGATACGAAACATACATAAATATCGACACAATGATATTTTTCGAAGAAGTATACATGAGTTCAACACGTCACGTTTATCATAATATCAGAGGACAGAATGTAACACGTACGTTATCGGGACTTTACATTCATAGATTATGCAAAATAGGATCGTACCGTTTCGATTTACATGGATACGGACCAAGTTTGTATGATTTCTGTATCATTTCCTGTCACGATGTACTATCTAAAGATATATGTAACTACAAACAACCGTTACTATCAAATAATTTTGAGAATCTACATATCCCTCACTAATAATTTAAAGAAAACATTAATATGGCTTTTGATAATTTGCAAGAAGAGATTGAAATGACTACATCTTCATGTTAACTTTATTCATTGCACTCTATTTTAAAATAATTGAACCCTCAGTTTGTAAATCGATTTATTAGGGTCTTGACACGTACAGCATTTTTAGTGAAGCGATGTGGCGCTGGGACATTCAACACATGTCTTTTCAAATAAAACAAGAATACAAAGTGGAAAGTCACCTTGAAAATCGGGTACTTTTTTTCCTATCTCATGATAAAAGTGTACTCGATATAAAAGTAAAAAGAAATTTTCAAATTTTATTTACTACCATTTGTCTATTTTTAGACAATCGTTACAAAATTTCAGTTGGTATTAGACAAGACTGATTTCTAGGAGAAATAACTTAAAAATGTCAATGCAAAACGCTCAATGTTGTATATCTGCAACAAAACAAACTCGAAAGATTTCCTTTGACCTTTTGTGATCACATCATTTTACATAAATGCCGTGAAAATATTTATATTCCATTATATGGTTTCTATTTTTGCGTTCATGTTTCACTTTAGTTGCTAATTGAATTTCTCAGAATGTGACATATGAGGAAGTTGCAATATGTCAAATGGTTCATTGCTTATGTGCAATTATGTACATACAGAGTGATACAATAAAGTCTACATACACCCCAGAAAATAATAATACCTCAGCTCCTGAAACGTATTCTAATTCTAGGTCTTGTGTTAGCTCTAGTGATAGTACTAGTGTAAAACTAGAACTTACACTAGACCTAGAACTAGAAACATTCGGATTTAGCCGCACGTCTTTCAAGGCTGCTAAACCCGAATTATTCTAGTTCTAGGTCTTGTGTTAGTTTCAGTGATAGTGCAAAACTAGAACTAAAACTAGACGTAGAACTAGAAACATTCGGGTTTAGCCGCACGTCTCTCAAGACGGCTAAACCCGAATTATTCTAGTTCTAGGTCTTGTGTTAGTTCTAGTGATAGTGCTAGTGTAAAACTAGAACTAACCATAGAACTAGATACTTTCTAGTTCTAGATCTAGTGTTCGTTCTAGTTTTAGTTCAATAAAAATATGCAACATAATGATATCTTATGCCAACTACGCTTCTTACCACTGTTTCTAGAACTAACATTACACCTAAAAGTAGAAACATTCAGGTTTAGGCGTTTTAAGAGACGCACTGTTAAACGGAATGTTTTTAGTTCTAAGTCTAGTGTTAGTCTAGTTTTATTTGTTATTCAGCGCTAGATAGTTGTATATTTTTATTGAGCTATAACGGACACTGATAGAGTTGTTGTTAGGACTGCATGTAGACTTTTTTGAGTTAAAGATATGATTATGTTTTGTGTTCCCCTTGATTAATAATAACTTACTTATTTAGTTTTTATGTAAAATATGGAAATAATATGAAATTCTTACATGTTTTGATAAAAAATTTCATCGAATTACATTTCGGGAGCTGAGATATTATCATTTTTCGGGCTGTATGTAGATTTTATTGTATCACTGTAGCACTCTTTTCTATGAACTTTGACAATTTAGTTTATTTGCTGGTTTTAGGAAATTTGCTGATTGGCACTTGGACTACTTTTTTACGGTATGTTGCATATAAACACTATTAATTCTAATCTTGCTTTGAGCACAAAAACATTTTGCACCGAGAGAACTCTTAATGAGGTCAGGTCGAATAGATTTTTACTACACACAACAAGGTCCTTTCATTTTACATAAGTTACCAAGAAATATGTATCCTTATTCATTTTTTTTTAAATTGATGGGCGTTGTTTTATTGCTCTTAAGACCCATCATATTAGACACACACTAATAATGTAATATCCAGTAAACCGAAATAACTGTTCTAATTTTTATAGTCATCCAACAATACTTTTGTTGTCAAAAATGTGCATCTAATTAAACGATTTCGTTTTCTTCCCAATTTCTTCTTTCTTTACAACTTATATGACATATAGATAGAACAGAATCAAAACATAAATTTCACATTTTAATGTTTTTAAATAATTTTGGGTGGTTCACTGACAACTTAGAAACCATGTAGATATTGAAATAAGTCTCTTATGAGATGTCAAAAAAAGTGTCAATTTTAAGTATTCATTAAAATTAGTATTTTTATTAACAAAATTTTAGTTAAGTAAAAAGAAGAGTATGAAAATGTTAGCTTCTTGTGGTAAAGAAGTAAAAATACACGAATGGCCTGATGGGGTTTTAGTTGGTGGAGTGTCGTCGATTAACGGAGTGACCTTCAAGGGTCTGTCTTGGTCTCACTCCGGAAGTAACCTGCTCGCAGTGCCGTCCGGTCACAACCCCATTTTACTAAAGGAATGCGATAATAACGACGAAGCGAACGGCGATATCTTCTGGGCGGACAATTTAAAAGGCTTAAACGGGGGCATAGAATCCGGCATTTTTCCCAACACCGTTGAGAACTATTTAACGATCGGCCTGGTAACCGGACAAATTATAGCCTACGATATTTACGATCAATGCCCCGTCAAAAACTACGTGTGTCTTCCTGAACCCGTCGTTCTTTTAGATTACACCTACGATGATACTTTGTTGGCGGCCGCTTGTAGAAATGGTAAAATTTACTTTTACGACAGCAACGGAATCGTAAACACGTGCCTAAGCGTACCGCTCAGTAAATCTGTATCAACTATGATGTTCCACCCGACTTCGGATTCTTATTTACTAGCTGGAAGTAAAGAAGGGATATTGGCCGGATGGGATGTTAACACTGCAGCTATAAAATTTCAATGTCAAAATCACGAAAGGGATGTCGCTGATGTTTGTATGGCTACAGAAGATTTATTAATATCTGTTAGTTCAGATCAAAGAGTTTTATTTTACGATCTTCGTAGTCAAACAACTGTAAACACCGTTAATATTGGTATCGATTTGACATCTGTAGCATATTATGCGCCGAATGAAGACGTTCTTGTTGGAACATCGGAAGGAAGAATTTTGTGTTTCGATAAAAGACAACCATCGATAATAAAACATTCGTTTGATTCACAAAAAAATTCACCTGTAAAACATATTTCTTTCAATACACGAAAATGCGTATCAGAACCGAAATTTTCTGAACCAATTTATCCAGAAAACAAGATTGCAAATCAATCTTTAACAAGTATTTTTAAATTCGGAGATTTCATTAATAGCGACACATTTTTATCTAGAAAGGATGATGACTTATCAGCGGTAGAAAGTAAATTAATTCCCGATATCAATGAGCCTAGAAGCGAAACGATGCGAATAGGAGAAGGTAGTGGAGCTCCTTTTTATCAACTTATCGAAGAAAACTCTTTAAAAGCTCTTAAACAAGAGATTATTAACACTAATAAAGAAATTATAAAAAAATTCAAGGATGATATTTCGGATGAATTTTTTAAAATCCGAATGGAAGTAAGTCGGGAATTTTGTCATTTAGAGCGGATGCAAAACCAAAAGTGGCGAGAATTTCATAATAAATTATCAAAATTGGCTACGCACGAACGAAAAGAACACAAAACGATGTCTGAAAGTCAATTTTCTGAACTTACAGAAACTTTTAAATTTGATGGTACTAAATTGGACACATTAAAGGAAAACAGTATAAAAAAATTATAAATCAGAAAATATAATAAAATTTTAGTGGTGTATAAAGTTTTGTTTAATAATAAAATAATAAATTTTAATTAATTATAATAACTTATATTGTAGTTTTCTTATCACAATAACAAACGATATTGATTCGTGATCTAGTTCCTCGAATACATAACTCGACTTTTGTCTATTTATTTAACCTAGTTTCTTTGATTGGCTGTGCAACATGAAAATCATTCCTATCGTTGCGGTCTGGGCGATGAAAACGTTTATGGCGTAATTGACAGAATAAACAGACACAACCAGCGTGCAATATCAATCAACGGTCCAAAGATATCTAATCTATTTCCCTTGATGGGGAGCTTTAAACTGGTTATGTGTTTTAAATATAACTTAACGATTAGGCACAATAGAATGAAAAATTATCTTCATTCATTTACAATAAATAAATAATCAATATATAACTTCTACAATAATATCTTAAATAAGCAAGTAAATAGGTTTTAAAACAATATTTTTTTGTTATTCATTCAGATTATGTTTCCTGATTATAAATCGATTTTTAAACACTTTCTTTGTTTTGAAGAGTTGAAATTCGAAGTAATGCTGACTAAGCGTTCAAGTGTAAACCTTCTAATTGAATCATATCGAATATAACGGTCGAGGTATTCCATTTGGAGTATTTTCATATACATACAGACTTATTGACCGCAGTGAAAGGTTTAGACACTTTATTGTGGTTATTTGATATTTATTCGTGTCTGTGTATACCGAGTGGCACAAAAATTATCAATCAAATGAAATGTGACGTATTAGATTTACATAAATTATTTGAACGCACTGATTTAATATTCTTTTTATCGACTTTTCCTACTTTATGGACACACTGCATGTAGATATAAATAAAAAAGAGAATTTTATTGAAAATTTGGATTGGAGTTGAGTGCTTTTTAGCCAGATTGAATGAATCACTTGGCATTCTCCAAACAATAATGAGATTGCTAGAAATATGAGAATAGATTTTCTTTTTCTGAGGTGTTCAAAATCTTCTTGTTGATATTAACGGTTCATTCTCACTTTCTGCTTCTATCCATCATCACCATGTGATCTAGCTCATTCTTATCTTTATTCTCGTGATTTAAAACCTGCTACTACCTTGAATTTTTGAGGTTCGTACACGATAATCTTTCGAAAATACACATTATCACTGCCAATGGACTGGTTTTGCAAAACTCCCCTGTTTATGTACAGTAACAGATCACGTTTTAAACACTGGACCACATGGTGTACAATTTTGTTGTTTTTAGACTGTTTTCTAGGATTCCGGATATTTCAATCGGTTGTGACTCATGTGCTTACCACTCCTCACGAAAGGTTGAAGACAGATTCATGATGGCAAATATAGTTATTTAATTTATAAATAGAAATTTTATTTGTTTTGAGACCCCCATGTGATCTTGAGCCGGAGGGGTTAATTACAAGCACAATTTTTGGATGTCAATTGTTGTTCATATGTCCCACATGATTATGTCATTGTGTCTTCTGTTGCATTGATCTCAACATCTTCATCTCGGCCACTCATAACGTATATACAATTTCCTCAAGTCTTTCACTGGATCATGGGTGCTAGATATGTCTATGTCTAAACAGTTAAATTCTATGACATGTTCAATTGACTTATTGTCGGTCTTATCAACAAAAATAGCTATGTTGAGATTGTGACTTACTTGAGAGAAATGATACAGTTGTTGTTGTAAGTCATCTTGTGTTCCAAGTCGAAGAATCATCCAAGTATTGCTGCATCATCTGCATGCTACAACCATGCTAACTCTATTGGTGCCCATAAAGTACTCCACGTTTAACGATGTTACTTCCTCTATAATTTATCCATTAGGAGATTAAACAGAAACGGGCTAAGAATGTCTCCCTCTTTAATTGCTCCCATTGTGCCAAAATTATCTGTTGTTTCATTCCTTATTCTTACTTTAGTTGTGTTTTCGTATTCAACTCATGTATTATCTTTATTAAGTTAGCAGGCACATTCTTTTCTTTTAAGATATTTATGATGTCCACCAGACGAATATTGTCAAAAGCTTGGTAAGATCTACAAAGCAGATGAATGCAGGTTTGTCAAACTTAATGGACTGTTCATTTATCTGATTGATAATGAATACTACGTCGGTTACAGATCGACCTTTTCTGAATCCTTGTTGTTCTTCAGCTACATTAGGCTCTCTAGATTTTCTTTTGCGAGTATTGATGAATAATTTCATGGAAGTGTTTAAGATTGAGATTTACGTTATAATTCTCTGGACGCGTTCATGTCTTTGTTTAATATTCTAATTGTAATGCTGTTATGCCATTCCTTCTGGTACTTTTGAATAATGGGGAATTTTGTTAAACATTTCTGTCAATTTCTATACCAACTTGTGCCATCCCTACTACTCGCTGTTTATGTTATCACTTCCACAAGACTTTTTGTACTTTAATTTTGTAAGTTTAGCTTCAACATCTTCTTTAGAGATTATGGCGAAAGCATCGGTCATATATTCTCTAATAGCAGCTAGTTCTTCGGCTGAATAAAGTTCTTTAAAACACTTTTGCCAACTTTCTATTGGCACGGTTTTGGATTTCTCAAAATTGTCCACACCTTAGTTTACACTCCATACAAATTCTAAGTCATATCATACATAAATTTTATCCAAAATTCTCTTTGTACAACATTTTTATTTAAACGTTGTATAATCTAAAATAATCCATGATTTATATTTTACACGTTTTAACAAGTTTTGAAAGTTGTGATCCGAGAAAGTGGTCTAATCTTGTAAGATATTGTCTAGCACTTAAGGTATTTAGAGCATATTAAAGTTATCATCTCTAGCAAGATTCATGATATTTACTGTAAGTTATATTTTGCTTTATAATATGGTCGACTGAAAATCCGATTTTTCGAACGTTTTATTATAATGTATTTTCGATTAAACAAATTACTAAAAAAATAAAAAATTTTAATATTACATTTCAATGTTTATTATAAAACCAGAATAAAATTTCCAGCCACTGGATATAAACAAGTAAAGTCTGGAGTTTAAATATTTGATGTTCTGCAAACTTCACGGTTTACGTGAATCAAATAACAAATTCTCCCGAAATACAAACGTACACAACGAGAAAATACAGAAAGAGATAGAGACACGTTGACTACTATGGAATGAGTCGACGAGCGAGAGTAAGTTATTTATTTATAGTTTAGGGTCAAGAACTTCATGCACCCCGCGACCTCATCAAAAAGTTCACACAACCAGGGCATATAAACTGCTGCTGGTATATCAACGTGACGTAGACGTTATTGTCGATGTGTGAGACACAACCCAATGAAAATCAACCAAATGGCTCAATTGGCCCGCGTTCTCTATCCATCAGATTAAACTGTGTGCGGTGCCGTACGATATTTCTCCTAATGGAGGCAATTGCATAAAATGGATATAGAGAAATTTCAACATCTGGGACGCGTTTGTGCCGTGGGTGTGCATCTAGATATTCTCACTATGTATCGATTCTTATACGCCCTATAATTACGTCCAATCAGTTATGACAGCAACGCTTATAACACTATAAAGACGAAGATGGATGACATTTTTTATATTTCTAATCAAGTTTGATATTCAATTTCATTCCTAAACGTATGATTTTAGTAATCGAGACATGGGCAAAGCTGACGCAATTTAATTACTGCTGGATGAAGATATTTTTTTTTTAATTAAGATATCCGTATCAAATTAAAATATAATTAACAAAAAGCGGCATGAAAGATAATTTAAAAATATTAAATCGCGAGATTGATTAAAAACGAGCTAAAAAATAATCATTAAATTATAATATAGTTAATTAGTTTTATAAAATTTAGTATATGAATATTTCGAGAAAATATAACCATTTGGTTATATATAAAATAAAATTAATGAAGATAAAAAGAGTATAACCGAAAAAGGAAAGGATGCGCAATTACACCATAAAAGAGAAACTGGAAGTGGAGTTAATAATAAAGAAAGCGGAGTAGAATTCTTTACATATTTCAAAAAGTTTTGGGCATCTGGTGATGATTTATTAATAATGAGATATCATTACAACCAAATTTTACATCTAATCCAATTTTAAAACATTACAAAATTTAAATTTATCATTTAAAACAGTTCATAAATTACCCAAGAAAAAGCTAAAACCTCATTCAAAACATAAAACAAATTTATGAAGTTTCAAAACTTTTTATCTTGTATAAGTTTCGTGCTTCAGTTTAAATGTCCACAATTTGCCTACGTAAACAAGACCGTTCAGACACTTTACATAAATCATTTGAACGTGTAAAACCCTCTTATATCTTCCTTAACATTTTTAAAAAAAGGGTGAAAGTAACTTTTAACATTTTTTGTGTATGCCAAGAAAATGTTTAGTAGGTTCGAAGAAATATACAATGTGTGAACTTGTTTACATATTGATGCAAAATCTCGTTCTACTTTAACACATCCCGGTGGAGCCTGTAAATAAAACACTTTAAAAGTGTTAAGTGTTTAAAAGGAAGTAATCTTTTCCATCTTAATAAGAAAAAATAACTTATATAGTAATAAATTTTATAGACATTTTAAGGAATTGATATGACTAACAGTTGTTCAGTTTCGAACTTGAATTAATAATCGACTTGTCTACGGCTTGTAAACGAAACGTCTACTCTCTAAATCAATACATTTACGACACAGTGCGGTGAGAACACTTTCAAGTTGACTAAAGTTGGAACACTTTGTTACAAACTTAAAAATGTACCTTCCACAACAAAAAAGAACCTAAACTTTCAATTTATCTCTATAAAACTCCTCCAAGATTGTTAGGTAGTTTTTGTTATCGTTTCTTTAAAAATTGTTTTATTAGGTAGAAATCGGTATTGACCTCACAAACAAACCAAAACGATAAAACGTTGAGATAAATTTTAAGACATCGAGTCATTTCGGTGACGAGAACTCCTTCCGAAAATGCTAACGAAAAGAAAAGAAAATAAGCCCCGTTCGCTTCAAAAGGGCAACATTCGAGAATCGAGGGGGCCAAATATTTTAATAATCGACCTGCCAGCTGCAGATATTAAAGCACAGATTACACCTTTTGACAGTGGCCCCTCTTCGTCCCTTCTCTCACTTTATCCATATACGAACGAATGAATTCTCGACCTAAATTTGTCCTGGCTGCGATGAAACTTCTCTACTACCACCTACTTCTTCGAGGATCGTGCCGACAAATTCACACAAAGAGAGGCGACAAACGCGAACCGAAGAACAATAACTCGAGAAAAAAACGTCTCTGGAAAGACGAATACGTGCTTTCTTTATGGATAGATAGAGATAAAGCTTTCTCTAAGGAACACGGTCTTTCGTTGTTTCTCTCTTGGATGTCTTAACTTAAAGATACAAGCCTAACAAAGGTCACGGTTGTTTATATTGACATGAAGCGCGTATCTTCTCAAAAACCCGACAATATCTTTTATTTATTAAACGATAATTAGTTGATAGGAACTGGTAGTACAAAGTAGTCAATTAATAATATTTCTTCCAATAAATTTAACAAAAATAAATCAATTTATAGTATATATTAGAATATGGATTTCTGTAGGAACTAATATTAAATCTTTTAAGTCTGAATTCCCTGTTGCAAATTAAATGTCTCATGATTTAATCATTTCTATTAAAGAATAATTGAAAGTTGTCCCATTTCAATAAAAATTTGTTTCAGAGTTAACTGGTATTTATGATTAAAATAAATTAGTTCTATTTAAAATTATCTGGAGTGGCCTACACTCAACTTTTTATGACACATTTTTATATGGCTAGCATTTTTATAGATTTTGATAAATAATAAAACCGTCTTAATTTTTTTAATAAACTTTATGATTAAAGATTTCAGAGCATAGAAGAACAACTGATGATTCATATGGTCCATTTATTATGTTTCCAAGCATTTGATTCATCACTTGTGAGTTCTAAAATACTTTAACCTGCAATCATATTAACGAATTATATTCAATGAAATGGTTAGTCAAGCTTTATGATTGCATTCTATAAGAGATGCAATGAATCCATCAAGTGTAGCTACGAAATCTATAATTTTTATGTAAATGAGTTCTTAAGCGAAAGAGATATCAATTCTCAAGATCTTAAATATATACTTGATGGATTGTAGAATTCAAATATAGCTGCCAAAAATCATAGGATTAGTTAGATACCAGAACTCAGCATAAACAGAAATTTTTGAGAGGAATCAAGTGCACTTAAAAACCTAGAATAGACCTTAAGAATATGTAATTGAATCCTTGTTAAGTAACATGACGATGTTTCTAATTGATTGCAAATAGTTTGACAATCACCAAGAAGTTATTTCTATTTTGAATATCTTAGAAATACTTTAAAAACTGTCAAAATTATTTTTTTTCTTCTCTCATCCTGGTGAAGTATCATACATATGTTTGTAATAGAGCAGATCCGTTTTGATTGACACCAATCAGTATATCCCATTTTCTAAAATCTTCGAATTTCCTGTAAGTGTGTATTTTGGTGGTATTAAATGCTCTTATCAAATAACCTGAAGGTGTATCTTATCGAGTAATACCATTTTGACACACTCTAACAAGCCTGTTCTATTTCTTGATATTGTTAATACATATTGATCCATATTGCCTTTAACTCCATATCTATAATCAACTATGTAGTTCATAGAATAACTAATATTTTATATCTTCTAGATTTAGAGATTCTAAAATGTTACAACTATAGTACGTCGCTCACAAAGCAAATTCAGTTTCTATCTGTAATTGTTCTACACATAATATCTCTTAGATATTATGAGTTTAGGAGGTTAACGCTGCAATGTCTCAACCGCAAGGTGACCTTTGCGACCTATGTCCATAATACACTTCGAATTTGGTGGAACAAATAATACCTACATATGTATATGCTTCACTATATCTCGTTGATATAATGAAAAATGTAGAGTGTAGGGTATTATATGTTTATAATCGATAATGAAAGTGGTAAAATAACCAATACCTGCGCTTCCATGCCTAGAAACAACTTTGAGTCTGGTAAAGTCACTAATACCTACTTTATATCTCATCTAATATAGTTGAAAAAATTGCTAAATTACCTGCTGCTAAAGTTATTCAGCAGCTGAGTTTCCGGGCAATATAAAACGCTTGACCATCTAGAATTTTGACTATCTTATCCTTGCACTCCACCTTTGAACAGGAAGTTTACTCATTCAAGGTTAAGAGCCATCATTATGAAACTTAGAATATGTAGAGGCAACAGTAAGCATACAGAGGGAATCCCTGCAATTAAAAACACGAATAAGATCTGGAAGCACACTTCAAAAGGAAGGTACTCATTTCGGCTATATAGTATATCACCGAAGATAAAGTCAAAGTTTTGAGGTACTTATCAGAATACTATATATTACTTATAATTAACTTACAAAGGTAGAAGAATCTAGGTGAAAACGTAGTAAAGAGACTTGTAAAAGAGGTCTGGCAGATATACATGTTATTTTGTTGGTGTTTAACGACCCTAAGAACCTAAAATTGCTTTTAAAGCTTTGTGCTTCACACAAGGACAAAAAATTGATTACAGCACAAAAACAAACCTAGAGTGTTTTTGCATGTTTAACATTGCTGCAACAAAGCAATGTTCAATTACAACAAAATGAATGACTCAACCAAAAAATTGTGATAAGAAGTTATGTTAGAGGAGAAAGTTTATCATATCATTTGGCATAACAATTAGCAGAGTATAATGTAAATCCAGACTCGGTTAACATCAACCACTACAGCATCTTAACCTGAATATCAAAAAATCGGTAATTATAATGAACAATAAGTTTATTTCTTTATGTTTGCAGCAATTCATTCGTAATTAAGATATAGGAAAAGGATATCAAATAAATAAAGAAACACACAATTCATGGATCCATAAACTTAGTTCTAACTAGTGAATGATGAGAATTGAGATTTTAAATGTTTTAAAAGATTAGGTTAAGTAAACTGATGATATAACTATTACATAATCACCAACTGCGTTTATGGTAGAAGAAGGTTCGACATGTGTTCGGGTTAAGTGCCACTAAACGTTGATGGATTTTGCCTAAAATCAGATACAGATCTACGATTTCAATGTAATAACTGTAATAAGTAAACGAAACTAATAGCGTTTTTGAGTTATCATGTTTACCACAAAGACAATACTAAAAATAGTCTTACATTAATTCAATTTCAATAATTACCGTATGTTGTTAATTTTAAATCCCAATATCGCTGAAAATTTATTTTAACCCCATTTTCCCGATAACAGCCATTGTGTAAAATAGTTATTGATGAGTTCAATTGCAGCTTCCGCTTGTAACGCAATGGGTACCAAGCCCCCGAAAACAATACGACGCACCCAAAGCCCATGTAGGCGTGATGAAATTCAGAATAATACAGGCGAGTTTACGCGACAATTAGTCCTTTAATGTTTGTTGTTTGCGCGGAATTAGAGCGTGTGGACGAAGTATAGATAAAAAAGGGAACGTGTCAACGAGTCATAATGATGATGATGATGATGATGATGGAGTGGTGATGTAATAAATTCTTACTCCAATTAACTATCTAAAAGTTAAAAAGTAAAAAGAATTAAATTTCTTATTTGAGTTTATTGAATCCATATCGCTGCTTTTAATAAACTTTTAATACCCGTACGTGTTTTCGCTATTAGTCATTCCACTTAAAGAGGAGCCACATCTGCAATAACACAGATACGGTATTCAACGTTTGCGGTTTGGAATGGAATAACGAAAAGAAAGGAATTACTGATGACCGAGGGATTTCATATTTACTTTCAGATGATGTGCACATGATTGATAACCGAGATGCCTCCTGCATACGCATTAACGCTGCTCCTTCTGGTGCTGACTTCTTCCGGTGCCATTGACGAAGACTTCGCCTTCGATCTTTCCGACGAGATAGGAACGCCGATTCCCGTACAAAATTTAAACAAGAAGTTCCTTCCAACTACAACCGCCGTCGTTGGACGTGTATTCCATTACCAAATACCCGTAGACGTTTTTAAAGAAGAAACTATAAAATTAAAGGTTTGTACAAAAGAATTTTCAATGAATTATTAAAATTATCTTGATTTTTTTAGGCAAAATTAGATGGTTATCAATCTTTACCATCATGGTTACTATTTGGTAAATCGGCAGGTGTTTTTTGGGGTGTTCCAACGGAAGAAGATATTGGAGAACATCACGTGGTCGTCAAAGCTTACAAAAAGAATGACATCGTTACGTACGAGTTTATTTTGATTGTACACGATGGTGAAAATTACGAAGAATGTTCGACGTCCGATGATTTAACGGTGCTTAAAATAAAAATCGCCAAAGAATTGAAAACGATCAATCCTAAACAAAGAGTTACTTCCGTTATGAACATTGCAAAATTTCTCGGGTTGCCAGATAGTGCCTTTAAAATAAAATCATCGCTCGAATCAAATGAAAACGCAAACGTTTTTATGATTGGACCAGGAAATGTAAAATCACGCAATTTGAAGGCATCGACAATTATTAAAGTCGTCGTCGGATGTAATGGGAGATTGTGGAACAAAACAACAAAAATTATTCATAGATTAAAACCGCAATGTGTTGATGGAACGGTTGAAGAAGTTTTAGGATTACCAGTTACTGGTTGGGAATTACTTAAAGAAAAATCTGATTATAGGTCAAAAAGACAAATCGAAAACGGAAGCGGAGATGATTTAACAAATAGTGGTGATGGTGACGGTGAAGATGATTATGTATACGAAAATTACGATTACGAAGAATACTTGGATAACAACGATGACTTAGAAACGCCTGTTCTTTCTTTCCCGGTCGGTACAACAACCCCACGCACAACAACAACGGAAAAGTTAACTACAACAACTCCTTCAACAACTACAACAACCACTTCATCAACTTCAACAGGTGCTTCAACAGTTACGGAAGAAATTACGGAAGTTCATCCTCATCGTCATCATCACGGCGAATCTATGAGTCCTATTTCTGAAAAGAAAACAACTGTTAGTATTCAAACCAGTAGAGAGACTAATGTATTTACAACAACTGAAAAAGACGATTTTGACAATTACGATTATGATATAGATGATGAAGATGATGACATCGAAAGTGAAACGATAATTCCAGTGAACAAACCCAAACTTGATTCATCCAATAAAAAAATAACCAAAGTTGATGAAGATAATTTGGAATATACACCAGCAAGTGAGTCCACAACAATGAATGAGAAAATTACTGAACCAATGAGTGAAACCACTGTTAGTGTTTTACCAAAAAAATCCACAACAATTATAGATGAAGAAGACGATGACAAAACAAAAATAGAAGTTACAAGTTATATAGATAACGAAGTTACATCTACCACTGAAATCGAAAAAGAAATTATTACAAGTCCAACAACCACCACGTCAACAACCACATCATCAACTACAACAACCACATTACCACCATCAACTACAACCACAACAACCACATCCACGACTATTTTACCTCCAATTTTATTAACAACAAACTCAACAGAATCTCAAACAACACCCATCACTTCAACAACAGAAACATTACTAAAACTTTCTACAACAACAGAAAGCGCTAATATAAACACAACATTATCTGAAGTTGTTGAATCCACGACTCAACTAGGTCCATCAACCGAAGAAACGAATGATACTCAGGAAGAAACTGTTGTTAAACAAACAACTCTTAGACATATTACAACAACGCAAAAACCGACTAGTCGCGTTACAACGGAAACTATTATTTATGAAGTGCGGAATTTCCCGCCGACTCTTCAAAACCGATTAAATCGTGTTGCTGCAACGGCCGGGAAAGCTTTTAATTTTACTATTCCTGAAGATACATTCTCCGATTTAGAAGACGGAACGAATTTGAAATTGGAATTTTTAGATGCCGAAGGAAGACCTGTCGATAAATACTCGTGGTGTCAATTCAGACAGGAAGCGAGGGAAATTTACGGATTGTAAGTAAACATTAAAATCGGTATATCGTATATATAATTCGGTCAAATTTTTATTTTCTTTAGGCCTATGGAAGATAATGTCTCTAGATGGACGTACACGATTAGAGCGACGGATTCTGAAGGTGCCTCAGTTTCAGATCATTTAGAAATATCAGTTCAACACCACAAATCTAGAAGGGCGGTAAACCATGAGTTCTCGCTTTACGTACAACTGGAAAAGAAGTATCAGTTTCCATACCAAATAGAGTGGCCGCTACGAATACTTAATTCATTAAAGGAAATTTATCGTCTTCCGAATTTAAATGATATAACTGTTAGGAATGTAGACCACCATAGTGTACCAGCAGTTTTTACTTGGACTAATGACTCATTGCCAAAACATATTTGTCCTAAAAAGGAATTGGATAGTATTTTTAAGGTAAGATTTTTATTTTTTATTATTTAAAAATACAGGGTGTTTCACGTAACTGGTTCGTTAGAACTTTTTTAGGTTCCACTATTCGTACAGATTTGAAACTTTAGTAGCATGGGTTGTTCATTCGGAACTTTCGATCTAAAATATTTTCAAGATGGCCCCCACTTTCGGTCTACCGGAAGTAGACCATAACTTCGTAATTTTAAATGAAATGCTATAGTTTTTATTACACCGTTTAATTGTGCGTAAAAAATAGGTTGATTTGATAGAAGTTATTGGTACCTAGCGTTTTTCGTTTTCGAGTATTTTGGTTTTAAGCTTTTTCTGGAAAATTTCACCATGCTCTTTAAAACTCCATTTCTCAGCCAACGTTGATTCAAAAAAGATCTACATTGGCACAATTACTCTTCAGATGCTGTCAAGTAGATTGTCATTTATGCTGTATCTTACACAGGACGGTCAAAAATTGAGTTACTGTTTCTCCATTTTCAATGGCGAGAAAGTAGAAAATTTTAAATGGAACGAACCATATTTTTTTAGCCCATCAGAATTCTCTAGAAACATTAAAATGTATTAAAACATGCACGAAATGCAGGTTTTTTATTAGAAAGCTATGGAATTTTGACAGTTTTTGGTCCATGTTTGTATTATTGTAGTTACATTTGACGACGGGTGTAAGTCATTGAACATCATGGCAGATTATTCCAACGCCGATATTTGAAATTTATTTTGTATTGATGGCGAATGTAATAAACTTTTGGACAAGACGTGTCGAACACTTAATGAGAGATGCCTAACAAACCTAACGCCCATCACAAGGTAAAATTTCAAAAAATGGATAAAGATTTTCTTAATAAATATTTTATCGTATTTTATTGCATTTCGAAATTCAATTTAATAACAAATTTATGTTATAAATTTATATTTTTATCCAAATCTAATTTTTGCCATTAATTTGTTGTTTTAATTGTTTCATTTATTTGCTCTTCTGTTTATTATTGTTGGTAAGTAAAAGCTAGTAAACTAAAAGATTATCAATCGTAGCTAATAGAAGAAATAATAATAGAAATAAGCCTTCTAATAAAAATACAAACGGTTTCCTGCATGTTTTGATAAATTTTCCAATATGAGAGAAACTAGAATAAATAGGTATAAGAATGTTTATAGATAAATTGCAGAGAATAAAATTCCCTTTCGGGTAGGCTAATAAAATATGGGGGTTCCATTTAAAATTTTCGACTTTCTTGCGGTTGAATATGGAGAAACGGTAAGACCATTTTTGACCACCTGTGTAAGATAATCTGATACAATAAATGACAATCTATTTGACAGCATCTAAAGGGTAAACGTGCCAATTTAGAGCTTTTTTGAATGAACGTCGGCTGGGATATGGGGTTTTAAAGAGACTGGTGAAATTTGCCAAAAAAAACTTAAAATCAAAATAACTCCAAAACGAAAGACGCTAGGTACCAATAACTTTTATAAAAGTCAACATATTTTTTTATGTACAATTGAAAGGTGTAATAAAAACTATAGCATTCTATTTAAAATAATGAAGTTATGGTCTACTTCCGGTAGACCGGAAGTGGCAGCCATCTTGAAAATATTTTAGATCGAAAGTTCCGAATGAACAATCCATGCTGCCAAAATTTCAAAACTGTACGAATAGTAGAACCTAAAAAAGTTCTAACGAACCATTTACGTGAGACACCTGTATATTAATTATGTAATGTACAGGTGTTCCAATTTCGTGGTCCGCATAGGCTATCTCCGAAACTAAAAGAGATAGAAAGAATTTTTGTTAATTATTCAATAACTATAAGAAATATACCCCACAAACTATATATGTATATTTGTTATTAGAATAAAAATAACAAATTATTTTAAGTCATAGCCAACTATGGTTGCCATTTAAAAGAATAAAGTTACGTCTAAAATCTCGAAAATAAAAGATGGGAAGAAAATTCTACCTACGCCACTGAATTCTTCGTAAAAAGTTGCCCATATAATGTTTTATTTATAATACTCCATCTTTGAATACTCCAGCTCCATGACATGTAAGCTACTTTTTTTCTATCTCTTTTAGTTTCGAAGATAATCTATGCGGACATCGAAATTGGAACACCCTATACTCTTGGTAAACTCTCATGGAATCGATGGGCCTATTATCAAAATGGATTAAGGCAATTTACTAGTTCAACTGCACCCTTAATCTTCGAATTGTCTGAATTAGTGCATTATTTATCTGGCAGTGCAATATGAATTTTCTTAATCTTTTCTTCTACTTCTTCTTTCTCTTGCACTCATTCTACATCTTGATGTTGAATCTCGAAACCATCTCCTATAGCCCTATAGGACCTATAGGTTCAACGCCACTTCTTCCATTACATGATATTTAAAGTTTGTGCATCGATACATGCCGCCACCCTGCTCATGACACTATAGACTTTCTATATAAAGTATTAGCTTCAGATTAAAGCCATTAATGAATAAGCGGAAATGAACACCACTTTAATATCAATAATCATTTAATTCTGAAGCCCCACTTCCTTTTGTTGTGTATAATCTTTCTATTATCTTTCCAGTCATAAATTCAACCTATTTTACATTTTCATACATTACATCAGAACTGATTTTATAACAATCTCAGTCAATTCCTCAAGGTATAGAATTCTAAAATGACTTGAAGCTTAAATTCCTCTGTTTCTGATAAATACAACGAAGTTTTATGTTGTTTTCATTATATATTGTTTTTTTATTTTAGGTTTTGACAATAAATCACGATGGTGATCCAACGCACGAATTAATTACATCTCTTTCACCTGCACTTAAAGTTAAAAAGGTCGCATATAAAGGACTAGGAGTATGCGAACCAAAACAACCACCTCCAGCTCCAATGACACCTCCAACAAATTTCTCCCCAGTTTTAAGAAATCCAGTAGATCATATCAACGCTACCGTTGGAAAATTATTAGTGTTTAAAGTTCCAGATGTAAGACTTTATTTCTTTATGGGTCATTAAAACTTAACTCATAAATGTTATTTATTACTTTTTTAGGATACATTTTATGATCCTGAAGATACAGATCCACGTAATTTACGTATGAAGCTTTTAACATCCGATCGTCAACCGCTTCCATTCGATAATTGGTTACAGTTCGACGATAAAAATAAAGAGTTTTATGGTATTCCAATGATTAATGACACCGGATCACGCGAATATCAACTGATTTGTAAAGATAGCGGGGGATTATCCGCTAGTGATAGCTTAGTAGTTGTAGTACATCCCGCTCCAAGATATCATTACAACGTCGAATTTCGAATGTCTCTTGTAACCGAATACGAAAAATTCGTACATAGCGCAGGCGTTAAACGAAAATTCGTCGAAAAACTTCAGGAATTATTCGAAGATAAAACCACCGATCACATCCAATTAAAATCAATTAGTAGAGGTTCAACCATTATTAGTTGGTACAACACTTCGCTTCGTTTAGATCAGTGTCCAAGAGATGAAATCAAAAGACTCGGTTCTATGTTAGTGAATACCGACCGAACGATCGCTTCGAGAGTTCAGTATATTATGGATGACGATTTTCCGGTTAAATCAATACAGTTGGAAGATTTGGGAGCGTGTAAACGACAATCCATACAAGTACCTAAATTAGATACTACCCCACCACCTCCAGTAGATGAAGGAGGATCTTCTTCTAACTCGTATCAAGACGAGTATTTAGTCACCTTCATTGTTCCAGCTATTATTATTACCGCTATGTTATTATTAGCTGGGGTGTTTGCTTGTATTTTATATCGAAGGAGACGAAGTGGTAAAATGAATGTTGATGATGAAGGTAAGAATCAATATTGAAGTAAAATCAAAATTAGCTAACTTTGTGTTTAATTTAGGTAGAGCTACATATGGGAATAAAGGTATCCCAGTAATATTTCAAGAGGAATTGGAAGATAAACCAGAATCAGGGACGAAGACTCCTATAATATTTAAGGATGAAAAACCTCCATTGGCCCCACCCGAATACAGCAAGAGTGGTTCTTTAAAATTAACGGACGATTCAGAGCCGTATCAACCACCACCACCAGTAGCTAGGGTACAAGAAAACGGAAGGCAGTTAAGACCAAAACCAACGCCCACATATAGAAAACCTCCGCCTTACGTGCCTCCCTAAAGATACATAACTAAACCCACATAAAAAAAAATCCTTTATTAATTCCCCCCACACAGAGAGAGAGAGCTTGCTACGATCGTTTCGTAGATACATTTTTTTTATAATTCGTCTCCTTTAAACATACATTTATTTTAGACGTTTTAACATCGCGTCGGGTTACATATCGTAATTTTAGAAAACGAGGAATGTTTCGCAAAAACACCTCTGTGTTTAAAAAGAAAACTTACTCTACGATAAAATTGTGTATATAGAAAAAAAATTGTCTGTTTTTTAATTAAGACTTATGGGAAACTTAATAATTTTCGGTGTTCAATTGTGATTTGATGGAAAATTCATGAAAATCAAAAAAAAAGAACAAGAAAAATGTACTTATACCCACTCCTATAGGTTTTTTCTTCTTAAAACGTACAAGAAGTATGAAGACAAATTGTGATTTTTAAAACCATTTTTATACATATCTAGAAATACAGAGGATGTTGTATTTTAACATTTTTAACAATACGATTCTTTTTAAAATCATTTTAAATATTTAAATACAACATTTTCATTAAAAAAAAATGAAAATTTTAAGTTTTAATTCGCATTTTAGGTTTTATAGAAGATCAAAAAAATGTACCAAGAAAGTAATATAATAGATACTATAAATATGATACAAAACTCTATTGATGGGTATCACTTTTTGTATGTTTTTACTTTTCTATTATAGTAGTTTCTCTTTCTATTTAACAAAAAAGAAATCTAGTGTCTGGACCAAAAAAAAATCGATATGGAGAAGAATCTTTTTGTTTCTTCAAATTTATTTCACGCCGTTTCTCGCTTACACTTTGATAGTGTATATTTATGATTATTGTACGTACTTATATATTTATATTATAGTTGCGCGTAGTCTCACTCGTGTCTTTCTCGTTAATATGATTCTTCCTAATAATATTAAAAAAAAAAATAATAAACGATCGTAAACTAACAAAACTATCAGAATAAGTGCCATATATATTTTTAATAATGATTTTATTGGTAAACATTAATTAATTACTCATTTCTGTAGCCTCATCAAAAAATATTTAATTGTATATCACACAAAAAATATATAAAAAAGAAAACAAGAGGTACGCTTATTTTTCAAGCACAAAACGACTTATTTCACTTTTATTTTTTGGTGAATCTTAGCAGAAAAATAAGTTTTTAAATAATATTCATATAAATTATAAGGTCCACATTGATATACAATCGAAAAATATGTAATAAGACTGTACATTTAATTATATTCTTACTTTTTTTCAATTTTTATTTGATCTGTATCTTATTGTCAATAAAATTATATGTGTATTCAATGTATTCCACGTGTGACGTAGTTTGTGGAATTATCTAATAAATAAAATGTTCTAAATGATGAACTAAACTCACATGACTTCTTTTTTATACTAAATAAAACAAAATTGATGAATTTTTAACATTCTCATTAACAATAAGAACTCCATCCACATCAGGGTAAACATGGGTCTTTAAAAGTACCACTTCTATTGTGCAATTTGATTGTCTTTTATATCTAGATGTCTATCATGATTCAGACTTATCTTATTACATTACATAAATTATATCTATTGCACCTCAATAGATAACATTATTAAATTTCACCGTGCAGTGCAATGTTCTTAACGAACCTTAATGTCTTGCTTGATGAAAAGTCATTCAGATCCTTTGGGGAGATAAACTACGACCCAATAATCGCGAATCTGATACGATTAATATCAGGGCAGTGGAATAAAATATACTAAACCGTCTCCTCGTCCCAAAATATTCCAGGGTTGAATAGTGGCGATGTTAATAAACAACTTAGCGTGTCTCATTCCAGGAGAACTGTTCCACAGTAGGCGAAGTCACCCTTCAACCCAATCCTATGTTTGGACATCCACCAACTGCTCGCTCTGGCCCTACAAACGCTTTAGCACTGTCCTCTTGTGCTAGCTCATCTGCCACTTCATTGCCAGCAACCTCAGAGTGACCTGGGACCCAGATCAGAGATCTCTGTTATTACAACTCAGTGTGTTTAAAGTTCTTTTAGTCATTAACGAGAGCCGACACCGTTACGGCCTGCATTCACTGGAGAGAACCTTGACTGTCTGAGAAAAATTGTACTGTCATGTTCTTCAACTCCCTCTCAAGTTAGATTTTAGCACCCACGTGAATAGCAAATACTTCCGCCTAGAATACAGTACAGTACGTACCCAGGCTATAAGTTTGCTTAATCCGAAGTCTGGCAGTATAATCCTGCCTCAACCCCTTCCGGTGTTTTTGATCCATCTGTGAACATGCAAATATCCGCCAGAACCAGAAATTTTCGTTTTCGATCCAAGACTGCCGTTCAGTACAATCTGGTATCGAGCATTAATCATTGGTAGTGATTCCGTCAAATCTGACGGCATTGGTAGTACCATATCAGTGCTTATAGTGTCTTGGTGAACATGTCGAAGCAGTTTTGAGAATATTTCTTAAACCTGTAAATGGTAGTTCTAGCCACTGTCTCTATATGCAAATGCAAAGAAGAAAGGCCAAGCAGAAAATCCATTGTTAGAGTTGGAGTTGTGTTTATCGCACCAGAGATTGCTCATCCAGCTACTCATTAAATTCGTGAAAGTTTACTGATAACTGAAGTCTGTCGGGCTTTCCTATACCAGGTTACTGCTCTTTATGTGATCATAGGTCTAACCATAGTCATATAGAGCCAGTACAGACTTATACTATAGACTTATATAATAACATTCCGGTTGAAATTGCTACACAACAATTTTGGATGTATGAAATTTCAGAATATTCATCCTAGTAACCTAGTATTCTAGATACAGATATATCAGAATGTATAACAAAAACTATACCATTCCATTTATAATAATGTGTTTGTAGTCTACTTCTGGTAGATGAGATATAAAAACATATTACCCAGTAAACAAGAAACCTCTGTGAAACATTTCAATTTTAACGTACAGTGAATTAAATGAAACATCTTAGAACTACGTTTCATATACGTGACAGATACGATTTTTACGAAACGTATCTAAAGATATGTATCAAATACATTTCAGTAGAAATATTTATGACATATCATTAAAATATGCAGCAGAAACATTTCATTTGAAACATTTCGCTACAAATGTGTCTGAAACATGTCTGGAATATCTTCAGCACTGCCTGTGAACGTATGTACAAACATTAATTAATGTTTGTAAACAGAACTAACCTAAGGTAACATTCCTTCACGGTTTAATTGACAGTTCAAAAGAAAACTTCACGCTATGATTGGCATTACTAATTACTAAAGAAAACTTCACGCTATAATTAATGTTTGTAAACAGAACTAACCTTACGTAACATTCCTTTATAAATTGTAAGATCAGAGTTATAAACAGAAATTCAAAGACGCAAATGTGTTAAAACCCTAAAAACTTTTATGAACACTGTATATAGAGACCCTATGTAAAACCCATATCTATCTAAAAACTAAAATTTAACAGTCCACAATTGGACAGACATGTAAACATCTCAAAACCAACAGCGTCCACTTTGATAATTAATTATAATAAAATTAATAAAGTAGCAATTTTTGAAATCAAAGTTTTAAGCATTACCTATATGTAATAGAATTTAAATAAACTTATATTAATACTATTACAAAATATAAATAAATAGAATAATGTAAATAATTTACCTGATATGGGATAATTAAAAATAATTCCATAAACATAGATAACATTATTAACTGAGATATCTAAAAATGAATCACCTATGTTATTCTCATTTCACAATCCGTTTGTTATGGATTTTTTTTCTATTTGTTTTGCTATATGTATGTGGAATATTATTTTCTTGGAATGTTGTTTATCTCATTATCATCTTTATATGCAAGAACCAGAACATCACATTTTTCTGTTAAATCTCATATCCTTCTTTCATTTCAATTTATAATTTTGGCAATCACATTGATATCATAACTATGACAAACTATACTGGATTTCAATAAATCATTCATAATATCATTTTCCTATAATAACAGTTCTCAAATCATTGACAATGATGTAGATAGGAGCTTGCCTTGCAATAGTTTAACACACAGCTCACATATCCCTCTTTCTTTTCAATTGATAATCACATTAATATCATCAGTATGACACACTATACTGGATTTTAATAAATTGTTCACATCATATTCATCTAATACTGGTTCTGAAATCATTAACAATGATGTAGATGCGTCAGGCATCTAATCTTACTGGCATTAAAATTGCCAGTAAGAAAATGTAATGAACAAACTTTGCTGTAATAGCTTCATTACATTTCGTAAATCAAAGTTTCTTGCTCGCCTTGGGACTATTAAAAAATGATATATTTAAGCCAATGGCTGTTAATACAACATAGTTTGAACATTAATTTTTAATTGCACAAGAAGAGAATACCTAAAATTACAAATTTTAATTTAAGGTTATAATGTGGTTATAATAAATACCACCTGTAGCTATTACCTTAACATTTAAATTATTGATTAGTTTTTTATACTAATTATGAAATTTAAACAAATAACTTTCTTATATAATAAAATAAACTAAATAACATACAAAAAATACAAAAATCATATTAATTAATAAAAAGTTTAGATTGATTTGGATCTGGTGACGTCACAATGAAGACGTTTAAGGTGGGCATCATTTCGTAATTTTATTTGAAATAAAATAATTAAATATTGTTGATTAATCGTTTTATATTATCAATAAAGATTAAAATATGTCTCAAAAATGTATAAATAATAATAAATAATTTATATAAATTTTAAATATTTTATTAAAGTGCCACCTACATCGAAACTAAAACTGACATATTAACACAAGGTAAATGTCATTTGTGACATTCGCAGGTTCGAATAAGTGTAAAAATTAAAATGCGTGAGTAATTTTAAGCATGTTTACTTCCAGTAATGAAAATACGACGGGTTTTGATCTGGTCGTAAATTGTTGGAATACGATAACTAGCTTTTGGTTGGAATTGTTCAGTTTGTTCGACGTAAACCCGAGTATCGTCACATTCGAGTTCGAAAACCTTCCGTTTTCGTTGGAATTTAGTGATTTTCAGTGGAAATTACTCTGGGTGTTCCTCGTTACCTTAACGATCAATTTGTTACTGGTATGCATTGCGTGGACCGTTTATGGTAAAAGAATTTGCGAACGATTTATGAAACCAGGTAATTAGTTTTTCTTTATTATCTCGTTCCAATTTAATTACTAAATATAACGTTGTACTTTATTTAGCTACCTCAAAAGCTATAGAAGAGCTAAAAGCAAGTGTCTCTAAATTAAAACTACCAAAGGAACACACACCAAGAATATAAAAAAATATTTTTTTAATTAATTATGGCAGAAAAAATTAAAAAGTTTTTTCAGAAAAAAAAATTAGACGCCAAGTTTAAATTGGCTGGACCAGGGCATAAATTAGCTGAATCTTCATCATCTATCCATGGTAATCAAAGTAATAGCAAAAATAGCGGGACTCAAAAAAATCAAGGTTATGTTCCACCACCTAGAGCTGCACCTTCTAGTGCGACTAGACAAGCTGCGGAGGCTGCTTTAGCACGTTTGAATAGTCAGCGAAAAGATACCCCTTTTAATACATCATTAGCTGCTATTCAAGCTCAAGTTAAACGTGAATTAGAGGCTGAGAAGAAAAATCTTGTGGAAGAACAGATTCCAACATCAACAAGACCCATTGAAACTAATTTGGAAAGTTCACCTTTATTAGCTGTCAATGGTAATAACTTTATTTAATAATATGAAATATTGTGAAATTAATTATTCAATTTTTTTTTTATTTAGGAGTATACTTTCGCTGTCCAATTATAAATGAAGAAGTATTACCTAAAGAAGAATGGCGCATTAAAATTAAATCTTTTCTTTTTGATCAATTAGAAGAAGAAAGGGGATTAACAGCTTGTTTAATTATTCATTCTTGTAATTATAACCGCTCAAAAGTAAGATAAATATTTTTATATAGACGAAATTAAAATTATTATAAAAATTTTGTGTATTAGGTTAATGATTGCGTAGGAATTCTTTGCAAATATTTGGAGAATATAATTCAGAATCCGACTGAAACAAAGTTCCAAAAAATTCGTTGCTCTAATGCAACATACAGAGAAAAAGTTGAACCAATTCTAGGAGCAACCGAATTTTTGTATGCAGCTGGATTTAGGTTAACTGAATTGGATAATAATGGATCTACAGAAACTTATTGGGTTTTTTCTTTGGCTAATATTGGTGATGATATAAGTTCTTTAGAAGTATAGCATTTATTTGAAATTGTTAATTTTTTTTTAATTATTTTTTTGTTGAATCTTAGTTTTTAACGGATGCTATAAAAGCTGAAGATAGGATTGAGTTGGAGTTAGATCGAAGTCTTCAGGTTTTATCGCCAGCCCAAGCTAATAAAAGAGTTGAATTACCTGATGAATTCTTCGCAATGAATAAAGAAGATATAAGAAAGGAACAATTATTGAGAACTGAGGCTATGCAAAAACAAATGCAATTAAGAACCAAAGCTATGAGAGAAAAAGACGAACTTAGGGAAATAAGGAAGTATAAATTTGCTTTGATAAGGATTCGGTTTCCAGATGGAGTTTTTTTACAAGTAATTATTTATTTTTTTTGTATTAATAAATATTACTACTAAGTAAGTTTAATTTTTTAGGGAACTTTTTCAGTTTATGAAAAATTCTCAGAAGTTCTTTCATTTATTCAAGAAAACTTAGAACATGATTGTCCTTTTATTGTTTTATCACCAACTGGTCACAAATTTGAAGAAACAGACAACGATAAAAGCTTGGTCGATCTTAGATTGGTTCCAGCGACAATTTTAAATTTCCAATGGGATCCTTCCATAGCTGATGAAATACAGAGAGTGACAAATAGTTATTTAAAACCAGAGTTAATGATGTTGATACAAGCACTATAACAGCACTATAGCTTTCCAAAAATAAAGGATAATTTGTTATTATAAAAGAGGGAATTTTAATTTCAGCACTTATAAATTCAAATAGAATTGTTTAGGAATTGTACTACGTATATTTGTGATCTATTTAAATCTCTTGTTATAAATTAAAAAGAAAAGAAAAATATACTGTTATGTATGTAGTTATTAAGCTAATTAAATTATCCTGAAATTTTATTATTGTTGTGCTAGATTCAACTATTCCTCTATAACTACATTCTATATTAAACATTTTATTGCATTTTTATTAAATATATTTTTCTAGCACCAATTAAATTTTATTTCATTTTTTAAAACGTTCATATTTTATTTGTGATTCATATTATTAATTATCTTATTCTATTAATTTGGTTAAAGATATAAGAATAACATATATTTATCAAGAAAATGATGACTAAAATTGACATGCTTGAACCTACCATAACAAGTAAGAGTATTACTTACTGACTTAATCATCAAGATTTCTAAACCTGCAACAACCTCAAATGAAAAACTGTTCAAAAAAGTTGCAAGTACTGCAGGAACAGTGTACTGCTTGTAGTATATAAAAAAAGCTGCATTGGTTGCGTACCTTTATAATCTTTTCTAATTTTTGTATTTACTTTTTTTGTAACTCTTAAGTTAATTACTTTTAGCCAGTTGCAGGGGGAACACGAGTTGGTGGAATACAGCTTTTATGTCCTGATACTGTGGAACTAGAACGACTTCTGTTATATCATGTTGGTAGTGAAGAGTGTTTTCAAAAAATGTGTCATCCTCCATATCTCCGTCATAAAGCAATAATTCTTGTTTCATGTTTTTTTTTTTTGGTACAGTAAACCTGTAGTTTGACTTGTAACGGTGCCGATTGCGATTTTCAAATGTGTTTAACTGCGTTTGCATGCATTCATCATACTCTTTTGTTTCTGATGTTATCAATTGTACGAAATGTATCATTTTTGTTTTGGATATCCCTGAGAGTACAACTAACATAGTTTGGCATGGATTAAGTTGACACATCTATCACATTACATAAATAAGACGAATTCCTATTGAAATAATGTTTGAATAAAACTTAGTTTTAAGAAAATAATAATCGCTTGTTTTCAGCTATGAGGAAGTGCAAAAAAAGCAAGCACCAATCGAAACGATTACTTGAGAGGCTGACCAATATCATTCACTCTCACTGTTTTGTGGGTAACAGCTTGGCTGAAGTAGCTACTGACTTTCTGATCCCAGAATTTTACAAGATATTGCACGTCATCAATTCTAACAGCCAGTTGCAATGCTAAAAAGTAGAATTAGAGGATAACTTTATTGTCAAAAACCTTGCAACTTTATTCTAGTTGCAAGACCTTAGAGAGTTGGAAGTTAGATTTTCGACTGAAATTGGTGGAAACCATTATTGTTTATGCTGTTTTGTGGGTAACAGCTTGGCTGAAGTAGCTACTGACTTTCTGATCCCAGAATTTTACAAGATATTGCACGTCATCAATTCTAACAGCCAGTTGCAATGTTAAAAAATAGGATCAGAGGATAACTTTATTGTCAAAAACCTTGCAACTTTATTCTAATTGACCTTAATTCTATAAAACATATATATCACGGGAACTTGTAGATGTTTTGACTAATTAATCCGAGGTTGCTTGCGGTCGAGGTTCAGTAATTAAGATTATACCAACCTGAAACTGGTTATCATATCGCAGCACCTCGGTCAAATCATCAAAAAGAGAGTAAGATTTGTGATAATTGAGCCGCGGCATGGACTGATACCTAATGCGGGCAAAATCTTACTTATTCATCATAATTAAACCGAGGTTTCTTGCGGCCAAGGCATTACTATATGTGTTGTCCATTTTTATATCTAATTACTTATTTCGATTACGCTGAATATCTCATTAATTTCAATCGTACGTACAGTTCCACACAATACGCTGTACCCAACTTCATGTTCCTTTTAATCATTAAGATTGCCCGTCAATGATTATACCTAAGTTGTTAAAATTGAATAATAAGACGTTAGAAGTTAGATTTTCGACTGAAATTGGTGGAAACCATTATTGTTTATGCTCACTATTTTGTGGGTAAAAGCTTGGCTGTAGTAGCTGCTGACTTTCCCATCCCAAAGTTTTGCAAAATATTGCACGCCATCAATACTGCTGTGGCCAAAAGAAGCTTAGTGCTATTCTAACCGCCAGTTGCAAAAATAGGATTAGAGGATAACTTTATTGTGAAAAACCTTGCAACTTTATTTTAGTTGCAAGACCTTAATTATATAGAACATCTATATCACGGGAATTTGTAGATGTTTTCATTAATTAATCCGAGGTTGCTTGTGGTCGAGTCTCAGTAATTAAGATTATATTAACCTGAAACTGGTTATCATATCGCAACGCATTGGCCTAATTATCAAAAAAAGACAGTACCTATTGCGGGCAAAATCTTACATTTTCATCATAATTAAACCGAAGTTTCTTACGGCCAAGGCATTTCTATATGTTATTATACTTATTTCGATTTATATTTCAATGTACACCCTTTGTTGTTAAAATTGAATAATAAGAAATATGACATTATGTTAGAAGTTAGATTTTCGACTGAGGCTCGTTACTACCATCTTCTGGTTAAGCTATCTAAGGGATTATTGCTACAGTTACGGCTATTTCACGCGCTCTGATTGGCTAGTAGATGGGTTTATCTATAAGATAAATTTAATTAAAAGATGGTAGTAATGGACCTTAGGCTCGTTACTACCATCTTCTGGTTAAGCTATCTAAGGGATTATTACTACGGTTACGGCTATTTCACGCGCTCTGATTGGCTAGTAGATGGGTTTATCTATAAGATAAATTTAACTAAAAGATGGTAGTAATGGACCTGAAATTGGTGGACTGACCGAAATGGATGCTTGATATTGGATACAAAATTAACCTTACCCAAAATTCTTTAGCCTAAACTAAACGTTCTCACTAAAAAAGTGAGACAACCTTATACTAAACCAATACTAAATTACTTATGCCGGGTTTTCGTTAGTAGAATTAGTGGTATAGTAACTTTGCTCTACTTAGTTTGGTAGAGTACCTGTTTTCACTTAAATTGAAAATAGCATGGCACAGAAGATAACAGTAAATAGTGATGCACACAAAGTTTTCTATACTCGACTAGTTTAACACTGTTTTCATAAGGATAGTGGCGATAGAGTAGAGTGGAAAGCTGTGGTGAGGGACGGAGTAACTTTACCACTCTATTCTACTACAACCAACTGATCTACTCTACCACGTACGTTTTCATTAGGCGAGTTCACAAGATAGTACTTACCCAATATACTCTACCGCTAATTCTACTAATGAAAACTCGGCTTTAGTGAAAAATGTTATAAGTTCTAGACTTGCATAAGTTAGCAAATCTTGACAGTGACCACCGATTTAAATAAAAAATAACCTATATTCCTACCTTTAACCTTAAATAGTATTATGTAACAGATAAGTTTTTATGGAACATAAGATTCAGTCATAAATTTTTTACAAAAAAGAATTTCTTTTTAGTGATTTTCCAGTTTTTATTCCGTTGTAATAAACCAGTGACTTGACAGAATCATATTTTATTGAAAATGCGTGACCAAACTTCTACGGCTATTAAATTGATTTTCAAGCAAAAATCGGTAAACTTTATAGATTGAGACCCAAATCTTGATTAAGATACCAACCTATCAATAACTTAACAGTTTATTATTTTCTATTTATTCATACGATTCAGTTTAATATATTTTAATTATATAACCCATTAATATTAGCAGCAATTAATTCTATTTAAGTATTAATTTAACAAAAATAATTGTCAAGGTTATATTAAATGTTGAGGTTCTTAAATGAGAAAGGGAAAGACGATCCCATGAGAACGCATTTAAAGTTTGGCCACATCTTCATTGAAATAATACTTACCTTTACCTCATTTCTTATTCTCCAGCTTCGAGGAATCAGCTTCTTAAAACGAATAGAGGAGAGATTTTACTAAACCTAACTGAAAAACTGATTATATTCAAAGTTATTTTAAAATTTTAATATTGGTCTCCCAAATAATACCTTTATTCTTGATTCGTTTTTATATCAAAAAAATCTTTTATTATTCATTTTCTTTTAAAATCCAACTCTAAGTTTAAACATATCATAATATTACAGTCTTTAACTTTTAAAACGAGATGTCACTCACCATTATTATCAATATTATTTACACAACTTTTCCCATGTTTATTTTTTTAAACATTTTTTTGCATAAACTTATTTTTTTCATTCAAAACATTCCATCCCTATCTGTTCAGCATCATCAAAACTCACTGTTATAAGTTCACAATCAGAGAAACCAAAGTATTAAAAAAAACTAAATTTAGAGTAATAAATTATGAGATCAAGAACTTGCACAAAAAATACTCTGGAGACCACCAATCGGAGCACTTAGCATTGTTTTTATTTAAAAAAATCTAACTCTTTCCATCATTAACTACAGCACAAACACAAAACGTTATACACTGCATCATTTTATTACTTCTGAATAAAGCGGCTGCTTACAGTCAATCCTTTCACATACAAAGTCAACAAGTTTCTTGCGCAGAAATTGTTACACCACTATATTAAAAACTATCTAGCGGGAGAACAAAAACAAATAACCAAGAAAAAAAAACAAAAATAAAATAAAAAAGAACTGAAAGCACTAATCACTATGTTCACTTAAAAAATATAGTTTTTTGTTTTCGTTAATCTTCCAAATGTCACAAATCATAAGATACATTCTTTTTTTTTTTTTTCGTTTTGAGTTACTACAAGAAAATTTAAGTGAGAAAATTTCACAGTTATTAACAGAAGATTCCATAAAACTATTTCGGCTCACTTATTTCCTGAAAAACAAGATGAAACAGCGCTATTATTTTTTAACCTAAATAACTAACACTACATAGTACCACCTCACGTTAAATAAAAAAAAATGATATAAAGATTAATAATAAACATAAATCGACAATGAGTGTAATTTTTTTTGTTTATATGTGTACCTGTGAATTTAAATTAATAAAAATTCTTAGTTTTATAAAAAAATTAATGATTCTAATCGATGTGTTTGCTTTGTAAATAATAATGAATTTATATTATCCGTTGTTTGTTTTTTTTTTTTAAATATTTAAGCTGTACCGCCACGTACCACAACAATTACCAAGTGATCCTCTTTTAAAGCATCATCGGGAAGATTATGACAGGTGCGTTTGATTAATTCAGCAGAAAAGGGACAAGGTGGGAAGGAATAAAGAACACCTGTGGCTTCAGTTTCTTTGTTCAACAATGATATAACTCCTGCTGCCTCTTTTTGCTTCAAATATGACACCAAATTACGTAACGGTCGAGTTTGTACGTTTGCATCATCGTTAGTTACCGATGCCGTAGATCCAGCAAGACCTAAGAAAATCGCGTGGGAACTTGCTCCCGCGATACGTTTTTGTACATCTTCCAATTTCGGTTGATCCAAACGTAATCGTTGTGTTATGCGCAATTGATGCCGACCGTCCTCATCCTTCATCAAACCCTCAACTATATCTGTATCCCCATCGATTAAATGAAATTTAGCTGGGAATAAAGAATTTTTTAAAATTAGCGCTCCTTGCCAAACTGTCGAACATTTTCTAGCCACCTCCGGTAAAGTTCTACTCGAAGCTAATAACCCAGCTCTTCTCGAGCCATTATCAGAATCAGAATCGACCGATCTTCGTTGAGACCTCGATCGAGAACGATCAACTCCTCTCGATCCTGATCTATGTCGATCGTATTCAGCTTCGGGTCGAGTTCGATTCCATTCTTCCTCCTCCATAAATCGATATGGACCACGACTTCCAGCTCGTCTTTCTGGATAAGCCGATCGGCGATATCTCGAGTAGCTTTCATCGTATTCAAATTCAGGTTCAATTCTGCGATATTCTAACGGATCTTCGTGTACTGGATATGTTGATGGTTTTGGTCGATACGAAACGCCTGGTGTAACGTCGGCGAAATCGGTACGAAGACGCCGATCGGGACCGCCTAAAGGAAAACCTCTCATTTCTTTAACGGCTGCTTGAGCGGCATCAATGCTATCGTATAAAATGTACGCTTGGTTATCACCTTTCGCGTAATCGATTTTTTTAATGGCCCCAAATCGATCGAATTCGCGTTCTAACTGCGTTACTGAAGTCCAAGGACCCAAACCACCTACCCAAATACGCGTCGTAGGTGTTGCCTTACCATATCCAATTTTACATTGAAATTTTCCAATGTATTGACCTGATAATTCGACTTTTGCGCGATGTGCCATATCTAAAGTATAAAAACGAACGAAAGCGAACGCGTTTCCTGTACCGGGTGGTGGACGTTTTATGTCGATATCTTCTACAGTTCCGTAACGACCGAAAATTCTACGTAATTCTTCTTCTGTTATGTTAATTTCTAAATTACCAGCAAATAATGTACGTGTAGCTAACGGGTCTTCTTCGGGGGAGATATGATGTAAATAGTTAGGGAATTTATCTTTTTTATTTTCGGTTTTTTCAAAAGGTGGACGTGGTACGCTATGACGAGGGGGACCATATGGATGTGCAGGGGCCATGTGAGGAGGATGATGAATGGGAGGACGCGCTAAATACTCATGATGAGGACCGGGAAGAGCTTCGCGGCGGAATTCCCTATGAACGGGAACTCCAGGTGGCATACCATAAGCTCTATCATAACGTTCAACAGGTCTTAAACGTTCCGGGGATCTTGCATAATAATGTCTATCGTATTCTGGGGTTATTGAACGCGGGCGACGATACATATCACTAGAAGATCTAGCCACTTCATAAACAGCTTCAACCAAAGCAACTTTATCGTAAATAATGATCCTTGGTCGCCCATGTTTTGCCTCACGGGCATCATCGGGGTTTCTAAAGCAAACGTAAGCTACTCGTTCGTCCAAATCGTGAGAAATCCGAATGCTAAGCTCTCCATACTTTTTGTATTCACGATATAACGTGTCTTTGATAACTTCGTCGCTTGCTTTTGGATGTAATGCACTCACACATAAAACTTTGTACGGATAGGCCCTTTCTGGGGGCGCATGTCGCATGTACTCATCACGGTGTGGCGACATGTACCTTGGTCTTGGACTTGGAGATCGGCCGCGGCTGCCCCTCCTGCGAATACGCTCTGGGGTTATACGCTCATCTGAGCTATCGTCGTACCTGCCCATGCTGGACCGAGACCTTTTGCTGCGTGGTGGCGTGTCCCTATCACTACTCCTTTTCATATTTTGTATCCGTACGGTTATTCTGTCCCTTCCAGAGATCATACGCACTCTGCACCGCTACACGACAACACAACGGATGACACAGCTCACCTCGCCTAAAAACACAACACAATACACCCATTGTTACACGTGCTAAGTAATAGATCAGTTAAATTTTTTGTTTTATTGAAACATACGTTATTTAGAACGATTTTTGTACGTTCACTTTGTGTTTATTTCTTCACCGCAACAACTCTCTTCTTTTACAATCACTGACACTCCCAAAATAGAGAATGAAAGGTTTTCACAAAATGGCGATGCTACAAATTGATGTATCAATACAACTTCCATAACTACGGATCATTAAATAAATATTTTAAAAAAATTTAGATTTAGATACAAAAATAGCTTTTTGTATTTCTCAAATTATTAATTTAATTTTACTAAAATTAAGTAACGTACAAACTACAACATTTAATCCTTAGTTAAAGTCTGATTTGACTCTTTTAGTAGTTCCTTTAATTTACCAACTAGATACCAAAAAGAAACTGTTTAATATTATAACATTAATAAATAATTTATTTTAATTAAAATATATCAATAAGATTAAATTACTTTAATAAATTTTAATTAATTTAGTACAAATAACTTTTAATAAAAAAATTTTTAACCAACTTCACATCAAACTGTCAAACCTAACCTAATTCAATTTAACCTCAATATAGCATATAAACTTTTAATAAATACTTCAAATAACATGAATGCACTTAAAAGAACGCAGGTAAATGAAATATAATTCTTATACACAATTATTTATTTTAAAATTTAGCAATGGGCAACTTTCGCAAGAATTTGGCATATTTATGATGCATCTTGGCAAAATCCTTTTCAATCAGCTACTTTACTTAAAAAATATTTAATGGGGCTCTACAAACCTATTTATCACCCAATGAGTAAGTTTAAATAATGCAAATATGATTTATGCAAGCAATAAAGTAAAATTTTTTGCTAGATGATTGTGGTGATCATGTAATTGTAATAAACAGTGCAAATATTGCATTACCCGGCGATGAGTGGAAAAAGAGGGTGTATTTTCATCATACAGGGTATCCTAGAGGTGCATCTTGGACTTTAGCTTGGGAATTACATAGTAAAGATCCCACAATGGTAAGATTTTTTATCTTGTAATTTAATCAGGTTAATTTTTTTTTAATATTAGGTTTTGAAGAAGGCTATTTATAATAGTATGGATGGAAACTTACAAAGAAGATATACCATGCAAAGGTTGCACATATTTCCAGATGCTAATGTACCACCTGAAATGTTAGAAAATGTTTCAAATCAAATTAGACAAATTAGAGGTGTTCCAAAACGTCTTGATCATTATGCAGAAGAGGAAGTGAAAGCTTTTCCAAAGATTATTGATTATCCTAAAGATTATGTACTGAAATGATTGTTTTATATTTTAAATTAAAGTAGTGGTTATGTTAATATATTGTTTTTTTTTCTGTATAGGTTATATCATGCTATATCACTTTCTATCCTGTTCCATGGATTGATAAAACTCTAATTTAGAAGTTAAACATTTTGTTACCATTTTTGTATTACCTTGGGATATTCAGCAATATTCTTATTGCTTCACATAGAGTTTTACCGCCCAAATTTAACATGTCTTTAATAACTTGGTCTCATCCTGGGCATCTGTTATTCTTCATCTGTCCCAATGTTACGTTTATTTCATCATCTGGGAGATTCTCTCAACCAAACATTCATAACATGATACCCTGTAATATGTTAAAAGTGGTAAACACAAAAGATAATTGAAAAAAATTTAAATAATTCAGAAATATTTATTTCTTTCATACATATTGTTTACTTAACCAACTTAAAAGCTCATCTTTACACCCTAATTTTTTAATATGACCCACTATATCTGTCACTATTTTCCCTTTATTCTTCATTTCCTTTTTTAATGTTCGTAAAGAAGAAATTAATACCGCCCAACATTCCACCGCGTTCGGATAAAAATGTACAGCTTTTTGTGCTGCTTTTAAAGCTTTTTTATAACTACCGGATAAAATCAAGCTTAGCGAAACCAAACACAAAATCTTGGTAACGTCCATATTCGTCTGTCCTAATTCCGTGGCGATTTTTGCGCATTGAGAGGCTGCAAAATCTCGAGGCCTTTCTTTGTGTAATCGTATTAATAAAATTGAAAGAGATAGCCATAAAGAAGCTTCGTTGGGATATCGATGTAATAATTTGCTAACTTCTCGAATTGCTTGTTTAGATTCGCCTTTTAAGAGGTAGAAATAAGAAATAAGGGTGGAATAATGATTTAAGGATTCTTTTTGATCTTTTATAATGGACATTTCGTTGAGTACAAGCTGTGATAAATGTAAATCTTGATGTAATAAACCTATAGAGAGCATTGAATAGAAACCCCATGGGGACGGCGGTTTAAGTTTTACACTAAAAAATAAGTTTGTGTTATTTGTATTAATTAGAAATTGAATTAATCTTACCTTTGAAAAAGTAAAGTTTTCGCAGCTTCGTGTCCCTCAAATAAATAAGCCATTGAAGCTAAAGCAACTAATAAATCACTTTGTAATTTGTTATTATCAGTTAACCAATGTAAAGCTGATTCATAAGAACCATAAGATTCTTCATATTCTTTATCTAATGAGAAAAAAAAACATTAAATTTGTTAAAAAGTTATATTTTATTGTGAAATTACTTTTAAATAGTGCTAAAGCCAAAGAGCTTCCACTTTTAAAAGTTGCTGTTTTAACCCCTTTTAAAATCCTTACAGCTTCCTTGTATTGTTGATTTTCAATCAACAATCTTCCATAATTTACCAAAATTTTATCTTTGTCTTCATCATTTTTTATTAAAACTAATGAGTGTTTAAAGCATTTCAGTGCTGTTGTTTTAAATCCCATCCTTTCTCTTAAAAGGCCCAACATATTCCAACCACACGGATCATCAGGATGTAATTCTGAAATTAATAGAACAAAATAATAATAAAAAAAAAAAGAAAATAATGAAATTGTTTTTAAAATGTTATTGAAAGTTTTCCAAATTTACACTCTGCGAATGAAAGTAACTAAAGTGTGAATTGCGTTAACATGTATAAATTAACACATTAACCAGATCTCTTATAGTTTCTGATACAAATATACTAGGTACATAGAAAATAACGAATGAAAAAAGAAAGTTAACCCAGATTTTCGGCAGGGAAAATACTAAATAAACTAAAATGAGAGTGAATCTGTATGAAAATTATTAACACTAACATGCTTTTTACAAATAAACTGTAATAGATATAAGATGTCCCCAAGAATGTTTCATTTCAGTTTGATTCTAGTCAATACCTCAATAACTTGAAGAAAAAGAATTATAAAAAATGTTTAAATACGTTTACTTATTAACTTTGTGCTTTTGTTTGTGTGCTGCAAACGATTTAAGTGAAACTGGGCGCAAGAAAGGTGGTGGATACTTATTATGTGAGTATTTTATTATATGATACATCTATATATAAAAATTAATAATTTTCTTTTGATTAGATGGAACTGGGATTGCTTATTATTTAACATTTTTATTGGTTAAAATAAAAGTCATTGCTGTTGTTGGAACATTAATCACTCTAGCTTTAGTAGCAGGAAAAATATATGCTTTTTATAAATACATAGCATATGCAGGTAAGAATTTTTATTAAATATAATAATTAAATAATAATAATTTAATATTGGTTATAGAGTCTCAACATCACATAGAACCAATTTACCAGGAAATACCTCACCATGATTTTCATTACGGAAAAGAAGTGTATCTAGATCATTCCCCTTATGAAACAGACCATGATCATTCAGAACATGTTGTTGATTCACCTCCATCAGCAGATATTCATGAAAAAACTTATTCAACATATCCATCTAACACCGCGTATCAATCTAACGCGTACTCATCTAATACTAATAATAATGAGTATCCAACATATTCATCACCATACTCAAGTAATTACCATGCAAGAAAAATCGATAACATCAGTAACATTTTGGATATAACTAAAAGAATTTTTAGAAGGCAAGTTGTGTTCAAATTAAGATTATTAATATTAAATTATTATCATTTTTTCTTATTACTTTTAGCTTAAAGTTATCTGAATTAGCATTCGACGCTATGCATATTAAATCAGATACTTGTAAAAGAAGGTTTATGTGTGAGGCGTATTTGCAGGCGGAAAATAATCAAATATTATCGTTGGGTTTAACAATTTTAAAGTAAGTCATTAAGAGAAAGTGTAACAAAATAAATTTAAATCGCTTTGTTTAACAGTGATACATCCCAAGAAAATTATCGACCCGAACAAAAAGTTTCAACACTTGAAGAATGCGAATTAATGTATAAAGAATGTGAAGAAGAATTGCAGAGCTAAATTATTTATTTTATATCGATTAATTTATTTATTGTAATAAACGATTTTATTTAAAAAAAAATGTACTCACCTGTGTACCACGTCAAAGAATCACAAGCAACTGGAACTGCATGCATATTACGTATAGCATATTGAGCTTCTTTAGTTTGTTCTCCAAGTAAAGTTTTACAAACCCAATAACCATAACCAATTTCGCTTTGCTCATGACAACCAAGTTGTGTACTATGTCTAAATAAGTCCATACAATCTTCGTGCCCCAAAAATTCTGCTATCAAAGCCTAATAATTTATTAAAAGTAAATACAATTAATCACAACGATATGGATCATAACCTGTCCAATCCAACTGTTGATGTAGTTTGGATCACATCTCTGCGCTTGAGAAAATGCGTCGTTCGCTAATTTAATTTCGTTTAAATGTAAATATAAAGTACTCAAATTGCACCAAGCAACCGCGCAATTTTTATCTAAAATCGTTGCTTTAATAAACGAGTGTTGAGATAACGAATAAGATTTAGGTTCTTTAAAGAAAGCCAATACTCCCATCAAATTCCAATGAGCCCAATTGCCGGGGTTGGTTATTATACAGTGATGAATCGCCGCAAAAGCTTTATTAAAAAGATCTTTAGATTTATCTGGATCATCAGCTATTTTAGCGTAAGACAGGAGACAATTCGCTAAATCGTGCCAAATTAATATGTTATTATCGATGCAAACGATTGCTTTCGAAAAACATCTAGAAAAATATAAAAAAATAACAATACTTTATGGTTAATTTTAATTTACCTTATTGCAAATTCAAATATATCATCTCGCTCGATATATTTCCCTTTTGAGGGTTCATTTACGAATTTATCTTGAAGGAGGTGTTCTTGAACGCGTAAGCAGGAATAATGTTCTGATAGATGTGCTACCAAAAAGCAACAATCGCCTAGTAATTTCCAAAAGCATGATAATTTGTTGTTTTGATTAATTCCGCTGAAATTTGTTGATAGATATTAGTTATTAAGTCTTTGTTTTTAAAACCAAATCACGAAATTTAAGAAATGTTTTAGAGATGACGTTCCACTAGATTGGAGAAAGTCCCAAATAATCTCCATATACAAGAAAGGGTATATGAAGGGGTGTGGGAATTACAAAGAGTTAAGTATAACGTCATCATTTGGAAGGTTATATGGAAGAGTCCTGAAAACTATTATAGAAAGGGAAATTAAGGAAGAAGAGGTACAAAGTGATTTCAGACCTTGCGTAGATAATTTATTCACGCTTAGCTACTTAGTTGAGAAAAAGCTGTCAAAAGAAAGGGAAATACATATTTCATCTATACATCTGAAAAAAGCGTTCGATATGGTCCCGCTTCAGAAATTATGGATTGCCCTGACAGATGCAGGCATCAACATAGCTTACATCCATGCTGTGAAAGCGTTATACTCACAACTGATGCTTGAGTGCAGCAACTAAAATGGTATGGACATCTACGCCGAATGAGTAAAGAGAGAATCCCACTTAAGGTTTGGAACTGGGTGCCAGAGGAAAGTAGCAAAAGAGGTAGGCCTAGGAAAAAATGGATCCAGGGCATCAATGTGGAGATGAAGAGCACTGGGTGAAGACGATTGGAATGATAAGGACTGCTGGCGGTTGGGATGCGAGAAGCGGCAATAAAAAAAGGTGCAAATACTCGCCAAATAGAATAGAATAATATAAATAACAAGTTACAGGATGTGGGGTTTTATAGATAAACTGTAGATCTAAAATATTTAATATTTGAAGTTATTTTCAAAACGCAAACAAATTCAGAAATTTCATTTTGAAAAATTTTCATTGATTAAGCGACGACTTAATTTGTCTAAATATTTAGAAGAGAATATTATTGCGAAATTTCAATACTTAATATTTCTTTTTGGTTCTAGTTTTAATCATCATGGTTTATTGCAAAAATTCCCACCTAGATAATGTATCCAAAGCTAACTGAGCAGAATCTCTTGCAAGTCCCCACAATTGATTTCTATTAAATTCTTTAGCTTCTCCTAAATAAGTCTCAGCCAATCCTTTTAATGCTGGAATATATTGCTTATTATTAAAAAGAACTCCTTGATATTGTTCTTTTGCTTCTTTAAATAAACCAAGAATCTAAAAAAAAATGTATTAATTAATTTTACTACAATTAATTTTTGTATTACCTGTTGTATTGATGCAATTTGAATTTGTGGATATAAATTTCCCGGGACAAGTTCTAAAGATTTTTGATACGATTTTAAAGCTGAAGTGTAAGCCCCTCTGGCTAAATAAGTGTCCCCTAAACTTTCCCAGCAAGAACTAAAAACAATTTGATTTAGAATATTAAATGCATAATTTTAATTAAATACCTATTATTTGGATTTAATCGAATCACAAGTCTCAATGTATCAATTGCTTTTGAGTAATCTCCTCTTTCATGATAAGCTAAACCTAATTCCGTCCATGCCCATAAATTAGATTGATTTATTTTATCACGAACAAAAATTTCAAGAACATTTACGCACCCATTCTATGGAAAAATAGAAATTAATTATAAATGATTTTTAATTTTTTAAATTAGATCTTACCCAATTTCGTTGAATTTTATAAATTTTATTTAACTCAATAATACCAATTAAACATCGATTATGAACCTTAATTACTTTTTCAAAGCATCTTCTTGCTTTATCTAAATTGTTAAACTTCTTATAATAAATTCCTAATTTTAAAAACACTTGATAAGCCATTTGATTTAATTTTGCTGCCTTTAAATAATTCAATAAGGCTTTATCAAAACATTCCAACTCCCAATTGATGTTTCCTATTTCCAAAGTTGATTTCCAATCATTTTCTTTTTGGTTTTCTAAAACTTCTAAAGCTTCACTAAATTTTCCCTTTGATTTTAAAATTTGCGCTTCAAGCAAATTTCGTTCACTTTCATTTTTAAAGCTCGTTATTTGATTTAATAAAGTTTCAGCGGTTTCAATTTCGTTTAAATTAATATAACAACGGATTAATGAGATTTTTAAATCAGGATTTGAATTCTAAAAATAAATTTTAAATGAAATATAAAGTTTTGAGAAATATTTTGAATAACATACATTTTTACAAATTTTAATGACTTTTTTCCAATCTTCATGATCATCACTATAGGAAAGTAATTCACATAAAATAGTGTTTATAATTAATTTATAATTATTATTATCACCAGATTTTTCAATTAATTCTTTTGCTTTTAAAATCGAAGATAAAGCATCAATATTTAAAGATAATTCAGATTCAGTTTTTGATTTTAAAAGATACACATCAACACAAGGATTTGATTTTAAATTAATTACTAAAACAAAAATAATTAAAACTTAAATAACAAAATAATTAATTCAATTACTTTCTTCTAATAAATATTTAGTTTCCTGAAAATTCTTGTTGATGAAACTAAATATAGCCCGTGATAATAAAAAATCATGATTTGTTTTAAATTCTTCAATTAAATGATCCTTTTCAATTATTTCCTTGAATTCATTAAAATGGTTTTTAAGAAGTTCATCATTGGTGAAGAATAACTTATTTGCTGCTTTACAAATTCTCAAAATAATTTCTTTTTTATTATCATACAAATTATAAGTTTTTAAAGATTCCTCTAAAGAAGTGTTGTATTCTCTAGATTTAAACAACAATTTCGTATAAGTTTCATGTATTTCACAAGAATTTAATTCAGAATTGTTTATTAATAATATTAGAAGATTTTTAAACTGAAAAGAAAGTCATTAATAAAAAATTAAAAACATTTTTATGTATAAAAAAGTAATCTTACACATGATATTAAATTTTCGGGTAAATCTTGAATTAATTTTAAATAATTATACAAAGACATCCTAATATTATTTTTTCCACTTTCGGTTACGGAGTTAGAATCAATTAATTCCTCAATATACTTTACCAAAATTTCAGGTTTTTCATTACAAAATTTCAAGATTTTGCCAGCACATTCAACAATTCTTTTCTCATTACTAAAATCAAAATTTTGTATTTAATATTTATATTGAAAGTTAAAAATATTTATTCTTGTGGGGGCTGCTTCAATATACATGAAAGGAGATTACCTTTTTTTATATTTTATTATAATGGAAATCAATTAAATCTAACTTTTCTATTATGAGCGGTAATATCAGCTAATATAAATTTCAAAGGTTGTAAAACACAGTACACAATTCTTTTACATGGCTCTTTAACCATCAATCATGCTTTTCTTCCGATAGAACAGCTTTCAGGGGAGGCATAGGAGGCAAAGAATAAAGACATGAGGCGATTCAGAGCCTAGAACACTAGAAAGTTTAGTTCACATGCTTTTAATACCATTGGTTCCTGTATTTACAGGCCTTAGAACGTTCCAGAAAGTCTCATTGAAGGAGCTGAGTCCTGAGGCAAGGGAGCTGATCACGGATACAGTGGAAAAGGATATAGTTGATGAGCAGCATAGTGAAGGGGAGAAGGATTCTCCAAGCGAATTGGTAAATGATTCGGATTTTAAATTTTTATAAAAATAGTTCCTCCTGTTACTAGAAACTAAATCAGCATTTATTTTATCTTTCCATTTTATTTTATACTAATTTTTCCCTAAAAAATATGTGAAGAACCTCAAAATTCAGTTCTGAGAACTAAACTTTTCCTTCATATATCTTTTTAAGCTATTTTAGCCTTCTGGCCCTATTACATATGTAGTATAGTTGTGAGGTAGCTCCTAATTTATCCTGCTGCTATCTCCATGTATAAATAAATAAAGAAGTTATAATCAAATTGTAACAATTGTAATTTTCTATTTACATAAGCTTTGTACTTCTAAAAGAACAGTATTTTTACTGGTTCATTTATCTCAATTGTACTTTTTCCTACTTCTTGCTATATAATTTCCTCACAATCAGTTGCAACATCTGTAACTTATGAATAAGGAATGAAACACTGAGTGAAATAACCCATTGGTGTACCCATATCTCCACAATTGTACTACTTAAACATCCCCACTGAAATGAGTCAATTACTTACCAATCTAATTTAATTATAATTTGATAAATTTTAAACAATTCTTTTTTCTCTTCCTCATTTCCATGTTTTTCATATAAACTTGCTAAACCGTTATAAGCTATCCAATTTGAATTGTTTAACTGTATCGCCTTTTTAAAAGCATTTTGAGCTTGTTCAATGGGTCCAACTTCTTGAAGAGATATTCCAAAAAATACTAATGCCATATAATTATTTCTATCTTCACTTAAAATTTCCTTAAATATAAAAACAATATTTGTAGATAGCCCTTTATTTTATAACAGACCTCAATAGAATCAATGCAAATAGAAATTGGATATCTCACCTTACAGAGTTTTACACAATTTTGATAATCCTTATTATTTATAGCTTCCCGGGCTTCTTTTAATATTTTTTTCGACGACATTTCACAATTAAGACAATTTATTATGTATATATATTTTTTAAAAGCCTTTTGTAGACAACTTTTAGTTTTGTAGGGATTTTATTGGTTAGAATTTTATTTTATAGGTTAGGTTTTGACATCTCCATTTGACATTTGTGTACATTTTAATACATTGTACGTTGTTAAATCTCAAGCCACAATTATTAAATTATTTAAATAATGGCAACTCCACACAGAGAAACGATTCAAAAACAGATACAACAAGATTGGGCAAATAGAGAATATATTGATGTTATTACAGTTAGCATTAAAAAGATTACTGATTTTCTAAATTCCTTTGGTAAGAACTTTTGTAAACAATCATGGGTTGGGTTTTTAAATACAGTGATACAATAAATTCTACATACACCACAGAAAATCATAATATCTCAGCTCCTGAAATGTAATTCAATGAAATTTCTAAATGAAGCTATTTTAAATAGAAGATATTTTAATATTTCATATAAAAAATGTATAACTTGGAATTTATAATGAAAAACATAAAACATAATCATATTTATAACTCAAAAAAGTCTACATACAGCTATAATTGACATATAGAGATTAATTTAGAGAGAGATATCATTTTCTGGGGTGTAAATATGTGGACTTTATTGTATTACTGTAAATCATTATTATTACTGAGAAAACTTTGCAGATTTATCGTGCAGATCAAAATTGGCTGTTCTAAATGAGAAATTGACCACACTCGAAAGGAAAATTGATTATTTAGAAGCTTGTGTAAGTATTCTTTATTATTATTTCAATATCTCAAAAATTGTTCATTAAATGTTCAATTTTAGGTCACCAAAGGAGAAACATTAATGTAAAAAAAAGTATTTATATGTTATTCTTTATTTAGAACATATTTATTATAAAATATTTTTAAGCTACAATAATTTTATAACAACTTTTCGTAATGTAAAATAATTAAATACAATTGATATGTATTTGTAGGTAAACTGAATTAATTTTTTCTTTTAATTAAATTTATAAACTATTAACAACACAAACAGGTTTATATCCTTTAAAGTAGTCGCTATTTTTATTAAAATTAATATATTTATTACTTAAAAGATTTAATAATTTCCTAAAATAATCACAATTCCATGTATTTCCAGCAATATCAATTTGTTGCAATCGAGGCAAATAGTTAAATATACCATCATTGATTTGTCTTAATTGATTATACTCTAAATTTAAATAAACTAAATTCGATAATGATTCAAAAACTTTAGTGTCAATATTACTAATTCTGTTGTTATTTAAATAAATTTTTTCTGCATAATTTAATTTAAATATGCCATGAGGTAAATTAGAAATGTCGTTATGAGAAAGATCAAGTTCGATCATTTGAGTTTGATGGAATACATTCTTTTCGAGATTTGTAATAGAGTTATGAGAAATATTAAAATATCTCAATGCTTTTGTATCGTCTAAAGTTCCATCTTCTAATTTTTCAATACGATTTTGCGATAAATCTAACGTAATTAGTCTTTTGTTTTTGTCGAAAATTCCATTTTCGATTCCTTGTAACTTACAACTTTGCAGATTAAGCGTTTGCAAGTTTTCTAATTGATCAAAAACACCTAAAGGTAACTCTAACAATTTATTTTCGCTTAAATCTAATTCTTTCAATTTCGGCATTTCATCAAATAACCCCAACTCTACTTTTTGAAATTTGTTGTTAGATAAATTTAATGTTTCCATAGAGGTTAATTTATCTAAACAACCTAAAGGTAAACTTCTTATTTCATTGTTAGATAAATTTAAATCTTTTAATTTTGCACAGTTGTCAAATAATCCAAATGGAATTTCCTCGATTATATTATTAGATAAATCTAAATTTTCCAAATTTCTTCCACCATCCAATACACCTAATCTTAGCAAATGAATTCGATTATTATTCGCTTTTAACGTTTTTAAATTGGGAATTGCATCTAAAGTTCCCAATTTTAATTCGATTATTTTATTAAAAGCAATATTTAAATATGATAAAGCCCATAAATGATAAAACGTATCGATTGTAGTTAACGTTAAATCATTATTCGATAAATCTATAGTATTTAATTGTGATAAATCCCGGAACATATTATGCGGAAGTCTTGCGATTTTATTCGAAGTTAAATTTAGATGTTGAAGATTTTTTAAATTGCGGAATGCTTGTTCTTCTAATGTTATTATATCACAACGTAAAGATAATGTGTTTAAGTTGTTAAATGGTAGAAATTCTTTTCTTGCGTGTCCTAAGTAACATGTTTCGATATTTGCTGAGGTTATTATACTCTAAAACAATAAAAAATAATAATTTATTATCATATAAAGGGTCGCTTATTGCTATGGAAACGGTTAGTTATCTCCTAAAGTAAGATAGCTAGCAAAAAATGTTAAGATACAAAAGTTTTAGTGTTTTTTAAAATATATTACAATAAAGACAAATTAAGTATACAGGGGCAGTCAAAAAGTTATTAAAGAATTACCCTTTAAAGACAAGAGAAATGCAGAAATCGCCAAACAAGATGTTATTTCTTTGGTAGCTGAAAAGATTTCGGACGAGTTAACAAGCTGAGCTGATAACAAAACTGAAGTTGTATTTAAATCAAAATAAGCCAGAAATCAAAATATAGAAGATGACGATTTTTAGGAGGATTTTGAAAAGGCAGCTCAAAATTACCAACATGTTGGTACGGGAACTTCTACTACCAAGGCTATATTAGAAATAGGTAGGTACAGCAATTTGGATGAGTGGAAAGAAAATAAATATTTGTTTCCACACCTAGCATGTGTTGCGCAGAAGAGGGTTAGTGCACGTGTTAAATCTATTCCTTGTGAAAGGCAATTTTCAAAAGCAGGGCAAATATTGACAGATAGGCGAAACAGCCACCATTAATGGATATCATTAATATATAAAAAATCCTGCCTAGTTTATTGTAAAAAATTAAAACCATACTTTTTTTTATTAAGTACTACAATTCAAGGTTATTTACGTCAAATTCTTAACATATTTCTAAGAAATTGTATTTATAACAGAAAAAACAACAAATTACTTAAATATCTACTTTGATTAANATTTATTAAGGTTTAAACACACATATTTTCCAAATTGTGTAGGTGAAGGAACAACAACAACATTGACCCAACCACGCCAATTCCTTGGCCAACACTTTCTTACAATGAATCTAATTTCATAACAGTTAATTTAACCGGACAGAAAAACCTCAAAATTCTGTTCTGAGAACTAAACTTTTCTTTAAGCTATTCTAGCCTTCTAGCCCTATTACATATCTACTGTAGTTGTGAGGTAGCTCCTAATGGAACTTGTTCTGTCGCTATCTCCATGTATAAATCAATAAAGAAGTTATAATCAAATTGTAACGATTGTTGTTTTCTATTTATATAAGCTTTGTATTTCTAAAAGTATAGTATCTTTACTGATTCATTTATCTCAAATATACTTTTTTTACTTCTTGCTATATAATTTCCTCACAATCAGTAGCAACATCTGTAACTTATGAATAAGGAGTGAAATACTATGTGAAGTAACCCACTGGTGTACACATATCTCCACAATACTACTGGATAAACATCCCCACTGGAATGTGTCAATTACTTACCGATCTAATTTAATCATAATTTGATAAATTTTAAACAATTCTTTTTTCAATTTATCAATTTGTGTATATTTTAATACATTGTACGTTGTTAAACATCAAGCCATAATTATCAAATTATTTAAATAATGGCAACTCCACACAGAGAAACGATTCAAAAATAGATATAACAAGATTGGGCAAATAGAGAATACATTGGTGTTATTACAGTTAGCATTAAAAAGATTACTGATTTTCTAAATTGCTTTGGTAAGAACTTTTGTACACAATCATCGGTTGGGTTTTTAAATACAGTGATACAATAAAGAAATTGTATTTAAGTCAAATGAAGCCAGAAATCGAAATATAGAAGATGCCGAATTTTGGGAAGATCTTGAAAAGGCAGCTCAAAATTACCAACCTGTTGGTACGGGAACTTCTACTACCAAGGCTATTTTAGAAGTAGGTAAGTACAGCAATTTGGATGAGTGGAAAGAAAATAAATATTTGTTTCCCCACCTAGCATGTGTTGCGCAGAAGAGGCTTAGTGCATGTGTTACATCTATTCCTTGTGAACGGCAATTTTCAAACGCAGGGTAAATATTGACATATAGGCGAAACCGCTTTAGCGGCAAAAAAGCCGAAATGCTTTTATTTCTAAATACAAATTTAAAATATATTCGCAAAGAATAACAGAATAGGTAACGAGTTCTTTTTTGGTTTATTTGTTATGTCACGGCTGTATTGGTAATAATACAAAAATGTGTCCACTTGTTTCGAACTATTGAATTACAATCGCAGGTTACAGTCACTGCGATTTCAAAATCACAATCGCAGTTTTGCTCATCTCTACTACCATTAATGGATATCATTAATATATAAAAAATCCTGCCTAGTTTATTGTAGAAAATTAAAAACATACCTAGTTTTTTTTATTACTACAGTTCAAGGTTGTTTACGTCAAATTCTTAACATATTTCTAAGAAATTGTATTTATAACAGAAAAAACAACAAATGACTTAAACATCTACTTAGATTAAGATATAATTTTCTAATTTCACTTACATTATTACTAGAAAACGTACTCGCAATACTTTGAATAGTTGTATATTCACAATAAATGTTTCTTCCTCTAGATGAGCACTCTCCATTTGACCTTTTAATCATGATAAATAATACAATGAAAGTTAATAATGTTATTTTATGCATTTTAAAAAATTGAGCACGTTAATTGCATGTAAATTGTAACTTGTATTGAATAAAATAATGATGCTGAATATTATTAAACATTTAATGAGTGTTGGTTCTAAATAACAAACAACAACTGATATTGAGCCGCAGAATCTTGGAGTTTTTGAAGGTCAATGAGATTCACATTAATTTTATTTTTATGTTAATTAAAAAAATGATTGACAATAATAAATTTAAAAAAAATTAAACTGTCTCATGTTTTTATCAATTATCTTTATCAGAAAAGAAATATCCCGATAAGATTATTAACTACTTCACTTAATACATCCGTTTTAGAATCAATTCACAATAAAGTACTGTTTTTAGTGATTGCATTTAATGTTTAACATGGATATTCTACGATTTTCGTGCATCTTTTTGTTTTTAAGTATTTACTTTTTGCAATATTTTTAGTACTTAATAATTAACTTTAAAATTGTTTTAGTTCAAACCACATTAAGTAAACAGATTCCACTTAATGATGATGTCGAAGAAATTAACTTCGTTGAATCGAATGAAATTTTTATTAAGGCCGAGGATGGATTTCAAATACTTATATCTGTTGAAAACATTAATATTACAAATCAAGGAGAGTATATTTTAATGAAAGCAGGTGAATTATTGCATCTAAAATTACCATAATGTTGCGTTATATAAATCAATTTTTTGTAGGTCTTGAAATAGATGATGGGTATGATGGAATTATTTTTACGGGATTTTTAAACACCTCCAGGGAATATTTATCACTTAAAAATGAAATTTATATAACGTGTAAACAAGGTATTTTAACGACCCCTCAAAGGATTGTTTATGATGATGAAGAAAATGTTGATTTTTTTGCCGATTTATTTGATGAAGGCGAAACTAAAAATGCTACATGTGAAGAGTTTAAAATAACAGTTAGTCGATATGGTAAGAATCAAACTAAATTGATAACATTTATTAAGGTTTAAACACACATATTTTCCAAATTATGTAGGTGAAGGAACAACAACAACGTCGACCCCAACCACGCCAATTCCATGGCCAACACCTTCTTACAATGAATCTGATTCCATAACAGTTAATTTAACCGGACCAAGTCAGTATACAGAATCTGTTTTGAATAGATTAAGAAATAATATAGCCCAAATGGCAATAGAATATTGTGCTTATAATAACATCGAAGGTGAAATTAGGTAATACTAAAAATTCTTAGGTTGTATTTTTTAAAATAAAATCTTAAAATTATTTTCAGTGTTGAAAATGTTTTAATAGACACAATAGTTCAATGTCCAATAAACTGGCCTAAGAGAAAAAATTGCGTTCAAATAACATTCAGATTACCAATCATTCGAGATAATGATGACGATTACCAATTAAATTCAGACCATTTGGAACAGATGTGGTTGCATTATTCAAAACATCTCAGTCCTGAATTTAGTATTTATAATTTACCTGAAACATCCGTTTTTACGTTATGGTTAATAATAATTTGCGTTGTTATCCTCTTGTTTACTGTGGTTTTGTACCTTTTCAAACGGTTTAAACAACGATTGACTGGAATCAATAAAAGGTTGGTTTAAATTTATTATTTTATGGTCAATATTTCTAAATATTACTAATTTGTAACATTATTATTTTATTATTTATTAGGAAAAAATCTGTTAATAACTCCGATCAAGCAAATATGATTCCTACACAAAGCCCAAGAAACTCGCTTCATCCACATCCCAAACAGATTGTCCCAGGGATGTTTGAAAGTGAAACTTCTTACTATGATCCAGATTCAACAGATAATTTAAGATAATTTATACTTAATTGTTATATTTATTTGATTTATTTCAATTTCAAATTAATTATATAAGAGTGCCATCTATTAGTGTGTTGTTAAAATTCTATTTATGTAAAAAATAAAAAGTAAACCTAGCATTTGTATAGATCAAGTAGTTTATTTTTGTGTATAATATAAATAATTTAGATATTATTAATAAAACGTTTTTAATAAATATTATATTTTTTTAGCAATTGCGCAATCTATTGACATAAAGTAAAAGCAAGCTTTTGAAAGTGACAGGTATACTAAAATTAATACCAACATAAAAACTTTTAACACAACACATCTCCTAAATAATACTCAATCGTAATTCACAAAAAAAATCGGAAAAAACTTAATTTTTTATTATCCAAACATTCCTAGAACATTCCGAAATGGTTCAAAAAAGAACAGAACCGTGTTTATCCTGTAAATTAATATCAGTTGGTTGTATGTTGGGCATTGGAGGTTATTTATTCTATCAAGGTAGAAAACAAACTCGATTTTCGAAGTATACATTTTATTCATTAGCATCTGGTATGTAATAGATTAATGTATTATTGATAAATATAGATAAATAAAAACAATTTTTTTTTAGGAGCAACCGCCTTAGGAATAGGTGAAATGTTCGATTACTCTCCATTTCGACATGCACAATAAAAAGAACAATTTTATTTAATTTTAATCATTTTCCATAATTATTTCAAATTATTTTCCAACTTTTCCCAGTTTAGTATCAGTTTTTGGATTAGCTGTGATGTTTTGGACAGAAACAATAACTTCGTTTCCTTTAGTTTGTAAGTTGCGCAAATCTTGTATGTAGATAAGTCTTAAAACTTTCGCTGCTTGGTTTAAACCGACATCACCCAAATCAAAACCAAGATCGGTATTGTGATATGGAAATGGGGTACCCTTTATAATTAAAAAAATTTTTATAAATATATCAATAAATTCAATGTTGCATTATTTTTTAACTTACTTTGTTACCACAATCTTTACCAGGATTCTTCTCATTAATNAGCACTAGAAAGTTTAGTTCACATGCTTTTAATACCATTGGTTCCTGTATTTACAGGCCTTAGAACGTTCCAGAAAGTCTCATTGAAGGAGCTGTCTCCTGAGGCAAGGGAGCTGATCACAGATTCAGTGGAAGAGGATATAGTTGATGAGCAGCATAGTGAAGGGGAGAAGGATTCTCCAAGCGAATTGGTAGATGATTTGGATTTTAAATTTTTATAAAAATAGTTCCTCCTTTTACTAGAAACTAAATTAGCATTTATTTTATCTTTCCATTTTATTTTATACTAATTTTTCCCTAAAAAATATGTGAAGAACCTCAAAATTCAGTTCTGAGAACTAAACTTTTCCTTCATATATCTTTTTAAGCTATTTTAGCCTTCTGGCCCTATTACATAAGTATAGTTGTGAGGTAGCTCCTAATTTATCCTGTTGCTATCTCCATGTATAAATAAATAAAGAAGTTATAATCAAATTGTAACAATTGTAATTTTCTATTTACATAAACTTTGTACTTCTAAAAGAATAGTATTTTTACTGATTCATTTATCTCAATTATACTTTTTCCTACTTCTTGCTATATAATTTTCTCACAATTAGTTGCAAGATCTGTAACTTATGAGTGAAGTAACCCACTGGTGAACCCATATCTTCACAATTGTACTACTTAAACATCCCCACTGAAATGAGTCAATTACTTACCAATCTAATTTAATTATAATTTGATAAATTTTAAACAATTCTTTTTTCTCTTCCTCATTTCCATGTTTTTCATATAAACTTGCTAAACCGTTATAAGCTATCCAATTTGAATTGTTTAACTGTATCGCCTTTTTAAAAGCATTTTGAGCTTGTTCAATGGGTCCAACTTCTTGAAGAGATATTCCAAAAAATACTAATGCCATATAATTATTTCTATCTTCACTTAAAATTTCCTTAAATATAAAAACAATATTTGTAGATAGCCCTTTATTTTATAACAGACCTCAATAGAATCAATGCAAATAGAAATTGGATATCTCACCTTACAGAGTTTTACACAATTTTGATAATCCTTATTATTTATAGCTTCCCGGGCTTCTTTTAATAATTTTTTCGACGACATTTCACAATTAAGACAATTTATTATGTATATATATTTTTTAAAAGCCTTTTGTAGACAACTTTTAGTTTTGTACGGATTTTATTGGTTAGAATTTTATTTTATAGGTTAGGTTTTGACATCTCCATTTGACATTTGTGTACATTTTAATACATTGTACGTTGTTAAATCTCAAGCCACAATTATTAAATTATTTAAATAATGGCAACTCCACACAGAGAAACGATTCAAAAACAGATACAACAAGATTGGGCAAATAGAGAATATATTGATGTTATTACAGTTAGCATTAAAAAGATTACTGATTTTCTAAATTCCTTTGGTAAGAACTTTTGTAAACAATCATGGGTTGGGTTTTTAAATACAGTGATATAATAAAGTCTACATACACTCCAAAGAATGATAATATCTCAGCTCCTGAAATGTAATTCAATGAAATTTTTAAATGGAGCATAGAAGTCTATATTATTTTAATATTTCATATAAAAAATGTATAACTTGGTATTTATAATGAAAAACACAAAACATAATCATATTTATAACTCAAAAAAGTCTACATACAGCAATAACTGACATATAGAGATCAATTTGAGAAAAATATCATTTCTGGGGTGTAAATATGTAGACTTTATTGTACTACTGTAAATCATTATTATTACTGAGAAAACTTTGCAGATTTATCGTGCAGATCAAAATTGGCTGTTCTAAATGAGAAATTGACCACACTCGAAAGGAAAATTGATTATTTAGAAGCTTGTGTAAGTATTCTTTATTATTATTTCAATATCTCAAAAATTGTTCATTAAATGTTCAATTTTAGGTCACCAAAGGAGAAACATTAATGTAAAAAAAAGTATTTATATGTTATTCTTTATTTAGAACATATTTATTATAAAATATTTTTAAGCTACAATAATTTTATAACAACTTTTCGTAATGTAAAATAATTAAATACAATTGATATGTATTTGTAGGTAAACTGAATTAATTTTTTCTTTTAATTAAATTTATAAACTATTAACAACACAAACAGGTTTATATCCTTTAAAGTAGTCGCTATTTTTATTAAAATTAATATATTTATTACTTAAAAGATTTAATAATTTCCTAAAATAATCACAATTCCATGTATTTCCAGCAATATCAATTTGTTGCAATCGAGGCAAATAGTTAAATATACCATCATTGATTTGTCTTAATTGATTATACTCTAAATTTAAATAAACTAAATTCGATAATGATTCAAAAACTTTAGTGTCAATATTACTAATTCTGTTGTTATTTAAATAAATTTTTTCTGCATAATTTAATTTAAATATGCCATGAGGTAAATTAGAAATGTCGTTATGAGAAAGATCAAGTTCGATCATTTGAGTTTGATGGAATACATTCTTTTCGAGATTTGTAATAGAGTTATGAGAAATATTAAAATATCTCAATGCTTTTGTATCGTCTAAAGTTCCATCTTCTAATTTTTCAATACGATTTTGCGATAAATCTAACGTAATTAGTCTTTTGTTTTTGTCGAAAATTCCATTTTCGATTCTTTGTAACTTACAACTTTGCAGATTAAGCGTTTGCAAGTTTTCTAATTGATCAAAAACACCTAAAGGTAACTCTAACAATTTATTTTCGCTTAAATCTAATTCTTTCAATTTCGGCATTTCATCGAATAACCCCAACTCTACTTTTTGAAATTTGTTGTTAGATAAATTTAATGTTTCCATAGAGGTTAATTTATCTAAACAACCTAAAGGTAAACTTCTTATTTCATTGTTAGATAAATTTAAATCTTTTAATTTTGCACAGTTGTCAAATAATCCAAATGGAATTTCCTCGATTATATTATTAGATAAATCTAAATTTTCCAAATTTCTTCCACCATCCAATACACCTAATCTTAGCAAACCAATTCGATTATTATTCGCTTTTAACGTTTTTAAATTGGGAATTGCATCTAAAGTTCCCAATTTTAATTCGATTATTTTATTAAAAGCAATATTTAAATATGATAAAGCCCATAAATGATAAAACGTATCGATTGTAGTTAACGTTAAATCATTATTCGATAAATCTATAGTATTTAATTGTGATAAATCCCGGAACATATTATGCGGAAGTCTTGCGATTTTATTCGAAGTTAAATTTAGATGTTGAAGATTTTTTAAATTGCGGAATGCTTGTTCTTCTAATGTTATTATATCACAACGTAAAGATAATGTGTTTAAGTTGTTAAATGGTAGAAATTCTTTTCTTGCGTGTCCTAAGTAACATGTTTCGATATTTGCTGAGGTTATTATACTCTAAAACAATAAAAAAATAATAATTTATTATCATATAAAGGGTCGCTTATTGCTATGGAAACGGTTAGTTATCTCGTAAAGTAAGATAGCTAGCGAAAAATGTTAAGATATAAAAGTTTTAGTGTTTTTTTAAATATATTACAATAAAGACAAATTAAGTATACAGGGTCAGTCAAAAAGTTATTAAAGAATTACCTTTTAAAGACAAGAGAAATGCAGAAATCGCCAAACAAGATGTTATTTCTTTGGTAGCTGAAAAGATTTCGGACGAGTTAACAAGCTGAGCTGATAGTGAAACTGAAATTGTATTTAAGTCAAAATAAGCCAGAAATCAAAATATAGAAGATGACGATTTTTAGGAGGATTTTGAAAAGGCAGCTCTAAATTACCAACCTGTTGGTACGGGAACTTCTACTACCAAGGCTTTATTAGAAGTAGGTAGGTACAGCAATTTGGATGAGTGGAAAGAAAATAAATATTTGTTTCCACACCTAGCATGTGTTGCGCAGGAGAGGGTTAGTGCACGTGTTAAGTCTGTTTCTTGTGAAAGGCAATTTTCAAAAGCAGGGCAAATATTGACAGATAGGCGAAACAGCCACCATTAATGGATATCATTAATATATAAAAAATCCTGCCTAGTTTATTGTAAAAAATTAAAACCATACTTTTTTTTATTAAGTACTACAATTCAAGGTTATTTACGTCAAATTCTTAACATATTTCTAAGAAATTGTATTTATAACAGAAAAAACAACAAATTACTTAAATATCTACTTTGATTAAGATATAATTTCCTAGTTTGACTTACATTATTACTAGAAAACGTACTCGCAATACTTTGAATAGTTGTATATTCACAATAAATGTTTCTTCCTCTAGATGAGCACTCACCATTTGACCTTTTAATTATTATAAATAATACAATGAAAGTTGATAATGTTATTTTATGCATTTTAAAAAATTGAACGCGTAGATTGCAAGTAAATTGTAACTTGTGTTGAATAAAATAATGATGTTGAATATTATTAAGCATTTAATGAGTGTCGGTTCCAAATAACAAACAACAACTGATATTGAGCCGCAGAATCTTGGAGTTTTTGAAGGTCAATGACATTCAAATTAATTTTATTTTTATGTTAATTAAAATAAATACTAAATTTTAAAAAACTAAACTGTCTCATGTTTTTATCAATTACCTTTATCAGAAAAGAAATATCCCGATAAGATTATTAACTATTTCACTTAATACATCCGTTTTAGAATCAATTCACAATAAAGATCTGTTTTTAGTGATTGCATTTGATGTTTAACATGGATATTCTACGATTTTCGTGCATCTTTTTATTTTTAAGTAGTTACTTTTGCAATATTTTTAGTACTTAATAATGAACTTTAAAATTGTTTTAGTTCAAACCACATTAAGTAAACAGATTCAACTTGATAATGATGTCGTAGAAATTGAATTCGATGAAACGAATGAAGTTTTTGTTAAGGCCGAGGATGGATTTCAAATACTTATATCTGTTGAAAATGTTAATATTACAAAACCAGGAGAGTATATTTTAATAAAAGCAGGTGAATTATTGCATCTAAAATTATCACAATGTTGCCTTATATAAATTAATTTTTTGTAGGTCTTGGAATAGATGATGGCTATGATGGAATTATTTTTACGGGATTTTTAAACACCTCCAGGGAATATTTATCACTTAAAAATGAAATTTATATAACGTGTCAAGAAGCTACTTTAGCGCCACCTCAAACGATTGTTAATGATGATGAAGAAAATGTTGATTTTTTTGCCGATTCATTTGATGAACACGAAACTAAAAATCCCACATGTGAAGAGTTTAAAATAACAGTTAGTCGATTTGGTAAGAATGGAAATAAATTGACAACATTTATTAAGGTTTAAACACACATATTTTCCAAATTGTGTAGGTGAAGGAACAACAACAACATCAACCCCAACCACGCCAATTCCTTGGCCAACACCTTCTTACAATGAATCTGATTCCATAACAGTTAATTTAACCGGACCAAGTCAGTATACAGAATCTGTTTTGAATAGATTAAGAAATAATATAGCCCAAATGGCAATAGAATATTGTGCTTATAATAACATCGAAGGTGAAATTAGGTAATACTAAAAATTCTTAGGTTGTATTTTTTTAAATAAAATCTTAAAATTATTTTCAGTGTTGAAAATGTTTTAATAGACACAATAGTTCAATGTCCAATAAACTGGCCTAAGAGAAAAAATTGCGTTCAAATAACATTCAGATTACCAATCATTCGAGATAATGATGACGATTACCAATTAAATTCAGACCATTTGGAACAGATGTGGTTGCATTATTCAAAACATCTCAGTCCTGAATTTAGTATTTATAACTTACCTGAAACATCCGTTTTTACGTTATGGTTAATAATAATTTGCGTTGTTATCCTCTTGTTTACTGTGGTTTTGTACCTTTTCAAACGGTTTAAACAACGATTGACTGGAATCAATAAAAGGTTGGTTTAAATTTATTATTTTATGGTCAATATTTCTAAATATTACTTTATTACTAATTTGTAACATTATTATTTTATTATTTATTAGGAAAAAATCTGTTAATAACTCCGATCAAGCAAATATGATTCCTACACAAAGCCCAAGAAACTCGCTTCATCCACATCCCAAACAGATTGTCCCAGGGATGTTTGAAAGTGAAACTTCTTACTATGATCCAGATTCAACAGATAATTTAAGATAATTTATACTTAATTAATTGTTATATTTATTTGATTTATTTCAATTTCAAATTAATTATATAAGAGTGCCATCTATTAGTGTGTTGTTAAAATTCTATTTATGTAAAAAATAAAAAGTAAACCTAGCATTTGTATAGATCAAGTAGTTTATTTTTGTGTATAATATAAATAATTTAGATATTATTAATAAAACGTTTTTAATAAATATTATATTTTTTTAGCAATTGCGCAATCTATTGACATAAAGTAAAACCAAGCTTTTGAAAGTGACAGGTATACTAAAATTAATACCAACATAAAAACTTTTAACACAACACATCTCCTAAATAATACTCAATCGTAATTCACAAAAAAAATCGGAAAAAACTTAATTTTTTATTATCCAAACATTCCTAGAACATTCCGAAATGGTTCAAAAAAGAACAGAACCGTGTTTATCGTGTAAATTAATATCAGTTGGTTGTATGTTGGGTATTGGAGGTTATTTATTCTATCAGGGTAGAAAACAAACTCGATTTTCGAAGTATACATTTTATTCATTAGCATCTGGTATGTAATAGATTAATGTATTATTGATAAATATAGATAAATAAAAACAATTTTTTTTTAGGAGCAACCGCCTTAGGAATAGGTGAAATGTTCGATTACTCTCCATTTCGACATGCACAATAAAAAGAACAATTTTATTTAATTTTAATCATTTTCCATAATTATTTCAAATTATTTTCCAACTTTTCCCAGTTTAGTATCAGTTTTTGGATTAGCTGTGATGTTTTGGACAGAAACAATAACTTCGTTTCCTTTAGTTTGTAAGTTGCGCAAATCTTGTATGTAGATAAGTCTTAAAACTTTCGCTGCTTGGTTTAAACCAACATCACCCAAATCAAAACCAAGATCGGTATTGTGATATGGAAATGGGGTACCCTTTATAATTAAAAAAATTTTTATAAATATATCAATAAATTCAATGTTGCATTATTTTTTAACTTACTTTGTTACCACAATCTTTACCAGGATTCTTCTCATTAATAAAATGACTTTCAACTACTTTTCGACATGCTTCTAATGTAACATAATGATCTGGATGTGGAGTTACTTTTAAAACTTTCGCTAAATTAGTGACACCATCATAAAATTCTTGACATGAAAAATCTAATTTATCTAATGGATTATCCGTTACAACATTTGGAGTTGTTGATTTTTTTGTGGATTCAATTGAATTAAATTTATTTTCTTAAAAAAATAATAACAATTAGTTTAAGCTTTTCAGAAAAGTCCTTAAAAGACTCACTTTCTTTTTGATAACTACTTTTTATAGTATATCCTGCTAACCAATCAATTTGAGCTTCTTTATTAATATTTTCAGGGCAATTCAACGATTTTAAATAAGTTAAATAAAAATCATTCCAATTAGAAGATGTTGTATCACCAAGTTGATCAGATAAACTTTGATCACATTTTTTTACCCTATTACCTTCTAACCATACCACAATATTTCTATACACTCCTTCATCTTAACAATAAAGATAATAAGCACACATCTATTGATTACCAATTATTATTTACCTTGAATATTTATATTTTCTAGGTTTGGATATTGTAAAGCTGTTAACTTTCTTAATAAAACCATTTTATTTTGAGAATCTCGATTTCTTACCGGTAAAGCGACATCTGTCAATTTTGACAGAACCTGGTAAATTTCGATTAATACTTTTGATTACTAAAATTAATTTTTATTAAATTAATTTATGTACAAATAAAATTCCATAAACAATATTTCAATAATATTATTAAACACGCCACAATTAAATAGCTTCATTTAACAAATAAATTTATTAAAATAAAAATATTTTACAACGCAATCAAACGAACCTCACACTCAAGTAACATAACCTCAAAAATTCTAACCTCCATACAAATGGCACACAAAATAATCCAAAAATTAGGAGTAAATTTGCTTTCCGTACGTTAAATTCTACTTATAACCGACATTAATTAACATTGCAACATTTTATGTAATTTAGGAAACAAAACTAGGCGTATTTTCTCCAATATTAAACTATCAACAAGTAAGATACAGAAGAACTAAACATTGGAACCCCAAATGGAAATTGTTCAGAAAACTAAAAGTGATCAAAATCGATCTGCCGAAATACAACGAAAAATTTGAAGATTTAAGTGAAGAAGAAGTTCGTTCTAAGTTAAAAGAACAAGGTTTGTTACCACCAAGGCCATGGGTTGAACGTCAATTTCATTTGAGTTGTACTGGGGGAGTATTTGAACCGTATGTTCCTCCAGAAGGTGATGGAAAAGTTTCTGTAATAACTACAGAAGGAGCTAAACAAAACATAGAACTTTTATCAAAGAAAACTCGTTCTATGATGGCAATCAGGAAAATACGTTCATTTGAAGAAGAGTTTGATACAACCATTTTTTGTAAACAAGCAAATGATATTTATATTAAATCTCATCAAGCTTTAATGAGTGGAGATAAGAGAATTTTAAGAGAACTTGTAACAGAAAGAGCTTACCCAGAAATAAGACATAACATTTATTTAAAAACCATCGATTGGAAATTTATTAAAGAAATTGAACCTCCTAGAATTGTACATGCTCGTTGTACTGATATTATTACAAAAGAAAATATTTTTGCTCAAGTTACAGTTCGATTTCACACCCAACAAAGCTTAGCAATTTATGATCGCTTTGGTCGACTTATGCATGGTAGCAAAATTATTGCTAAAGATGTTCTTGAATATGTAGTCTTTGAGAAACATTTAGCCAATGAATATGGTTCTTGGAGAATTCACGATAAAATAATACCTGAATGGATGCCTCCAAAGGAACCTTCTACTGTTACATTTAAACAGATTGCTGAAGTTGTTAGTACTAAAGAAGTTGAGGAAAAGGAAAAAGAGGTTGTTGTCACAGAAAAAAGTGATGTAAAAGCAAAAGTAGAAATGTAATTCGTATTTAGGTTGAGAAATAAAGTTTAATTATAACATAGTTTATTTTACCTTGCGTTTACAGGTAACGTTTTTGATTTTATATGGGCGCCATCTAAAAGAAAGTTTGGGAAGTGTTTCATTAACATGAAGTTAATTAAGTTCAATTTTAATTGAATATGAAAATGATAAGCTTTTTTTGTATAGTGACTAATAGGACAAAAAACACATTTCTTTACAAAATTACAACTCATACGTTATTTGGCATGTATAAATATTTTGAGTTGATTAGTCATCGGTTGAAATTAGAAAATCTGTATACAGGTAAATTTTATTCTCGAGAACTTGGCAAGATTTATATTTTGGCACTCGATTAGATAATTAATTCCGAATTCTGCAATGCGCACGAATACCGTTCTCGACCATTCAGTCGTGCAGATGCCAAAAAAAGTATACATGTTTCCTTTTCTCTCCAAGTTCTTCAATCCGCAATTTCGGTATTTAGCTAAGTTCACGGCGTACGACGTGTAGTTTTTGACAGAAATAAACACATCTGACATACCGTCAGAGTGACGTAAGTTACGTTTGTATTCGGTGCAGTAAAATTCGTAATCGTTGCTCGGATTTGAATGCATTATGTGGCGGCACGTGAAAAGTTAATACCGGATATCTAAAAAAATCAAAAGTTCTTTATAATCGCCAACTACCACAATCGTCTCATGTGAGTAACTTAAAATTATTCGAAAATGAAAAAAATCATTAAGTATTCCTTTTCGATAGAACCATTTAATATCCCTTAGTAATAAAAACATCAATAATTTTGCGTACATGTGTAGGTATAATTATAGGTAATCTCATTGAAATGACATGTAGTTATAAATAGACACCTGTACTACTATTAGATTCCTATTAATCTTAAATTTTACACTATTTCAAGGTCTTTAAATTCATGTGTTTTTATAAATTTTTTTATTTAGAATCATAGTACAATGAGTTCACGATGACAATATTGTTGACCTGTTTTTAAATCGACAAAACTACATAAAGTTATCATTATTATTGTTATTATTATGGAGAAAAGAAAAAGTCCTATGGCATCAAAGATTAATAAACTCAAGGGAAATGTTGCAAACACTAGCGATTCAGATGCTAGTGCTGATACTAATAGTTTAAGTGCTGAAAGTACTAATGTGGAACAACAGATTCAGCAGGCTCCTAAACCACCTGCTAGAAAAAAGGGACATCGTCGAAGTTCTGAATGGGAAATTATGGAGGGATTAAAAGAAGGACAAAAATGTGAGAAGAAACCAGTGAAATTTTATGGGTATTTACATAAGAAACGTAAATGGCCTTTAAAAGGATGGCATAAGGTAATTTAACAGTTTTTATGTTTATTTCTATATTGATGTATTTTTGAAATTTATTATATTTCAACAGAATATTTTATCCTGAACTTTATATTTTATGTTGTATAATATTAACAAATAAGTTACCAAATGAATTTTCCATATAAATATATTTCATATTGACCCCATGACTTATAATTTTGTTCAGTCTTTAAAAAAACTAGGAGAAAGTGGTCTTTAATTAAATAATAAATATGAGTCCCACTAGTTTCGACTATTAGCCATCTTCAGAGACTAGTGTTTAGAACGTTCTAGGTTTTCAAAATGATTATATGATTGTAAATTATACTTTAATCATTTATATTTTATCTTATAACTTTAAAGAATTTTAATAATGTAAACTTGATATTTGATATTTTAATCTACTATTGCATCCTAAAAACTAGTCTCTGAAGATGGCTATTAGCCAAAAGAGAAGTAAGACTTACTATATAGTAAGACTTATATTTATTATTAAATTAAAAATCAGTTATGAAAGTACAAAAAAGCTTTATATATTATTTCTCCTAATTATTAACAAATATTGGTAAAATAGATTTCGAATATAATTCTCTTAAAAAAAAAAACAGTGCACTTGGAAGGTTAATTTATAAAATATCCTCATTCAGAAACTTGATTACAAACTTTAGGTTTTATCATAATTTTGTGGGATGACATAATACAAGAAATTCCTACAATTCTTTTAATAATCTTTATGATCTAATTTACCAACTGGAAAGAATTCCGGTTTTTGTGGTTTTCAGTTCGGTTTTCACATTAAATTTTGTTTTTTTTATCAGTAACATATTTTTTGTTCAAATCTAGGATTTTTTTTCATAAAATATACCTTTACTCAAAATAAGCTTTTATCTTTTAACAACCACGTTTGTCCTAAGGTTGTCAGAGGCGATCATGCCTTCCTGAGGAACTTCCTTAGCTGAAAAGACCAATTGAAATCAAAACAAGCGAAACAAAATAATTTGTTTTGTTTGTGGAACGATGTTTTCTGAAGCACAGTCTTTTAATTGCCAAATCTTTCGAAAGTGCGAATTTTGCACAAATCTGGAAAAGGCTTTGCTTTTGAGAAAGTGAAATAGTTTAACGAATGCGAAACAGTTTACGTCGAAGACAAAATTGGAACAGCACGACGAAGAAGTCGTCAGGAAGGCCTGACGAGGTTTTTTTTTCTGTTTGATACCCTTTAATTACTTATCTCGTAAAAATATTTTAATTTATTTTAGTGAATACTAGTAAAATACCTTGTTATTATCAAACAGTTGAAAGTGAGATTTGATACTTATTCTCCAAACTTTTTTCCTCTGCATTTGTTAGTGTTAGCCGATTTCTGGGGTTGAACCTTTCATTCAAAAAGTTATTTTGTATACTTTATCACTGTGTTTCAAAAATTACTTAAACTCTTGCAGAGTGTTTTACCTGTTGCTTACCCATATTATATAATGATAAGATTAGCTTATATTTGGTTTTATTTAAGCAATGTAAGACTCTAGAAAAGGATTAGTGTAAAATAATCCCGAACTGAGGCTACAAATGATCAAGTTTCTTTTATCAAAACAAGCATTGCAACATTAGATGAGAGTTTCAGGAAAAAATGTTATCTTAAACTGTTTATTAATCCGTAATACATTCTATGGAAACATGCTAGTATCGCTGTAAACATATAGGAGCGACTACATTCGTACAATTAGTAGGTATTTGTGCTATTTATCTAATTATCGTAATTTCGAGTTGTATTCCTTAAATAAATATAGATAGTAACAAAGATAATACAAATTAAAACAAAATGTTAAAAATATGGACTATGAGGTTACATATTTTTATTTTAATGTTTATAACAAAGAGGATTTAAGCATATTATTTGATTTAGGATTAGATCCTAAATTAGAAATTTTCATTTATTCACATTCGCCTGTCTCCATCAAATTCTGCGCAGTATGTGTCAGCTGTCTTGCTCTTTCCTGTTTAACGCGATTGCGTCTGTTATTACTGTATAAACTTTGAGTGGCTGGTGATGTGACTAGTGGTTGGTCCAAATTTGATTGGTAACTTCCCATTTCATTTCGTAACATTTCTTCTCTAATGTATCTGAAGTAAGTAGGTATGTTTTCTTTAGTTGAGCAAACAACGTCACGAATTTTGTAATAACTAAATTAATTGCTTTTTCATAGCACCCATAATTGCGTTTGTTTCTACTTCTTACTAATTGGACATAAACCAGTAGTAAATTCCCTAGCTTAATAATTACGACATAACAAAATTACTGCCTCTGGGTCGTATTTTCATAACTGACAAGTCGTGATTCCATGTTTATGAACTGGTGATCTTATGCCTCTTGAAGCGGAGTATCTGTTATCTCTTTTACCTGGTCCAACCACCTAGTTGACAATCTTGCCTTTAGTCTTCTGCCTTCTACTTTTTCTTGGACTATTTTTCCAAGTTATTTCCCTTTCTTGTGATTATATGTCCAAAATATAGAGTTATGTAGAGTCTGTCTTTGATCTCGAGCTCTTTTAGTATAGATATGTTCGTACGTCTGTCTGGCGAGGGACTACGGAGCTTTCGACATCAGTACCATATCTTAAAAGCTTCAATCTTTGTTCTATCGTCGTAAGATCGCAAATATAAGTGTTCTAATTAGTTGCAATTTTAAAAATTAAGACATGAATAGGACAGGACACGTACTTTCCCCACCCGCCTCTAGTTATCATGCAGCTAAATCAACATCTGCTGATATGTGATGATATGTCATGCGTTTGATGAATAACTAGTACAAGATGTGTTTGTGCAATTTTATATCAAACTCAAATTATTTCAAGGTGTCCATGAAGCGTTTACTAACGGCTCAAAATGATAAATTAAATGATGAGAACATGCTTCTAGAAAAGAGATTTCTCATAAAAGAATTTATAAGCTTTGTATACGAATGGAATCAAAGATTTAAATCAACAGTGCTTGGTGGTAAGTGAAACAATTAACAAACCCATTTAATTTAATAGTTCCGCCTACCTCTGTTTGAATACGTATTAGTTTGTAACTTAGGTAGCATCCACTAAATCGGAGGGCTCGCCATAATTGCAATGATAGTCGGACGTGATAAGTCATTAAAATAGAACTGTTTATCTTATCTTCGAAGGATTTTCTAAACAAATACAAACTTATTGCTGCAGTTCTTAGCTTCTCTTTAATAATTTAAAGACCATAATTTAATTATTATTAAGAAAGTATATATTATGGAATTTTCATTTGATATATTATCTTTAAACCAGCTGTATATAAACACTCATATAAATTAAAAACAATTTTTGTTTGGTAGAAATATTAATAGCCTATAAATTTTAAATAATTTTTATTAATTCAAACATTTACGAGTTATTAAAAATTTCAATCAATTTGAGAGCAAGGTACAAGTTATAAATAAACCCATTTTTTTAAGTTCTTGGCAATCTAAAAAAATCTAGTACATAAAATATAATAAATGTATCCAAAGTCCAATGCGCCGACCGAACAATGATGTATTGGTTTTTTTAATTCACGTGGAATGAGTCAAATATGTATACGATTTTTATGTAACTTTTTATCTAGCTTAACCTTTTTGTTTCATGGATAAATTTGTAATTATTGCAAAAACAGTTTTATGGGAAAATGAAAATTTTTTTTGTTTTTTTTTTTCAGAGATATTTTATTTTAGACGAAGGTATTCTTGTATATGGAAAAGGTCCGTCGGAAATAAATCGTGGAAAAATCCATGGTTCCTTAGACATAGGCCTATCTGTTATTTCCAGTAAAACAAAGCGACGTCGAATCGATATCGACGCTGAAGAGTTCATTTATCACCTAAAAGCGAAAACGGAGGAGATATTTTTATCTTGGGTTCAACAACTAACAAGCCACAGGTTGTATCGACAGCATGTCCTTACTTATGGCAAAGGATATGTTAATTCTAACACAGACGATCGAAGTTAGTGAAAAACTTAATTAACGATTATTTTAATAATATTAATAAATATTCGATTTTTTTAAGATTTACCTTTAACCCCAGAAATAGTTAGTCGAGATGGAAGTTTAACAAGAGGTTTAAAGCCTATTGGTAGCGCTCGGCTTGCCACTTGGTTACATGATTCGGGTCCCATCATTGATCAGATTCAACGAGATTTAGGAATCGTTGAAGTTAACATTGCTCAGTTAAAGAGGTTGTGTGAAAATAGAGATAGTCAATTTGGTGTAAATACATGTGGTTTAGGTGAAACGGAAGTAAGTTATTTATAGAAAAAGAATTAATTTTTACAATATCGTTTTATGGTTAGTCTTTAGGAGAAGGACTATCCCCTAGTATTAAAAAAAGCAAAAAGTTTGGGCTAAAAAAGAAAAAATCTAATAAAGGAGGTAGCGTCGATTTGACGATGTCTTTTAATAAATCTATGGTGATTGATCCTGATATATCGCCTCTTTCTGTAAGGTTTTTAAGAACACTCTTCAAGTAATTAAAGTAATATATATTATGTTGTTTTAGAATAATTCTACGTTAGGCGTTGTTATACCACAAACACCAACAATTTCGAATCCAGTTTCGAATAATACTTCTTCAATGTCTTTTACAACTGCAACTCTCTGTTTACCAACGGAAAATTGTAATGTTGATAGATATTCTTGTGGTATAGTTGACAATCAAAGTAGATCTGACTTTGTAGTCTTAGCTAAAAATGGTAAGAATAAAGTAGAGAAGAAAGAATCGAACTAAACAAACTTAAAAAACATTTATTGAAACTTAATTTTGTTCTTTTCTGCTTTTTTAGTTGTTTCCGTTTTGAAAAATATTGCAGCTTCATTAGGAACTGAAAGGGACCGTTTAAAAACGGCCATCGAATTGGAATCGAGTGTGCAAAATATGTCTATGGGTGTTAGTCCAGCTGTTGTAGCCAGTTTAAAAGCTAGTTTACAGCAAGCGCTTCAACAAAACACGGAATTGAAAAATCGTCTTACTAAAGTCCACGATGTTTCTGATGTGAATGATTTGTCCGCGTTGGAACCCGTTTCTGAAGGTGTAAGTAAATACTGAAATTAAAGTAAAAGTTCCTAAATTTTTTATTTCCTATATAAACGGTTAATTAATAACAAATTCTTTCAAAAATGCATGTAGTAATTTGAAATTTCGTTCTATATAAAATGTTCTATTTATTTTTCATGTAACATTTATTACAACAGTTTTTGATTATCTTGTAACTAAGAAGGTGATAAGATTAACATTTTTCAATAAACCCTCATTTTTCAAGAATACTTGAAGACAAATATGTTCTAAGTTATTTTGAGAAATACTATCAGTTACTTAAGTGGTATTTTTTTAATGATTATCTTTGTAAAAGAATGCAAAAAAATATTACAATCTATAACAACTTTCAATAAGTTTTCTAATATATGCTTTTATCACTAATATTTTAGAATACTTATTTTTAATTTCAATAACATATTACTATCATTTGACATTTTCTGAATTATTATTACATTTTTATGACTCCATTAAATTATTAATAGGAATTTCCAAAGCAAACGTGTCAATATGACGTCACAACAGAAAATTACTTTCATAGTTTAATATACCTCTAACTACTTAGTATCTAGCAATTTCATCTGTCTTCACTTTATCTCAGTATTTATCTAATAAAACCATCAACTTTGAAGCAGTTGATCATTATTTTAGTAACCAGCCTGGCCAGCGTTTTAAATCAAGGCGATTTAACGCCATGAGGTTTACAGGGGAAGCTTTTGTCCAGTATACATGTAAAGCTGTAAAGAGAGAGTAATTTGATTAGCGTATCCATCCTTTTCTTATTTGTTTCACCCATCTTGTCACATCTAGTCTCTTCTAGTTTTACCCAAGAGAGGTTTATAGATAGTTTTACTAGTTTTACTCTCAGTTTTGCTCATATCTTCGCGTGTCTCTATTCCGGATATCATGACAGGTCTTATGCAAGTTTTATAAATTCTTATGCTGGCGATTTGCATGAATTGATTTGACTAAACGATCTCTTTTAAGTATCTTGATAGAGATGTAGCTTTATTTATCTGGAGATCTCCAGTCTAAAATATTTGAACTGACTGACCTTTTGGGCTCAATGGGCTTGACTTATACCATAAGTTTGCATCTAATTGGTTCTTTGGAGATTTACATGACTTCACTTACTTATGGCTTAGTTGATAGAATTTAAAGAGCTGTCTTTGTAGATCATCTGCCCTCTCTGCCGTGATTGCTTGCATCGTCTGTGTAGTATATCATACTGACTTTATGATTGCTCATTTTATAGCCTCAATTCAACGACGATACCTTCTGTAAAATGTTGTCCATTACCAGGTTAAACAGTAACGAACTTAAATTGTTTAAGACTTGAATTACTTTTACAATATTGTATGGCGTCCCTTTCTTAATTAGTAATCTGATGTTTTCTAGGCATACTTTATCAAAAGTCTTAGTCATATCAACGAAGCAGATATAAACCAGTTTATTGAATAGTATTGACTTATCTTTTAGCTGTTAGATAATAAATAAAGAGTCTTTTTGCGGACCTAGTTTTTCTAAATCCTTGTTCTTGCTTGTACATAATTTCGTTGTTATGCTTGGAAGGATTTGTCCTTTTTTGAGCATAGATATTGTAATGTTTCTGTGCCAATGTTTTGGCATTTGTGAAAAGCTCAAGATATGATCCAGCTTCTTCTAGCTCTTCTTCACTAATTGTTATTTTGTCTGTTGTTTCATTCTTTTTTGTATTTTAGTTGCTTCTTCAGTAAGTATTTGCTTGTAGTTGGCGATATTTGCTTTTTGTTTCGTTGCTATGGCAACCAACATTGTTATTTTAAATGGTATGCATATGTTTTTTAATCGTTGAAACGGTCATTTTTTGACATTTAAAGCTGTCAACAGCGTTATTTCGGTGCCTACTTTGATTATAAATTACAGATTTAGTATTTTCAGAAAAACACATTTTTCTCGATTTTTTTTCTTATACAACCATATGATTTGATATGTTCATCGTATAGAGGGACTTATCCTCTATCAAAGTATGCAAAAAAACATACGCATCCCATATAAAATAACAATATTGGTTGCCATAACAACGAAACAAAAAACAATACAAACAAGCAAATACCGACAAAAAAAGCGCCACGATTAATAATGGTACTTGTATGTGAAAAATTTTTCTTTAAAACCACAAATGGCGAAGTTACTGTCTATATCCCAGACATTTGTCACATTCTGTATAGTGCATTGGTTTTTCTTGCTGAGCTTTTATAAGTAAGATAGCTTTTCCTTTTTATGCCGGTGAGTTCTCTTACTTCTTCACAGAACCATGGTTTGGTATAGTTTATCTATGTTCATTTTACGTTTGTGGTTTGCTCCATTGTTATTTTGCATAAAATAAAATTGTAATTAGTTCGTGGTTCCTAAGTTAGCTAATGTCAGAGCCCTTACGTCTTATATTTGTGAAGGCAGAATTGCTCTATTTATTATTTTATTAATGCCTTTATTACTTATTAATAACTTTATAGAATAATGTTGCCATATTTTATTCGTTTTTTGCACTGTTTAACATTGGTTTAATTAAAAAGTAAATGTTAAGAAACCATCCTATTGTTGTTTTGTCAAAATTGTCAAATTTTTTGTTATAATTTGAAGTCAATTGCATTTTTCCTTACCAGGTTATTAATTTTATTGTTATTTTTGTCAATTTTTACGTAAAATTTCGCGGTTTACTTTTTAAGTAAGTTCAAAAAACTTTTTCCATTTTGTCGTTTATGTAAAAAAACGTTAAAATATATATTTTCGATTCTTGCAGCGTCCCTTCAACAATTCCCTGAGTTACAGCTCTTCTTGTATGAGCGGTAGTGAATTTTTCGATGCGGAAGATTTGGCCTACGATAAGCACATCATCGAGACTGGTGATGAAATTCAAGTTGAAGATTTGGAAGCCGAAATACGAACCCGCGGTTCGGACAGTAGCAGCGAAGCAGGATCGTTAACGAGCGGCGAAGGAAGTATTAGTTCCGGGTCCGATTTAGGTCACGAATTTAACCAAGCTAATAATTTATCGGAAATTGAAGGTAAAATACAATGAAAATAATCATTTCCAATTTAAGTGTCCCCGTTCTTCAAACACTTTAGTCATTTATTGAAGTACTAGAAATGGTGGGTACACCTTCAATCCTAGCTTGTCCTTTTGGTCATTTTATCCCTATCCGAATAAAACCAAAAAGTAAGTGTCTTTATTCTTGCACTTAACTTGAAGAAGAATTATTTTAATTTCCATTAATTGGAAAGATAAAGAAAGGGATGAACCAAAATATAACACAATATTTATAATATATTGGTGCAGGAATAAATTTTATTTTCAAAATTATGATACAATATTATGTTATATTTTGGATAACTTTCTTTATCTTTCCAAGACTAATTCAAAGACTTACTTTACTTAATAATACTTATTTATAGGGAAAAGTTATGGTTTAACAGGGCGGAGAACAGAATTGGCAGCTCCACGACCTGACACAGAAGGTTTATCTTTATGGAATCTTCTTTGTAAAAATATAGGAAAAGATTTATCTCAAATAAGTATGCCAGTGGCCCTAAACGAGCCATTGAACATGCTTCAAAGGCTTTGTGAAGATTTAGAGTATTCAGAACTCTTAGATAAAGCTGCAGAAATAGATGATCCATATGAACGTATGGTTCACGTTGCCGCATTCGCCGTTTCCGCTTACGCAAGTTCTTTAACTCGCGCTGGAAATAAACCGTTTAATCCTTTACTAGGTGAAACGTACGAGTGTACACGTGAAGATAAGGGATTTCGATTTATAGCTGAACAAGTGTCTCACCATCCACCGATTAGTGCTTGCCACGCGGAAAGTAGAAATTTTACTTTTTGGCAAGAAGCCAGAATTAAAACGAAGTTTTGGGGTAAAAGTATGGAGTTTCAACCAATGGGAAAAGTTTACGTTATGTTACCAAAAACTGGAGATTTGTATTCCTGGAATAAAGTAACTACATGCGTACACAATCTTTTTAGTAGCCAGAGATGGGTAGATCAATACGGAGAATTATACATCACTAACGGAAGAATTTCATGTAAAATAACATTTTCAAAAGCTAGTTATTGGTCTGCTAAAAGACACGAAATTCTTGGAGCCGTCTATGATGAAAACGGCGATCAAATCTATAAATTATCTGGTAAATGGTCTGAGGCGTTATATTGTGGTGTAGCCCCAGCTGCAAAATGCATTTGGAGGGCGGGAACTTTACCTCCAAACCATGACCGTTATTATGGTTTCACAAGATTTGCTCTTGAACTGAACGAATTGGGTCCAGAGGGACACCTTTTGCCCCCAACCGATACAAGATTACGTCCTGATCAAAGAGCGTTAGAAAACGGGGATTTAAAGAAGGCGGAAAGTTTGAAGATGCAGCTAGAAACAGCGCAACGCGAACGACGTAAAAGACGAGAGGAATTAAGAAGTCACTACGAACCACTTTGGTTCTCACATAAAAAGGATGATAAAGAAGATATATGGGAGTATAACGGAAAATATTGGGAGGTGAGGAAAAATAAAGGTTTCGGGAATATTTCGTTTGAACCATTGTGGTAAGTAAAAAAAAAATATATAAAAGATAACGTCGCAGCTAATCAATAACAAAAAATAAGTGAACGGTACCTAGAAATTTTGAATCACTTTGTAATTTTAATTAAAAAATAAATCGGGCGTTATTCTAATGGGTAGAAATGTTATTGTGGATTATTATTCTTTTGTATTTGCGAGAGGGAAGTTGACAAATAAAATAATAATAAAAGAATAAGAATATAATAAAGTGTTTTTTAGATAGAAACTTTTTAATCAGCTTCTCTCTCTCGCTAATATATAAATTTTAAATAATGCGTGATAGATGCTTTATACAGGTGATTTGTGGAAAATTAATTGAGCGATTTTCAAAATATATTGCTAATAAAAATCAATATGTAATTTTAATCCTTTAATTAGTATACTTTTTTCATAAAATAAATTTGTAATAATCACTCAAAAATCGTTCGATATTATCGGAAGGATATGGATAAAAATAATTGTAAAACCAAATGTAAGTGGAGTTCATTGTCGAAGATTAGGCAGATAGATCTCGAAATTGTGATTGATGGTCTACTCCATTTGTAATAAATAATTGTTCTAATTCTATTCATAACACCTGAAAATTAATAATAAATGAATCAAAAGAATGTAAGGTCTATAATAATCCAGAAATCTTTACTGGAATTATAGCATAACTTACTATATTGTGCTTTTGGCTTTTGTGGATCCTTTTTACAATTTTATTGTAGTAATTGTAGTAACAACATGGTGCACACAACTTCGTTGAAAAAGAATGAAAGATACCACTACGACATAGAAGCAACATTTACAGTATAAGTTCATTTTCAGACTTTTCTTGGAAAGTAGCGCTGAGTAATAAGAATGTTGCAACATGATTTGACTTGTAAAACTTAAATTAGTTTAAATTTTATCGATCTTATCCTATTTAACTAACACTAAAATTATGATACTTTACATAGGAGGAATGTGAACTTTGGAATATTTCAATATTACGCCCATATAATTAACTACATTACGTAATGGCAAGCAATAAGTCAGTATGAATAATTGAATTTGTCCAAAGAAGCTTTTCCCCGTGTCACAAAAGGTATCTATAAACATAATAATATTGGAGAGTTCGTTGTGAAGAGAGAGAATCTACTTTAATGTTACTTACAACCTGCTGAATCTGGTGGTCGTTTCTTTTGATCCTGAATTATTGTTGGAAGATAAAGCATGTTTAAGACACTCATGAATTTCCAACAATTTAATATCTCTATCTCTCTTTTTTCAGTTAAATGTTTTCTGACAATCTTCCCCGTGCACGAATGTTGTCCACATTTCCTTATTGCTAAAATTAACTTTCTGTACATTTTTTCCTCTATTAGCGATTATCTTGTTTATTACCTTGTCCCAAGTGTCTCGCGATCTTCCTCTCTTTCCACTCCCTTACTTTCTAGCCAACCAGATGCATTCTTGTAGCTGTCACTACCAACTAAGCTCTATAAAATCGTTGAAAGTTTGCAATATTTTATTCTTTCCTTATGGCATCATTCCTAATCTTGTCTCTTCGCAACCCTACAATCTACTTTTTTTTCTTTTCGTTAGCACCCACCCACGTTTCAGTATAAATTGTCAAGCTAATGGCTTGTTCGAAATATTTCTTAATTATATTAATGGCATATCTGGTTCAAACATAGAAAATAGAATTTTATCATTAATGAGGTGATCTTAATTTCGTATTCGTGGACATTGAATTCTTTCATAGTGTGGAATAGTGGTGTAAGATAGAAAACATCTATTTATTTATTCTATATCTATTTATTTATTCTTCTATAACACAGAATACTTTGTAAACAGCGACTCATTTGAGTATAGAGACTATCAATTATACTGAAAAACTTTAAGTCAAATTAATTTAGTTATAAAATATTTTTATCAGGTTAGCAGCAATTTTATTACATTATTAGAATTGTTTTGTGGGTTTTTCGAATTAATAATACTCCTAGAAATGTACATATACAATAAATTATATATGGGAAAATGAATTCTGTGGCCCCAGGTAGTTTTCAGCCGGACATTGTGAGTTTTTATAAGTCTGCTTATTAATTTTAAACACTTTATTTACCTTTTTATAACCGACGACTCCTTGTGGCTTAACACTGTGCGGCAGAGGTTACCACAGATTTTATGCTTATAATTAATCTCTCCATTTTAACATTATCATTTTGACGAGCGATTTCCTTTTTGTTACTTCTGCTGTATTTCTTGTTTGGTTTAAAGCTTTATCAGCATAAAGAGTTATCTCAAAGTACAAATATGGTTGCATTACTTCAATAACTACTTATTGCGTAGTAATTATTTAGTTATTATTAGTAGGGATTATTTTTAAACCTAATAACAAGATATATTTTCCACAAATCACCTGAGATTATTTTTTTGAATATCGATTATAAAACATTTAATAATTACTGATTTTTATGAATCTCGCGAAAACTTGTTACGTAAATGTGGACGATGTGAAAGCTCTATAATAAAATTTAAAAAGAGAATAAAAAATATAATAAAGTCAATTTATTGAAGATTTCGAAAAATATATTTAAAAAAGTGTAATATTAAAAAAAAAAGATTTGTAGGGCCTATATATATATATATATACCTAATTTATATTGTTGTATACAAGTATCCTAAAAGAAGAGTGAAACTTTACATGCAAATAAAACTTAACTGAGAGGTTGATATAAATCGCCTCTTATCGGATAGTTTCTTTTTTTGAAATTTTGATTTATTCAAGTATTTTAGATAGGCAAATATTTAATGTAATGTTTAATTTATTAATTTTCGTTCCCAAATTGGAACTACTTTCCGCTATTACGATTAAAAAGCAATTTAAAAAAAACCTTGTGCATTTTTGTAATGTTAGTTTATTTTTTAAACTACTATTATAATGTATAAGAAAAAACAAAGCTTGAAAAATATTATTCCATTTTTAACTAGCAAGATATCGGTTTTTCCTTACAGTCATGTTGATTGAATCATCAAAAAATGAAATGTATTAATTTAAGTTATAATAACATTTTTAACATTAGATTGGTTTCTTACTTTTTTTCTTTCTTAATTAAAAGCTGTACTATCGAATTTATTACAAATTGTTAAATAAGTATAAATAAATAATAATCGCAAAAACTGTTACTAGAAGCTATTAAATAATACAAAGAACTGACGCAGGAAATGAGAATAATGTGTATAATGTAAGTACATTTTACAAAAGAAATATTTTACGACTTTTTCCATTTTTATTTTCCTGCTTTTGCCATCCTATTTTTTTAAATTTCAGTTCTATTTTTAACATCAACTCAACATTCTTTGTACGATTCCATTTTACACCTTGTTATTATTATACCTACACTTTATCGATATCGAATAGTAGATTTATGTACTATTTTTAACGTGTTTGAATAGCTACTTTAAAGAATTATTTCTTTTTATCCAATAGGTTTGTCTGGTTTTTATTCTTTTTTTTTTTGTAAATGCGTAACCAGTACTTTGTCTGTGATTAAAGTTATTGTTATTAATAAATTATTGGGCTGAATATTTATTTTTAATTACTAAAATACCCAAAAAGTAAATTTTGATATTATGAATATCAATCAAACTTTTAGTGGACGCTTATCGAATGATTAGGTTCTTACAGGTTGATGGCGTTTCCAAACTGAAGAATAATATATCATTAATATGCAAAGAACAGTTATGGACAATTTTTTATAGTTAGTTTCTTATAGACAGTGTTATAAAACAATAATCCAGTGTTGTTTCAACAGAAAATGATGTACCAATACCTGAAACAAGAAATAGTTGAAGGTTTTTGAAAATGTTTGCTATATTAATTGATTTATTTACTCTATTTTCAGGGCTATGAAGATAAGAAACGAATTTACACTAAAAATTTAATCCCACGAAGATCTCTAACTCGATTTTACACACCCCAAGACTAAGACCAAACTGTTTGTAATATTTCAAACGAAATTTACTAAAGACTGGAACCTCCTTTCATCAAGCTTTAATATCTTTGTAGTCGCTAGAGTTTATATTGTATTAAGGCGTTCAATGAAGTTAAGTGGCTGCTATGCTTAGAAGATGGAGAAACAGTAGAGGTGGTGCGAAATCTTAATCTTTGTTGAGATCTTTGGACTATTGATAAATTTTGATACTATATGTCATCGAATTGTCTTCAGGATTCATTGATGTGATTCTGAAATGCTTTTATCTCTGAAATCGAGCTCATTCGCTTTTTCATCCATGTTATCCAATCGAAAAAGATCGTCACTGTTGAATGCACTTTCATGGTTTTGCTAAGGAAGTGAATTTTTTGATCTTGTCTTGCCCAATGAAATAAATGCAGTCTGTTGGGACTGTGAGGTGTTTCTGGTACTGCATTCTTAGACAGACAATTGTCAACTAGCTTAGACAACGTTTTTGAACTCTTGGTGTGTTCCCTTTGGAAACTCATCTTTTACCATTTATCATTTCTCTGGACAAAACATCAAATAATTACTTATTCAACCAGTGTCATATTGCTGAGTACAAATATAAATAATTTTTTCAAGAAATGTATGAAACTTACTGTATGTAGAGTTTTTTGAGTTAGAGATATGATTATGTTTTGTGTTCTCCATGATTGGTAATAACTTATACAGTTTTTATGTAAAATATGGAAATAATATAGACTTCTTACATCTTTTGTTGAAAAATTACATTGAATTACATTTCGGAAGCTGAGATATCATTTTTTTGGTTTTTTTTAGACTATTATATCACTGTAAGTGTCATATCGATTGTCATTAATTTTATTTGACATTTTGATTGACAATGCGGGATTAAAAATGACATGAAAAGCTCATATTTAACCAATTTGAAGATAATTAATTGTATTCGACTTAAAAAAAAAAATCAGCTATCTCCTTTTATATAGAGAATATTAAGTACATATTTGTTTTATTAATTATTCAAAATTAAAATATAAACTCTACAAAACGGTGACCATTTATTTGTGAAAAATTGTATAAAAGGTGTTAAAACATGTTAAATGTGCGTGCTTTGAAAATATAAATAAAGAGGGGACAATTCGATCGACGTATAATAGAAAAAGATGCCGCATGCGTGTGTAGAGTTTGACTGGCCCAGCCATGTTCGGATCTAATCACCTGATTATCAGAAAGTAAATATTTACGAGAAGTTAGTGCGAATCGTGCTGTAGCGGTTCGCGTAATATGGTTGTTTCCCGACGATAACGTTCCTTTAAAATTATACATCGTATCGATGTAACCGGATTTCAAACGTCGGCAAAGAGAGAAAATATGGGTGTTAACAGTAGCAAAAAATTGGCTGCCAAGTGTTCCTTCCTATCAAAAGACGAACAGGTTATAGTAAGCAACTCATTTAAATTTGCTAGTAAAAATTCCGAAAAAATTAAAGAAGATGAACTCACGGTAATTCGGTTTAGAAAATCGGTGTTTATTGAGGTTATGAATTTGTTTATGTAAAAATTTTATTTTAGAAATTGTGGGGAAGTCAAATGGATGCTCGTTTATCGCAGTACATTAATAATTATTTATTTGGAAAATCGGATGTTCGATTACAAACGGTGGAATTAGAGAAATTTGCTGAGTTATATGTGTTTTGTACCAGGGGGACAGTCGATGAAAAATTAAAGGTACTTTTATCCTCGTTGGGAAAAGATATGGATAGTAATGTGGATATATCATATGTATTAGTTAAAGAGGTAGGTAATAAAAATAAAAAAGTATCATATGAGACAAATAATGCAAAATATTGTTTTTTTCATGTTTTCACATTAATTATGCAGTATATTTTATGGCTTTATTATTGATTTACTGTTTTAATACTCACAAGGAAAAAAGTTATTTAAATAAAAAAATGAATATGAGTTTGAGGATTTATTCTACAAATGTAATATTATTTACTACAATTTATTCATTTTTCTAACTGTAGATTAACAATTGAATATTTTTTATCAAATTTTCAAATTCCTTATTGATTTTAATACTCTAATGTGTTATCTTTAATCAGATATTGTATGACTCATCACTTCATAAATTTTATGTGTAATGGTCTCATGAGCCCTCTGGGAAATTAGAGCATAAGAAATTATTAATTATTATTAACATATTCCTCTATATATGTTAACTATATAATTGTGATTAAAAACACAAAAGTGTACTCCATTTCATTTGTTGTAATGTTTGGTATGTCTTACGATCCTACATTCATTATTCTCTGAAGATATAGGTTTGGTGTTTGAGGGTTGTTTAACAAATAATGTTCATTATAAACGTTATTCATTAATTAATAATCTTATTCACTGCTAATTAACTTGCCGACTAATAATAATTGAATTATTTGAAATGTCAAAATTTCAAAAAACGACAATTTAATTTAATTTTTTAGGACTTTCTAAAGGTTTGACATTAAAAAAACTTAAACAAATTCCTTTTTTCCTATGATTTAAGCATAAATTAATTAATTTTCGTAAAAAAACAACGTTTTATAAAATTGACATTTAATTTTGACAAATTGTTGTGAAGTTGGTTACAGTTGGTAACATTGAATTTGTGTCACATTGACGTTTAAACTTTATTCAAAAAATTATTTAAAAACATAAATTTGTCCACGACTACCTTATGAATGAGTTTTCTAAAGCAAAAGGGTAGTCTTTTTCACGGATTGAATAATAGCGGTGAATAATAATCATTATTCACAGTAATCAATTTGACAGACTAATAATAGTTATTTGAAACGTTAAAATTTCAAAAACACGTCAATTTAATTCCATTTTTTAGGAGTTTCTAATGGTTTGACATTAAAAAAACCTAATTGCTTTTTTCGTATGATTTAAGCATAAATTAATTAATTTTGGTAAAAAAACGACGTTTTAAAAAATTGACATTTAATTTTAACAAGTTGTTGTGAAGTTGGTTACAGTTAGTAAGATTGAGTTTGTGTGACATTGACGTTTAAACTTTATTCAAAAATTTATTTAAAAAATAAATGTATGGAATCAATTTCAATAATCCTGGACAAAGTATAGTATTCTACTTACATATAATGAGCTATTATTCACTCAGGTTAATTATGCTACTAGCTACGATCGTGACATAACTTAACCTTAGTGAATAATAGCGCTCATTATATGCTCATATAATAATATACTATTATCTACAACTATTGAATTATCCATTCGTTATACATTTGATTTTTCACGGGTAATTACATGTATTACTCATGACATGACTGACAAAGTGTTGAATAATGAAGCCATTATTCTACAGTTCTGACACGACCTACTAATCAAAAAATAAAATATTAACAGAAATGACAGCTTTCTTATATTGAGGTTATGTCTGAAATGTCTATCAAGTTTTTTTTTGATTTTTTTTTCAACATTAAATAGTAGATAAAGTATAGTATTCAACTTGCGTATAATGGATGTTACCCACTCAGATGACAACACTCGCTCGCTCGTGTTGCAGCTTGTTGAATAACATACTATTTGTAATTCGCGACGGTAATGAAAGCTATTACAGTACTCGAACGGGTGCTGTAATGAGACTCCTTACAGCATCCGATGCTGTAATGAGATTTTAGTAACATTTTATGGAACCAGTTCAAGTTGGTGACCTTGGTGACATTTCTTTAATCTTCTTCTTTTCGCACCACCGCTTAAATTTGGCATACTGTCGTTCGTACATTTCGTGAGACTTCTCTGTAAGTAGTGTTTTAGTAGTAACATTTTTTTCAGGTGAATACATTTTGTGTTTTGATAATTTCTACTTGTCAATTAAAATTTCTATTTTCAAGTGTTACGGTGTTACCAACTGCTACATAACATTGTCAAAATTTATTTTATTTTTGTTAAAAAAAGGATAAAAACGCGAATTACAAAAAACAGCATAAAAAACACGTTTCATAAGACTTAAAGCACTCATTCATTAAAAAACTCGTGGCTTCGCCACTCGTTTTTAATCTTAAATTCGTAAATTTCAATTTCGTGTCTTGCGAAACTAGTTTTTTAATATACTATTAATATATTTTTGCTAAATTTCGTTGTGTTGTTGCTTAATTTTACTAATTATAGTATTATTTCATTTTCAGTACGTTGAAAGTATAGTTTCAACCTATATGCGTATACAAAAATTATCAAACACAAAACAATTTAAGAGTTGGCAATCAAGAGGTTGTTTTATATCGCCTCAAAATGTTCAAAGATTAGCGGAATGTTTAACGCACGATTTAGCGAAAGGTGANCACTTTCAAAACACTAAATACGTCTTAAAGGTTATGTCGACTTACTGCACTTTTAAAACTCAATCGCTTACCAAACGCGGCGGCACTATCTACACTTGTTTGCACCAGTCTACCAAACACTATTTTTAAGAAAAAGTGTGCACTGGTATACGTTAGTGCAAGATACCAAACAAAGCTAATAATATACTATAACACAATAATAGTTTACACCATTTTTTGATCGATCCAATCGGATCCTATTGATATCATGGAAGCATCATGCACCTAAGCTGTCTAAAAGTTTCTCTAAAATTGTCGCCAAATCCCAGACCTCCAACTATTCTTATTGCTCTTTACATCTCTTATGTATGTTAATACTGGATTACTGCCACTAATAGTTAAGCTAGAGGCATAAATGGAACCATTTTCTGCAAAGAAGTTATATCCATTGCTTCTGCTTTGCAGTGGTGAATTTCACAAAAGAATCTTCCTGATATTGAGAAACTTCTTCCAACTTTAAAACAATTTTTCTATGTTGTTTGTTCTTCAGCTTCAAGCAAATGAAGAGTGAAAAAAGCCAGAAAATTAGTATTTTTATATAAACTTTATAATTCCTGAGTGTTGTTTTCTTTTTGTTTTTATTTATACATTGTTTTTGTTTGTCTTAGTTATTAGTTGCTTGATTTACCAGTTTTTTTATAAAGAATTTTTCGTTTGATTTGAATTATTAATTTATTTTTATTATCATTACTTGATTAACATTGTGTTTTAAATAAAGTGATTTAAATCGAGCGAACTCTGTTTAATACCTTCATGTTTTTTGTTATTCTCAATTATTCCCTGTGTTTCGGTTTCTTACATCTTCCTTAATTTTCTTTTTATCACTTTATCAAATTTTGAATATCCTGGGTATACTCTTTTCTGTGTTTCTTGTTTTTGCGATCAATATCTGTATTTCTTCTGTTATTTTGGTTACTTTTACTCTTTCTGCAGATCTTCTTAATTACAATTCGAACATGTTTCTGAAGAAGGTTGCAACATGGCATTCGAAACATTAGACATTTTTTCAAAAGACGCACGTCTTAATCCGAAAGATTCTAATTCTACGTCTACTTTTAGTAAAAATCCCATATCATACATAAATGAAATTTCTTTTATCATTTTTGTTCTTTATTATAATAAATTAATATATTTTTGTATTCGCGACGGTAATGAAAGATATTACAGTACTCGAACAGGTGCTGTAATGAGACGCCTTACAGCATCCGATGCTGTAATGAGATTTTAGTAACATTTTATGGAACCAGTTCAGGTGACATTGGTGTCATTTCTTTAATCTTCTTCTCTTCGCACCACCGCTTAAATTTGGCGTACTGTTGTTCGTACATTTCGTGAGACTTCTCTGTAAGCAGTGTTTTAATAGAACTCTGAGCAATTTCTCTTATTTCGGGAGGTGTACATGAAATATTTTTCAGGTGAATACATTTTGTCTTCTATTTTGAAGTGTTACGGTGTTACCAACTGCTACATAACATTGTCAAAATTTATTTTATTTTTGTTAAAAAAAAGCGAATTACAAAAAACAGCATTAATTTTACTAATTATATTATTATTTAATTTTCAGTACGTTGAAAGTATAGTTTCAACCTATATGCGTATACAAAAATTATCAAACACAAAACAATTTAAGAGTTGGCAATCAAGAGGTTGTTTTATATCGCCTCAAAATGTTCAAAGATTAGCGGAATGTTTAACGCACGATTTAGCGAAAGGTGATCAGATAAATCGAAGAGCATTAGAATCTTGGTTGCAAGGAGCAACTTTACTGGGACAGCTTCTTATATTCGTATTTAAACACCTTTACAGTATATCTCACCGTGAAAAATTGGTGGGAACTGAGAAAAGTCTTTCAAGCCAGTCGGACGACGTGCCACAGCTCAACGCCGAAAGAGACCGGAGCTTAGTGCCTTTTTGTAAAGGTCTCGACCTGATTCCGTCTTATCCGAGTATTTTGGACATGAATCAAATCGTCTTTATCAACGCTCATTTGCCGCAACAGTACCAATTGGAGTGGCGATTTTTGTTTTCATCGGAAATTCACGGCGAATCATTTTCGACTTTAATAGGTAGAATAGTTAATCAAGGACCTTCGGTTCTCATTCTTGAAGATCAAAACGGACACATGTTTGGTGGTTTTGCACCTGCTAATTGGACATTGGGACCGAATTTTTTCGGAGATGATAGTAGCTTTTTATTTACTCTAGTACCAAAAATGAGAGTGTTTCCCACGACTGGTTACAATCAACACTTTCAATATCTAAATTTACATCAACAAACTCTGCCGAACGGATTGGTAAGAAGATTAATTTTTTTTGAAAATTAATAATGTGTGTATTTTTTGTTAGGCGATGGGTGGTCAACATGGTTATTGTGGTATATGGTTAGATGAAGATTACGGAAATGGGCACACCAGCGAATCTTGCACGACATATTCTGGTTATTTTCAAATGTCGCATACGAAACAGTTTACTTATCGCCATTTAGAAGTTTGGGGGTTAGGCTCCCCACCTCCTACACCTCAAGAAAGGGGAGAACGCGTTGGAATGAGCGTTTTAGATGGAAACGTTGAAAGCAAGGCTTTATTAAAAATGGCAGGAAGACAGATGCACAGCGAAGGAGTAAGAGATCCAACTCCACCTAATTAAGGCTCAATTTTTTCCATTCAAAATTTTGTGCCAAACTCTCAAAAGGGAACGTTAATAAAAAGGATTTTTAAAAACAAAGATTTTGAATAGGTAACAAAAGATAACTAAGGAGGGGGAAATAGGAATATAGCACAATTTTAAAAGGTAAAACAAAATAAACACAGAATTTTTATATTAAATAATAAGATAATTATTATTATACGATACGTATTTTGTTATATTCAAACATTTATGTTTGTTTATAACTAAAATCGATTGTTATTTGTCAACACGAAAAAGAATTGCTTATGTATAAGTATTTTCACTTACTCTATCGCATTTATATACAAAAAAAATACTTACAGTGATGAAGAATGTATAATTGAATGTTAATAGTGGTCACTATTAATGTTTACTTATAATTCAAAGAAATGGATATATTAAAACAACAAAATTAAAATAAAAAACTCATTTTCAATTTATATCTCAAACGTTTCAAGTTCCATTGATATAAAATACAAAGAGAAAAACGATATTTACAAAATAAATTCTAGTCAAACCTAACGGTCATTGATAAATTTGTGATTTAAATTTTAACAACAAAGAAGCACGAATATTCCTAAATTATTATTAACATAAAAAAAGAAAATGTTAACTATATTATTATAGCTCTCAGTAAATTATTTATTGCGTTGTGTTAGAGGTTAATTATATTATTGTTGTTACCATCATTATTACATAATCACATTAAAGTTATTAGTTAAGTTATTTCTAGTCTATTTGAATGACGAAATTATTTAACTTGGTGAGTTGCTGTTCGTATATTTTAAATATTTCCGTTAATTAAAAAAAGAATAATATTTTATTTTTCATTCTTGTATTATATTAATAAGTATAACAACCTATAAAAAATAACATAGTAACTTTTATGCAAAAAATTGTCCAAAGAGCACAACTTCGATTTTTGTAAATGGTGCGCTTCATTCACGTTTTCACGAAATTAAATTGAAAAACAAATCATTATAATATTTAAACGAGAATATAAATTTAACGCTTATCTTATTTATTGATGGGTACTATTGATTGTTGTCGTTGTTTCTGTTGGCGTACATTTACGTGAGAGTTTATTTGAAAGTGTATTTATTATGTGTTTAAAATAAAACTGACATGGAAAAATATGTATTGTTTTGTATCATATCAACTATATTTTACCATAACTCATTTGAAGATGTAATTATCAAACATAATCTGTTTAAATAAATTACTTTGAACGCTCGTCCGACAACACAATTTTACAAAGTTAACAGGCGGCGAAGGTACAATTATATCTTCCCATATTTTAGATGTTAATTGACATGGGCATTGTGATTTTTTGTTTATTCTGATGATTTCATTGAATTTCTCATATAATTTTGCCATTTAATTTTTAATTTAATCTTGAAAATATACGTGTCATTGTTGTTGAGCTGCACAAATCGGGAATGAAGTTGCTAGAAACTGTTTGCGATGATGTCAAACGTTACAAGAAGTTTGGAGAGACTGCGGAGCGTCCTCTAAAAGGTCTCCCACGTCTCTCAAGTATGTGAAGAAAGTCACATACAGAAAAGCAAGAGAGCTTGGTGTCAGTATCGGTGGGAATTTGAACATCGTCGCAAGATTGCTAAAACTTAGAAGCTACAAGACCGGTTGTCTTCACTTCCTCAACTATATAATGAAACTGAAAAGATTGCAAAAATCACGACGAGTGATCACTGACGCTTGTTTATCAAAAATTCACAACCATCAGCACCAATGTTAACTTTTCAAGAAAGGACAAAAATTGTTGCAGCAGAAATCAACAGCCATTTCCTTGCTTTTGTGATGGTTTGGGCCGGGATCTGCTCTACATGGAAAATGCTGTTGGTTTTCATTGATCAGAACGTCAAGATCAACACCGTCAGCTATTAACAGCGAGTTTTACGAGACGTTCCGAAGCTGTGAATGGCGGAGTATTTCGGTTGGCACAATCGCCGTTTGTGAAGAGTGTCTTTTGGGCCAAAGATGCTTGATGCCGTCTAATCCACCGGATCTCAATCCAATGGATTATTCCGTTTGGTCCATCTCTGGTATGCGAAGGCATAAGATTGCGCACTATGAGTGTTCATCGCAATAATAGGAAACGATATTCTAGGTTAGTAGGTCAATTATTGATGATTCATAACGAAGAAGAGACAGGTTGCATCTGATGATGTTTGTCATTAGAAGATATGTCCACCACAAAGGACTCAGATACTGAACAACAACTGATAATAGAGGAAGAAGTTAAATACGCTTCTGACGAAAGTGTTGAAGATAAATATCAAATGTGAAAGTGAATACTGGGATTATCAACCGGTAATTTGTATTCACTTTCAGACTTAACGTTGTACAACGGGTACTCCTACTCTACTATAAATATCAAGGTATTGCCAATATTTTGATAGCAAGTGATGGAGCAGTGTGGCATACTAATTATCACCATGAAGTAGCCAAACAAGTTCTCGTAATATTTTATGACAAAAAGGAGGACCTGCAGCAATCATTAAGATATTTAACATTATATTACTAGAAACAAATCAGAAGGCTAATAGAGGTGAAGCTTACACCAATTTGATCCAAAGGGTTTCCTAATATTTTAGAGTGGCCACCATAGCAGACATTTCAAAAGTTTACGCAAATTGATTTTGACGAATTTTTAGGCGCATTGATTTTTAATGGTGTGTTCAGAGGCAATAAGCAGAATCTAGAAAAAGCAGCACCGATATGGTACAATACTGAACAAAAATTCGACGAACAATTATTTCCATACTAAGTTTACAGAGGCTTTACCTTGGGAAACCATGAGATGGTCCTCATCTTCGTCTCTTAATGTGCAGGTTAATGGTGGACAGCTTAATGTTGGTGAACGAACAGTGTTAGACTTAGTAAGATCTTATAAGGGGCCAGGAAAAAATGTGACAACAGTTTATTTCTTCACAAGTTTCGAATTGGAAAATATCTTGAACTCTTGGCATATGACACTGGTTAGTGCAGTAAGAAAAAGCAAAAGATTTCTACTAAGCAATATGCAGGGAGCTCAAGAAAGACTAGTTTGCTCAACTGTTTTGCTTATAATCGGGATGCAACAGTATGGTTCATACGTGCCAAAGAAGAATAAGGCGGTTGTACTTTTATGGTTGGAGAAGACACACAAGCAGCAAATTCTGAAATAATCAAGTACTATAATAAAACTAAAGGCGGAGTAGATGTCATGGATACAATGTTGGGCGAGTATACTCCAAAAGAAAGACTAATTTATAGAGAACACAATCTACATTTGAGAACCAAAGATAAACTAACCTATATTTGCCTACAAGTGAAGTTCGTAGTAGCAATCCACTTATGATCAGAAATCATTTTCTTTGAGGTGCAATTGAAATAGTGCTTAAACGACAAATTGCGGTAGCATCAGAACGATCTAAATCAACTCATTGTTAATAATTGGTTTGTTATTTCAAACATTTACCCGACTTAATCAACTTTTTTCAAATTAGATATCATCTTTTTGTTTCTTAACAATTAATTGTCAAACAAAAACAGTGTTACATTTTGAAAGCTAGATATCAATTATTTATGAAGAGCATATGAGCGAGCAAATGGTAACAATAATTTGGCTTTATGCCTAAATTTTTTTGAATCTTTTGGTAATCAATCAATTTGGTCTTCGTGAAACAGGATATTTTAAACGGATTATGCGGTTCCAAGAAGCATCAGAACACCGGCGTTTGAAGAAAACGTACTTGATAGAATTTCGGAGAATTCTAAAACCAGTACAACTTCAGAAGTAGGTGCTTGGATGAACATTTAATTTCCCATAACTCGTAGAGCGAGTGCCTTAGTGAAGCTGATTTTTAACCACGAAAACTATTCTGTTGTAATTCTTATGTTAGAGTATCATTAGAACAAATAATTTGTGCTTGCTTTTGATCAAATTGAATAAAAATCACCATATAACCAAATACGGCACCACCAATCTAAAAAAAGAAAGTATTTTAAAAGTTGTAACAAAAAATTTGAAACGTACCGAATACATTAATGTATAATCAATTGGGAAAAACCCAGCTGCAGAAAATCGAACTTTTTGGTGTAACATTTGCAAAGAATAAGTTAGAATCTAAAACAGTTTTAACACATTAATACCTACAAAATAATTATTATAAACACTTACTTGTCTTGCTACTAAAGGGCTATCAATTTTATTTCTTAATTGATGCATAATAATCGGTGTTAAATTCGCCTAAAAAAACACCTAAATTAATAAATAATAAAATATTTTTAAACTCACATAATAACTTGTAAAAGTACAAGCACGCACAAGTAAATATATTTCGATTATATCGTCAGTAACCCAAGAAATAGAAAATCCAAACATCTCCCAATGTGTTAAGTCATACTTTTTTGTTAATGCAATATACAAGTAATATAACTCAAATAAGAAATCACCTAATGTTGTAGCTAAAGATACGAATAATATATACGCGAATGTTGTACTATACATTCTAATTACGTTGCAAAGTTTAAAATGTATCAAACATAAAGTTTTAATTCGTTTCGATATAAACTCTTCGTTTCTTATTAAAAAACTTTCCTTTAAAAGTTGATTAACTTTTGAGAATCGTGCCATAATTGGAATTATTAAAGCTATGAAAGTGTATTTTGATAAGGATTTTATATATGCCGATGGAAACCAGCCCAATTTAATAACAACATCAAATTTTATGGCTTTCATGCTAAAAATCCATCGTATAAAGAGCGATGTAAACATCCATAAAATAATCGCATTGATAATTTTTGAAACTTTATTGGGTTCAATATAAGTGTTCATATCCTTTAACGAGTTATCCACGTTAATTAAAATTTTAAAAGCGTCAACAATTAAATTTCTGTAGATAAAACTACAACATACACATGTATAAATTAGAACTATAAACATACAGTATTGAAGAAATATTAGTTTTTGTGGCATAATATAATATTCCGCTCCTCCATTGTACACCGAATGTAAAGAAAATATTGCGGAAATAGTTGTAATTATAAAGAAAATAATAAAATAGATTACGTCATTTTTGGTGCTCACTAAAATCGGTCTACCATTTTTAATTGATGTTGTTAATGGCATTAAACCAATTAATCGTGTTAATAAGTATAACAATTTAAAAGATGAGCGAAAAGAATGATTATCTCTTATAGAATTTTCTGAATGTATTTTGTTTTGAGGCATTTTTGCTACTATTTCAACTGTCCATTAAAAATGGATTCATTAATAATATTAAAGATAATCAATTTTTTTTTGGGTCCATCCTAATCTTTATATGATTGATATAAATTGTGATTGGGATTAAATTAATCTTATTCAATTGAAATAAATCAATAAAAATATTTTTGTAGTGACCTACACTCTACTATCTTTTATATTTATAAGTCATAGATTAATATGAACAATTTCTAATTTGTCATTGTGTTGTTTGATATACACTTCAGCAGATAACAGCAAATACATTTGTTTCTTGCGCTATAAGATAATATGTACTCCTGTAATATCGCCTTGTCGACATTTTTTCTGACAGAAAAAGGTGTATAAAATCAATATGAACAGAAGAAGCTTGATACAGAAACTTATACAGTTAGGAGAAGGCGAACTTAAACAACTCCCTTGGAATACAGGATGAGTTTTTCAAAAATGACTCACGCAAAGGAATATGGAAGAGCATAACGAGGTTTGGTGGAGAATACAGAAAGTCGATAAATGAAAGGATTACTTAGTACAAGAAGTTGATAGCCAGCAGAATAAGAGAAATAAAAATAGAATTCAAGGAGGCCAGAAAAATGGTGGTTAAAATGTACAAAAAAGCAAATTTGTCATTTTCATATTCATTGCAAAATTCAGAGGACTTCAGAGATAATGTTCCAAGAGGTGTATGTAGATACCTGAAAAGTATGAGAGGCGGAAATACAAACCCAGAATAAAGATCTGTAGAGACAAAATTGACCCTCAAAAGATAAAAGGCATATGAAAAGAATTTTTCCAAACACTTGCAATGTCAGAGGAAGTTGAAATCAGAATATGCAACCAACAGATATGTTTACAACTAACAGATTTACCAACTTTAAATTATAAAACCTTGAAATAACATATAATTTTATAACATTTCAGGCTTTTACCAGCCTAAATTGGCATATCTCTACATTTACGTGTAAAACCAAGGATTCAGTTATTTTATGGTAATATACATACATGTATTATTATACAGGGTGATTCACATAAGAACCGACACAGAGCAGGGACATGTAGAGGACAATAAATTAAGATGATTTAACGCAAGTTATCTCTATACCAAGTTGTACCTTTGAGGAGTTATAGGCCTTCAAAGTTGAGTCTTAAATTTTTAAAACATTGAATATCTTCGTAATACATAAAGCTAGAAAAACCAAATTTAGTATACGTTATGAGTGTACCGAGGGTATTAATTGGTAGCAAGTTGAGACCAATTGAGGCATTTCAAAGGGTTGATTAAGGGTGATGGTTCCCTAAATTTTGGCAGATTTTTTCACCTTTTTGTGGATGTAATACATTATTACCTCATTTCATGTGGAATTTAATTCTAAAACTTTTTTTCCTCTTACTATTTTTTGAAAAACATTGTCGTTTTCATAAAAAACTCAAAAAACTAAAGACAAGATACGCGTCTTTAATTTCGTTAATGCTACTTAAAATCATCGAAAATTCAGTAGTCGGCTGTGAAATTGTACGTAATTTGAGGAATAAACTGTTTATTATGAGCTAAAAAGACATCATCCATAAACAAATTTAGTTTAGGCATAATAATTTTCTAGTGATAAAGAGAAAATCCCCAAAATGTCAAAATTAAGTACTTTTGGTTTTAAAATCGATCATAACTCAAGAATGAAAGGTGATGACGAAAAGTTTTTTAGGAATAAATTGTTTATTATGAACTAAAAAGATATTATTGATAAACAGATTTTGTTTAGATGTAATGATTTTCTAGTGATAAAGAGAAAATCCCCATAATGTCAAAATTGAGTACTTTTGTTATCAAAATCGATCATTACTCAAAAATTAATTGTGATGCAGATAAGTTTTTTTGAAATAAATTGTTTATTATGAACTAAAAAGACAACATCCATAAACAGATTTGGTTTAGTTATAATGATTTTCTAGTGATAAAGAGAAAATCATCGAAATATCAAAATTAAGTACTTTTGTATTAAAATTAATCATAACTCAAGGATGAAAGGTGATGGAGAAAAGTTTTTTAGGAATAAGTTGTTTATTGTCAACTAAGAAGACATCATCCATAAACAAATTTAGTTTAGATGTAATGATTTTCAGGTGATAAAGAAAAAATCCCCAAAATGTCAAAATTGGGTACTTTTGGTGTTAAAATCAATCATAACTCAAGAATGAAAGGTGATGGAGAAAACCTTGTCGTCAAATAACTTTATACCCTATTCAAGTTTGACGTACAATTTCATAGCCGACTACTAAATTTTCTCTTATTTTAAGTAACATTACGAAATACGCGTCTTTAGTTATTTAAGTTTTTTATGAAAACGACAAAGTTTTTTAAAAAATAATACGAGTAAGAAAAGTTTTAGAATTAAATTCCACATGAAATGAAGTAGTAATGTATTAAATCCGCCAAAAGGTTAAAAAAATTTGTCAAAATTTAGGGTACCATCACCCTTAATCAACCCTATGAAATGCCTCAATTGAGTTCAATTTGCTACCAATTAATACCCTTGGTACACTCATAACGTATACCAAATTTGGTTTTTCTATCTTAATGTATTACAAAGATATTCAATGTTTAAAAATTTGAAGGCCTATAACTCCTGAGATGTACAACTTAGTATAAAGGTAAGTTACGTTAAATCATCTTAATTTATAGTCCTCTACATGTCCCTGCTCTGTGTCGGTTCTTATGTGAATCACCCTGTATAATTCGTTTGCTGAATATAGTACAACTTTATAAAATGTAGAATTTGCATATTTCTGCTCTCAATGCGCACTTTTCTGCACATTTTTAAACACCCGAAAACGCTGTAATTGGCCACTAACTCAAAATGTAACATTACATTTTATAATAATTGTTGTTCTTTAATTTTCGTAACCTCAAAGTTACAAACCAAATCAAAATGAACAACAATATACTTACATTATCACTTATTAAACAACACGTACAAACTAAAATATAAACTTCAATAACATCATCAACAAGCCAGGATGTGGAATATAAAAACATCATTACATTCGTAGATTCAAATTTCTTTTCCAACGCAACGTACAAATAATACAATTGAAATATGAGGTCGCATAAAGTGCTTGCTAAAGATGCGAAAAGTATAAAAGAGAATATCGTGTTGTAAAGTCTAGCTACATTACAAAGTTTGTAATGAATTTTGCATAGTTTTTCTAAATATTCTGAAATTTTTCGATTATTTTCGAATTCGTTGGTTAGAAGATGCTTTAAGATCGAATTAATCGCTTCGAATCTAATTAACACCGTCATCAAGATTGTTACAAAGCTGTATTTCGTTAACGATTTTACATACGTAGTTGGTAATAAGGATATTTTGAGGATTATATCCATTTTTATAACAAAAACTGATAGTGAGGTTCTTACAGCGATCGAAATAAACATCCAGATAAACATTACGTAAATAATTGTGTTTATTTTCTTTGTTTCTATGATTGCGTTCATTTCCGAAAGCGTTTCATCGACATTCATTAATATTCCAAAAGCTTTAGAGCTTAATTGTCTAAAAACGTACGAACAACACAAAGCGGTGTAGATCAAAATTATAAAACAACTGTATTTCAGAAATACTATTTCAGATTGTACGATGTAATAATCAATTTCGTTGTGATACACCGAATATAAAGTTATCGAAGAACACAAAAAACAAGCAGTTAAATAAACCAGAAAATAAACTGTATCACTTTTTTGACTATTTAATTTTAGTTTTCCGTTCACTTTTTGAACTGTTAAAGGCATGAGACCAATCGCGCGTGTTAAAATGTATAAAACGTAAAAAGCTGAATGAAATGTTAAGTTTTTAGTGATTGGAAATACTTTTTTGTAGGCCATTTTTGATAGAAGTGACGGGGAAGTGTTTGTATTTTTATTAGATCGTTCAATAAATGAGTGCGATTTGTTAAAAGTATGATTGAATTAGATGTGAATTATATTCAATTACTCCAAAATAATGAAAAACATTTATTTAATAACATTATTTAAAAAGAAATCTTAAATATAACATCACAATATTTTAATACATTCATTTAATTTAGTCTGAGTCCACATCAACTATCAGTTCAAAAGGTACGTTCCTTGATAAGTAATTCTTTTTCAGGATAATTATGATTCTAAAACAAAAAATTAATTAGGGAGATGTTACAATAAATATTTAAAGAATCTTACATCGTTAAAATAATCATAACTAGACAAATGCTTGCTGTGAGTAAATTATAAGCACCAGGAAAATCGTTTAAAGTTGAATTATACAATAAAGTATAAGCTGGAGATCCAATAATCATTGCAAAAGTCTCTAAAGTAACTGTAGTTGAAAAAATTTTCCCTATATCGGCGTGCGAAACCAATTTTGATATAAACGATCTTATCATAGGACTAATTGTTCCTGTTATAAGTCTTAAACAAGCAGCTAAAATGATTTTGAAACAATCAATTAATAAATAATGATATTTTCTTGTTATAATGTACCAAGAATTATCTGCCAATCGTTAACAGCAATAGCTTGAACAATAGCACCATTACAGATTAATATTAAAGCCAATACAACAATAATCATTTCGTGGATTTTCAACCATTTATGCAAAATAACAAGCCCCAAAAACGACCCTACCGTCAAAGTTAAATCACGAATGCTTTTAAATGTCGTATATTTTTGTAAATCCCAATGAAATTTTTCCCTGAGGTAATAAAAAAATATCCCTCCATCCATATTTGACATTATAAACAACATCATTACGGTAATACTTATTAAAATAACTGTCCTTAAATGATTCGGACGTTTTTTGAATAACGCGCTAAACATATCTTTAACGTTTTCAATTGAAATTATGTTGTTATCTTCGTCGATTCGCCTATTTACCGTTTCTGGTAAAATGAAAACGATGTAAAGTAGCGCCAGAATGTTACATGCTGCCGTTGTGGCAAAAACGCCTGGATAGCCCACAAAATTGAATATGTAGGAACTTAAAAATGTGCCTAAGAGACTTCCTAAACCAAATACTCCTTCAAAAATTCCTAATCTAAATAAAAATTTTAAAAAATCAATCGATATTTGTATTTAAGGTTATGACTAATGTTTTTTAAACAACCGGGTATGAAATTTAATGACTTTTTTTGCAGAAAAGGGAACATTGTTTATTTCTTCAAACACATCATTGATATAATTATGCCCTTTATGCTACAACGTACTAATTTGTGATTAGTTAAATCAATGCAAAGAGTCAACCTGTAACTCAATATAAAAACTGCCATACTTAACTAATAATCAATAGAAGTGGCTGATATGGTCACAAAGGATTGGGTGAGACGGCTATTTGTTGACAAAGAAGTACGTTTTGTAGTGATACATTATATCTTCACAGCGCGTATTTCTCCATTTTGAAACGATCAGCAGTACAAATATTATTCAATCTTTATTAGATTAACGTATCTTCTGTTATTACATCGCTACGGTACGCCTTGTTGTTTACAATTTGAAAAACTATTCATAGTTTTACAGAACAAATCTTATTAAAATAAGAACAAATCTTAAAATGTCCTATCTACAATTAATACTGACTTCAACAACGTTATACTAGTTGGAGATGCGAACGTTCGATTCTTTCCGTATGCAAATCCAGAGGTAAATGGACTAAGTCCCATACTCGACATTTTCAACTTAAAACAAGTAATAAAATGTCCCACAAGGGTTACGGAATCTACTGAATCACTAATTGATATCATTTGTATACCAATTGGAGCGCAGGCTCTCGAAGCTGGTGCGAGAGATATGTTAACTTCGACTGATCATAAATGTATTTTTTGTCGAATTGATGTTCCTGGTATACGCTCACAATGTCAGCGATTTATTTGCAGAAGCTATAAGTACTTCAACCATGAACTGTTTGAGATGCATGCATCCCATCTACCATGGGGTGATGTGTATCTGACGGAGGACATTGATGTCAAGGTTACAATTCTAAATGAATTAATAATCTCTTTGTTCAATGCGCATGCCCCAGTGAAGGATTTCACTGTTACTCGAAAATCACGTCCATACATTACCCCTACGATCAAAGAGATGATCAAATTAAAGCAAAAAGCTTACCAAAAGTTTTCGCGTACTGGTAGTAGCAACCACAGAAGGTACTATACCGATATCAGAAACTATGTCACTTTGGCAATACGTAACGAAAAGAAAGCTTTTTTTGAGGCAGAGATAAATAGTAACGTCAATAATCCCTCAAAATTGTGGCACTTACTGCACACCAATCAGGTGCACTCAAAGAACACCAAGACAATCGACGAATCACTTAAAGATCCAGAGCTAATAAATGATTATTTCGCTAATATTATTCCTTCACCTTTTTTGTCGTTGCACAACCTTGATTCTAATAAACCATATATTTTGGGTGGCAACGACTGTTTTGGTTTCGATGTGGTGAACGACACAGACATCAAAAATAAGCTTAGCACGATAAAATCAAATGCTTGTGGTTTGGATGCAATCGATCTGAAAATGATAAAACTTGTATTGGAGTACTGCCTCCAAGAAATCACTCACATAATGAACTTCTCACTAATATACGGAGTTTATCCGAAACAATGGAAGATCGCTCTAGTAACACCTCTACCTAAAGTGAGCCATGCTACGTCACTAGGAGACCTACGACCGATTAGTGTGTTACCTATCTTATCTAAAATATTAGAGAAGATTGTTGCTTCACAGCTAGTACATCACCTGAATCATACTAATTTACTCCCACGATGCCAATCTGGATTTCGGGAGAAGTATAGCACAACGACCGCGTTAACTAAAATTGTGAACGATTGGTGCTGTGCCATTGATGCCTCAAGAGTTACCTTCGTTGTATTCCTGGACTTTAGTAAGGCTTTTGATATCATCAATCATCAGCTTCTAATAGCCAAGCTAGTCCGTTATGGATGTAAAGAAGACGTTGTACATTGGTTCCAGTCATATCTTGTGAACAGATCTCAACATACAAAGATTAATGGTAATATATCTAGCGGTATCCTAGTCAAGCAAGGTGTTCCACAGGGAAGTGTTTTGGGTCCTATATTATTCAACTTATTTACGGCAGACATGCCAAATGTAGTGACGAGCTGTTCGGTTCATCAATACGCGGATGATGCGCAGATTTACATCTCTTGTGATATTATCAGTGTTGATGACACGGTGCGCTTGCTTAACTCTGATTTAAAGAATATTTGTGAGTGGTGTTCTGTTAACGGGTTAATTCTTAACGCGAAAAAAACTATATGTATGTGTGTCGGGTCGGCCAACATTCGCAGAAGAGCAATCGATAATTTATCGGTTCCTATACACCTCAATGGAACTGTCTTAGCGTTCTCTGAATCGACCAACAACTTAGGTCTTACTGTCGACAGTAATCTTAATTTTGCGGAACATGTAAATAAGAAAATTGGTGTGTGCTACTATAAGTTAAAATCGTTATATAAATTTAAGTCATTGTTGTCACCACAATTGAAATGGAGACTTGTTAACTCCTTAATTCTAAGTCAACTTGATTACTGTAGTAACGTTTACTACAATTTTCTATCAGCTACTTTAAAAAATCGTATTCAAATACTTCAGAACAGCGGACTTAGGTTTTCATACTCGATTGATCGTAGAGAACATGTTACCCCCTATTACATAAGATATTCTATCTTAAAAATGGAACCTAGATGTACACTCTTGCTAGCTGTTATGTTATACAATGTAATATTTTACAAATTGCCTTATTATTTATATTGTATCTTAGTACCAAGATCGCAAATACATAATGTTAATCTAAGACAAACGAAGTTGTTGACGATTCCCAAACATAAATCTGCTAAATTTTGTGGTAGCTTTGCGTACAGAGCACCTACAATTTATAATTGCTTTTCAGATGTTTTTCAGTTGAAATCTAATAGATCTTTTAAATGCACCTTGAAGCGCAGGCTTCTTGAGGAACAAGAATCAAAATGTTAAGTTTAATTATTTTTATTTTTATTTTGTTGGTTATTACTTTGATATATATGTATTTATTTTTGGTTTTCTAGTTTTCTAGTAATCAGCTATGCTGTACCCTATATATATATATATGATATGTATATACTTTATATGTATATTTCTTTTTGGGCAAATTAAATTAAATTAAAATTAAAAAAATTCAGAACTCACCGAAACTAAATAGGCATCCCTACATGCTTTGAGCAGAATATAGTAAGTCTTCTATGTTATGTTACAAAAGATTTTTTACTGATTGATTTGAAGGTTCCAACTAAAAACCATTATATCTCTTCTGGCATGCTTTATTTTTGTAAAATCATCAAAATGTTATAATTATAACCCAAAAGGATTAAAATCCAAGACATAATTGTTAACAGAAAGTTGATGTTGTTCATTTTAGAGAACTACGATAGATAGTGATTGAAACGTGACAAAAGATAAGAACATGAAAATCAAAAACAACTACACCAAATTATTAAAAAGAAAGTATAGATCACACAAACTGTAACCCACTTATAGAATCATATTATTTGCGCAATAAGATAATTATGGAATTAATAGATGTGGGAAACACTATTGGGCAATAAGAACTTTTAGGGAAATTTGTAAAGTATCCAATTTGATTATATCCTCATATACGAGTCATTGCAAAAAAAATGTTCATATTAATTTCTTAACCGGTTGCTGAAAGAATGATTTAAATACCTTATTCCTCTATTTTGATCTGTTGTTATATCAGTGACATAACATAATAATAACATCATAACCGGACTAAATCCACCAAATAAAACTGAGATCAGATTTGGTATAATTGTATACCAAGGTGACAACCGTGGTATCAAAGAAATAACAACTTGGCAAGTCGAACTTATTGTAAAACCTATAAAAGCCGATATCATCACGGGTTTTCTTCCATTTTTATCGGACCACGGTCCAACAAATAAACATAAAATAGCCGGGATTATTTGCGCCGGCCAAGTTAAAACCATGCTCAATACATTCGCGTATGGTTGGACTTGTTTTTCTAATTCAGCCGTAGAATTATCCGCATTTTTTGTACCTAATTTAGCACAATCGGATTCGTTGAAATTTAAAATGGTATAACACGTGCGGTAAATTAAAAAATTATTACTTACAGGTTCTAAAAATATAATACAAATTTTAATTTTAATTTAAAATAATAATATTTGATTTTTTACCTGATAACATTACTCCGAAAAAGAATAAAAATATGATCATCTCCGGAAAGTGAAATTTAAAATTTCTTCTTTCTTCATCAACCATGGTTATTTTTAATTTTGATTTATTTCTATCGAGTTCCTCCGATCTAAACGTTAAAAAATTTGATTTATATTTCGTATCGAGTGATAACTTCATTTTTAATTATTCTCTTTAAACTTCTTGATAAAGAATCTTGTATTAATAGAACCGATTTGTGAAATTTTAGGTTTATATATATTTTGAATTATCTGATTTGCAACATGTGCATCATTCAAATCATTTTTGCCATATGGTGTTGATTCAATTTCATTTTCAAAGCACGTGGATATCAAAACAAAACTTTTTGATAAGATCACTTTATTATTTTGGCTTAAACCTTTCAAGGTCAGATTTGTTTCGGGAAGATAATTTTTGGTTTGTTTAAATATACAACACATTTTAGAATTTTATTAATAACAAAATACTTTGGGGGTTATCAAATTAATTTATATATATACACATAATTTAAAATATTTATTATATTTCAAATCTAAACAAAGAAAGAAGTTTAATCATGTGTTTTGTTGCCTTGAAAACCGCTAAATTCGATGTAAAAACATCTCAAGGTAAAACTTTACGTATGTAGGTACATAAATTGCTAAAATAATTAAAAATGAATTAAAAACAGATACTCGTGTTTATAATGTTGAATTATTATTTCATCTTTATCAGGATGAAAAGATAAGTTGATAAAAAATGTTTTTAATTGAAAAAATCAAAAAATTCTTGTGTTATAAAATATATATAGTCAACTGGATGACCTCAACGATATAATTGAATTGTCAATAAAGGCCTAGGCAACGTTATTAGGTATTTGTAAACAGTATCTTAACAACCCGAGCACGCGCACCACATTAATTTATTTTTAAAAAAACTTACGTTTTGAATTGTTTAATTCACTTAATTATTAAATAAAAATTTTGTTTAAAGTATCCTCGCTAGACCAAAAAAATACTTGTAATGCGGCAATTTTCTACGCGGTGAAAATCGTGAAACTCGCGTTCAGGGTCGTTTTTTTCTTTTTTTATACTCTTTGTTTGAAAAGTCGCTAGTGAAAGATTGGTAACGCAACAAATAGTACTAACCTACGGAATAGTGTGCACTGTCATTTATAAATAGTTCTGTACAAATTATATTCAGAGGATGTTCGTCAATTATAAACAATACCACTAGACCTTGATATAAACTGATACTGTTTTATATACAAAGTTCGCTTTGTTCCTGTTTGCGATGTGCAATATCTCTTTATTATCTATCTATCCAAAATTATGACTAGATTATCAAATTGTTATATACAATGTGTAATGATAGATATTTCTTTTTATACGTTGATGATTAATACTTTTTATATTCAAAATGTGAAGCAAATAAAAATGATTCATGGTGTTTAAGTGGTTCAATCTTATAGTAACCACTAAAAAATCCCCTTTAGATTTTTTTACATTACTTATTTATGTAACAAAAACAGCCAAGGATAACGTTATCAAATCATACTGGCCAAATATCCATAATTAAAAAAAGATATGTTTAAATATAAAGCCAGAAGAGGTTTAAGACCATGTTAATAAACATTTCTTAACCCAATATTCTTGTATAACTCTATGAGAACTAATCAATACAACAAAAAAAAGAATACATTTAATAATTTCCAAAATAAATAAACCATGAAATACAAAGTTTTCTTATCAGTTTCAATTTTTAATGAATGTTAAAAATAGAATAATGATAAAGAAAACGGTAAATAATTAAGACGGAATATTTTTATTGTAGTTCTTACACAACACAATAAGGAAGCAACTTGTTTATTCTTTTACAAACAAATAGACAAATATGAAGATATAGAATATTACGATGACTTTTTTTTATTACAAATAGTATTAATAAGGATATAATAATAATAAATACCGTCGTACCTACTATAAAATACATTTTTAAAATTACTATTTGTATATACAGAGTGCGCTTATATTCAATGTTGTTTATTATAAGTTATTTAACTCTTATCAATTAAAAATATGATGATAAAAATCTAGCTAGTATTAAAACGTTTTTTAACATAACATTACAAGCTAATAGATGGAAATATTATTATTACTCTATGTTTTAATTAAAATTGTGAGAAAATAAAAAAGTAAATAACCAAAACTACAAAAAAATATTTTATACAATAATACAAAAATAAATGGAATAAACGCAATAATAAAAAATTCTCCTTAATATTAAGAATTTTGTTTTAATTATATACACTTTAGGATAATTTAAAAAATAATGAGCTGTTTCTAAAAAATCGTGCATTTATTCGTTAGGCTAATACTGTATATAGTGAAACGCACTAATACAGTGACCAACTAGTTTTTTCTTATTAAACTTTATTTTTTATATACGTAGTTATAATTTAATATTTTTTTTTATTAACTATAACGCGTTTTATCTTCGTAGTTTTCACGATACGGTTTTTGTATAATAATAAAAAAATAATGTTCAATCGATAACTATTGGACGTATGTAACGTTGCATTCGGTATGAAAACGAAAAATTTCCATTTTTCTCTTGACTGAACGTAAAATAAATATGATTGAAACAAAAAAATACGGGTAACGTTCATTGAAGTAGTACAAATTTCAAAAAACTCGGAAAATTGATGCAAAACCTTATAAGATATGATAACGACTGCTTACAATAACGGAATTATTAAATAAACTTAACGTAAATTTTCTTTAAAAGATTTCTTTATGCATATTGTCCCACTAAGTTTTTCTTTAAAAGATTTTTGGTGCTGATCTATCGTTTACCATTTTTGGTCGTTTCAATGTTGCACCGCGTTTTATTTGATCCATTAATGATTCATGACATATTTTTGGATCAGACTAAAAAAGAAAGAATAATTAATTAATAAATAAATTATATATTAAGTTCAATAAAAAAATATTTCTTTAATTATGAAAGTTTTTGTATCTTTAAACATCTTATTTCATTTTCAAACAGAGATAAGAAAACAGATTTTGATTATTCTATATCTAGAGTCTTAAGATATTTAGCTGAAACTTGAATATTTCTAGTTCTAGTTTTAGTTCAAATAAATATATACAATAATCAAGCGCCGAATAACAACTACAACTAAAGCTAACACTAGCACTAGAACTAACACTTGACCTAGAACTAGAAAAAAACCGGGTTTAGCCATGCGTCAATTAAGGCGGCTAAACCCGAAACTTTTTAGTTCTTGATTTAGTGTTAGTTCTAGTTTAAGTACAATAAAAATATTCAACTATCTAACGCTGTATAATAACTAAAACTAGGGCTGATATTAGCACCAGAACTAATAGTAGACCAAGAACTAGAAAGTTAACTAGGGTTGGGTTGGGTTGAGTTAGTTGTACATGTTCTGAACAGTGTCAAAACAGCTTTAGGGTTCGATTGAGTTGGGTTGGATTGGCTTGTGTAAAATGGGACAAGCAGGATCGAGTAAACCCAATAAAAGAGCAGAAGTATTGGAGCTCTGGCTAGCCACAAACGATCTTATAATTTTAAATAAATCTATAGTAGATTTCACTGCAATTACTAGTAACTTAAGTAGGAAAATAAACGTGACAATTTGAGCGCCCATCAAACAATCATGCTTACAACTACAAAGAACAACACGAGTGTGAGTAAAGAGAGAGTAAACAGCAAATGAATAATATCTGATAAACTTTTGAAAAAAATGATGAAAGATGAAACTTCTCTCTTCGCAAGCGAAGAGCCCAAAATGCCGGAAAGTTTGATTAAAAATATAAATAAACTTTGTCATAAACATTGCATCAAAGGAGATAGAAAAACCTTAAGACATAAAAAGCAGTATATTGGGGGAATGAGGAAATATCCACGAAACGAGAAAAATGCAATAGACTAAGAAGGAAATTAATGCCAAGTAGAGGGAACTCTCGAGTGCTCTCGAGGTGATTTTGAGGAGGACGAAAACTTGAAAGTACAGCACAAGAAAGCGAGAAAAGAACTGAGGAGGCTAATTGGAAAGAGCAAAAAAGAAAAGTGGAACCAACTGTGTTCAGGATTAGAAGATGATGTGTGGGGAAAAGCCTACCAAATCATAACAAAAAGGCTAAAGATGAGAAACAGAACTATCATTGATGAGAGCAAGGAGGAAGAGCAAATTCGTAAATTGTTCCCAAAATATGACAACTTTGTATGGGAAGCCAGCAAGGTCCAAATACAAATAAATCCATTTACTGAGGAAGAACTTATAGCCGCAGTGGAAAAATTTAAACAAAACAAAGCACCGGGTTCAGATGGCATTCCATCAGAGGTGGTAAGAGTGTTGGCAGCGAAACATCAACAGGAATTTCTACAAGTCTATAATAACTGTAAGTCACAAGAATTTTTTCCGAAAATCTAGACAAGTGCAAGATTGGTCTTGATTGAAAGGTCAAAAAAATTTGAACAAAGCAAAGCATATATACCACTTTGCCTCTTCGACATGACAGGCAAGTTGCTGGAAGGCTTGCTTATCGAAAGCTGACGAATACAACCTCCTAAATGAAACTCAATATGGGTATAGAAAGGGCACATCTACAATACAAGCGATCGAGAAAGTTCAGAAAAACGATGATTAGATAAAAAAGAAAGCCTTAAAGACCAGAGAATTAATTCTCTTGCACATAGAAAACTCTTTAAATTCAGCACAATGGAGGGAAATAGTGGCAGCCTTGATTAAAAAAAATGTAAGCCCATACTTGGTTGAAATGGTAAAGGGATATCTATCTGACAGGAACATAATCGCCCTAAATAGAAGAACTTATCAAATACCGGTGTCCTTACTAGGATTATACTATGATAAGATACTGAGAACGGACCTAAAGGCTGGGGTGGAGCTTATAGCCTATGCGGACAACCTTACACTTGTAGTCAAAGGCAGAGACGGCACAATTGAAAGATAGGGCGACCTATGCAGTTCAAGAAGTAATTATTAAACTGAAAGAGATGGGACTTAACATTGCTGCACAAAAGAAGGAGCTAGTGTTGCTACAAGTAAGATGAAAATTGGAAACGTTCAATTTGGAGGTAAGACGTGTGGAAAACGTCAGCTATCTTGGAGTACACGTCAACAGAGATATGACCATGCCTAAACATGTGGTAGAGGTAACAAGTAAGGCTACATACATGTGGAATTTAATCTTAAGATTGTCAGAAGAGCTTTAGGGTTGGGTTGGCTTGAGTTCGTTTGGATTGGGTTGGCTTGACTAACACAAGCCAACCCAACCATAGCAAGGCTTGACTAACACAAGCCACTCAATCATAGTAAGGCTACATACATGTGCAATTTAATCTTAAGATTGTCAGAAAAGCTTTAGGCTTGGTCAAGCTAACCCAACCCAATCGGACTCAAGCCAACAAATTTAATCTTAAGATTGCAGAAAAGCTTTAGACTTGACTAACATAAGGCAACCCAACCCAATCGAACTCAAGCCAACCCAACCCTAAAGCTTTTCTGACCTGTACAGAACATTTTCAAACGACTAAACCCGAATATTTCTAGTTCTAGATCTAGCGTTAGTTCTACTTTAACTTCCGAATTATGGATTATTAATAAAAGAAGCAAGTGAACAATAAATGCTGCATGAATTGACTACTGGAAGAGATGCTGCCAGAAAATAAGGATGGATCGAGTGACGAATACCGATATTGTAAATGAAAAGGAAATACAGATTAGCACATTGAAAACGGCAGAAGGAGGGCCAAAGAAAATGGTAAAGTGCTATGTTAAAAGCTCTAGCAGAACTTATTTATATTCACTATTGCCTCACCACAAAAAACGAAAAAAATTGATGAGAAATTAACTGTTTTAAAACTAACTTATATCATTAATAAGATAAATAACTTACCACAGTCTTACTATTGATAATTTGCCGAATTTTATTGACACGTGTTTGCTGAGCACTACAATTATTTGTGATATGTTGTTGAGCCAATTTGGCATTTAAAGAATCTAAAAATGTTTGCCCTGGACCTCTCGTTGTATTCTGTTGGCCACACATATTAACATTAACTCCCGGTACTAAATCTTCAGAGTGTCTCCTAGAGGATCGTGGACTTATGCTCGGCGCTAACTTTGCGCTTAAAGCTGCGATAAAATTAGATCCAACACCGCCAGGACCTAAAAAACGATCCAAAATTAATTTCTTTGATTAAATCAAAATATAATTTACCTTCTCCACTTTTTCTATCAGCACTTTGCGATCGCAAACTTATTTTTCTAACAGCACTGGGACTTCCAGGAATAACTTGCGATGGTTGCGCGTAAATAACACCGCCAGATTGTGAAACGTACGACAATTTTTTCGCTCCCCCTTGGAATGAACTTAAAATCGGACTTTGTTGCATGTTTGGACTTGTCGAGTAGACGACATTTTGTATTTGCGGAGCGCTTCGCCTAATCGCGTTTGGACTCGCTGGAGTGTGTTTTAACTCGGTTAGGGCTTTTACGGTTTCCGCGACGTTTACTCCTATGTTAGGAGCCGGTTTAGGCGAGTTTGACGGTTCTAAAAGAAAAGCTGGAGGCGGAGGCAAATTCTCCATACTTCCCACGGGAGTTAACGGTCTGTTTGTGTTTGTTATAGACGATGTTCTTCGTATTGGCGGCGGTGGTTTAGCTGTTTGTACAGAACTTCTTCGTAATAGTGTACTTCGCATTGTACTTGAGTATAATGCTAAAAAAAATTAACATAGAATTATAGAATAATTATTATATCGTTTTTTGATCATGCAAGTAATAAAATAATATAAGTTCTATGATAAAACGTAATTCTGTTTCGTCATAAAACTTTTTATTACTTTACTACCCATGCATCATTCCTTAAAACTAATTAGTACTAATTCTAAGAGGTTAATAAGTTTAATACCAATGCAAACCAATCAAACAAAAAAAAATTCACCCTACCTGACATAGAAACGGGCCTCCTCCGATTGGTGCTAAATTGATCACCGTTGATATTGCGTGGCAGCGTGCAATATTTGCTTGTAGCTTCAAATTCACACTGGATTTCTACTAAAAACACGAATGCATGCAGAAAACAAACAACGCAGCGTCTAACGGTGCGAAATTTATAGCTATTAGAAAGTGCATATTAACCCAAACTTAACAAAAAAACCCAAGATAAATAAAAAACATCGACCCAATTTTCTACCCAAACAAAAATCACTTTTAAGAAACTTACCATCTTGATTGCCCGCATCATCGACTGTGAACGTAGTTTGACTTCCGTAACCACTAGAAGATTCTAACGAGCTTTCGCTGGTACTACCATCTTTTTCACCCTCATTTGGCCCCTAGATTATGTTTACCAAAGGAAAAAATTTGAGGATTGGACAACAAAGACATTTTGGTTTTATTACCTTTTCTGTTGGGGTTGGAGCTGGAGTGATGAATTCCGCTGGTGGCGGTGGCAAGTTGAGTTCTTGTGCTTTATTTGCGGCCATGCTCGCTAGCTCATGCATGTTTACGTATGTCGGTTGTGGCATCACTGTAAGAGAATGGTTCAAATGTGAGTGTGCGTATTTACTTTTGCGGTGTATAACTTAAAAGATTGAAAGTAAGTTAGAAATATTGAATGTGTTTTTTTAAATAATATTAAAAGATTAGATGATGTGATTTTATTAACCATAACATTAACCTTGTTGTTAAAATAATAATAATAATAAAGCTTTTTGTTAAGCCGGGCTTATGTGTATTAAATAACAAATCCCAGATTGTTTATTTTTTGCTCTTTTTGTTTCTCTTACCTTTAGTGATATGGGGTGGCAAAGAGGTGGGCTTAACTAATTTATGACCATCGGCGTTTGGGGGCAAAACACGAACGGAACCGGCGACCGTTTTGACGGCCGAGGGTCGTTCCAAAGAGGAGCACCTTGTGGGCAAAGGGGGTTTGCTCTGAGTAGTCTTGGCGGTGATGCCGGGTGCACCGTCTACGGGCGTGCTGCTAGCGACCGGGCTAGCCGGTTGCGACAGGCTGTGCTCTGGAGCTTGGAATGTATATACCGTTAGTGCCGGCCTCTGGTGCCCCTTTTCGTAAGCTAAAACCATGACGTAAAAAGATGTACATCTGCGGTGGTCTTGTGCAGGCAGGTTCGAACTACTTGGAGCGCTACCATCGACATTACTTTTTGCAATAAAACAATATTTAACATGCAAGAACACTCAACGGTGTAATAATGACATGCAATGTGATTATTATTGATGATTTCATTTTGTAATTGTTATTTTCGATGAACATCTTTTTATTTTGATTTCTTCTCAAAAGATTTTCCATGAAATATATATGTTATAAGCTACGATAAGTTTAAGTTACCTAATCACCAATTATTTTCAATCCTGTTTTAGTAACCCAAAAAAAACTACATCTTATTCTAAAACTAGCATTTAAATTATTTAACAAAAAGCTACATACAGGAATTTATCGCTACCTTAAACAACACTAAAAATTAATCTTTGTTACTTTATGCTAAAAAATACCTGATGATATTGTATGAGGTCTATCACCAACAATAGCATTAGCGGCACGCTCAAATTGAACAGTTTCTTGAAGATTTGGCCACGTGGCAGTGCTATTGGGAAGAGTCGTTGCAGGAAATGGTGTGCATGGTGTGCTTGAACTGCTGCTATTGTTGCTATGTTCGGACATGTTTGATACCTGGATAACATAAAATCATAGAAAATTAATATTGAATATGTGGGTTTCGGTAATAAAAAGGGAAAACAAAAAAAAATTACCTGGGCAATACTAAGAGAGGAGGGCGGTCTTGGGTACAAGGTATCTTGGGATGTGAAGCCCGAATCTTGGCTCAAAACTGAGGTGTAACGCAAGGTTCCGGACCGACTAACAGGCTACTCAAAATAAATACAAAAACAAAAAAAAATAAAATAAACAGAAATAAATAAAAAGTTGTAAATTAAAATAAATAAATAGAAATGAGATACTAAATATACAAGAAAAAGGATATTTCGGGTTGATTTCATAATCAAAAAATTTCTTAGAAATTACAAACATCTAAAAAATTTTCAACTATTTTAAATACTTCGAATAGAAATTTCTTAATAATGTATACTAGCAATTGTAGACCTAAAAGTATTCAAAAAATTGCTCAAATATTATAAACATTCAAAGGATTTCCAATAATTTTAAACCATACTTGGAATAACATCTTATAATTGAGAAACTATTGTTCTCAATTTCTAATAGTTTCTAAAATTGACTGTGTTTTATAAATTGAAGACTAAAAATATTTTAACATAATCCATACATTTAAAAAAAATGTGGATAATTTCGTACACTTAATTCGATGGATTCAGACAACAAAGGGTAATGAAGCTTTACATATTAGGTAGCAAAGGAATGCATTTTGTCTGTTGGCATTCTCTGGCGAAAGCAAGAGTAATGAGTCAGTAACGAACATTCCTCGCAGGAAAAGCGGGAATTTCGTGAAAAACTTTTCAAGTGAAAGATTTTAAGTAATTCAAGTTATGAAGAGAAAAGTATTTATTTTAGTTTGATAAATATTTATATAATGAATTAATGGCTAGGATTGTGGAACGAGTGTATTGAATAAACTGTATTAAAACTCATAGTTTGGAAAAACGGTCAAGGACGAGAAACTCATTCCAACTAATAATAACACATCTCTAATATTCATGAAAATTTTGAAACAGAAATGCATAACTTCTAAAAAATCTTCTAAATCTTTTAAACGTGTGGAATTTCTGTATAAACAATGGAAGAGATCCTGATTATAGCAAAAATTATCGTAGGATCAGAAATCACATCATCTCCAAATTATCATGGTCTATTAAACCTGGAGTATAAATCATATATGGATAATTGGAACACTGAGATAGAACTACCAAAGAAACTATGAGGTGTACATCCTTGATATGTCACTGCAATGATTTATATTCCTTCTGATACAAAAATAACTTGTCTAAAAAGGGTTATTACATTGAAAAAACAAAGTAACTTAATTGAAATAGTGTGTAAAAAGAAATAATGATGAGAGAAATATGATGGAAGAAGAGAAATGACCCAAACATTCAGTGATCTGAAACTATTTTGAAATCCTTGAAAAAATTCTATCCTATTTATTCTGCAAAATAAATTTATTGATGATGTAACTTAATGGACTAAGAAATACGGTTATTACCGCTTGATATCATTAGGTAATAACCACTCTCTACTCTGTAATAAAGTATGATACAGTCAAATCGCAGAATTTTGAGATTTCTCATATGGCACATCATCACATTCCATACACTATCTATACACCTCTTCCTATCTCTATAAAGAGGTGATCCAAAATTCATTGCGTGGGGTTATCACGTATACAGATGTTCCCAACAAACAGAATAAATTCATATGTTATGTTTTAATAGTGAATGTAATTAAGAACTAATGTTTAAAATAAACTTAATTATGGTAATTATTTTTGGTAAATACGATAAATTATTTAATATTTATACATATTTTTTTACAGATTTTTCTCAACTTAACAGTAAAAGTAATAAAAATCTGCGACCTCTGTCAATTCACTTATTTATAAATATGACGTTATAGAACTTTGATTTCAGTAGGATTTCTAAGCGCGTACTGAGTAAATTTTTTTGTACCCAGTTGTATTTAATAAAATATTAAATAATACATAGTTGATATCCTTGAATGTTTTAATTTCAGGTTTAATACGTTGAATACCAAAAAAGTTTGGTGAAGAGATAACTTGTTAAAAAAGTGAGTAATTGTAAAAACTAAAGTAGTGAGAACAAATAAAAATCAATCTTTTTATGTAAATTCATAAGTCACATTTATCAATAATTACAAAAACATCAGAATTGAAAAGGTGTGATTTCTGTAAATTTGTGTGCTTTTATAACAATGGTCTTTGAAGAGATGAACTCTACATCCTACGTAGACTTAAATGATATGCAATCACAATCAGACAGCTTTAAATTTATATTTGTGTACATACTGGCTGACAAAGTACAGTTGCTTTTAATGTTATTTTTATTACATTTGAAGTCGAATCCTAGAAGAAATTGCGAAGCTGAAAGTAAATATAACAAATATGCTAAAGCTTTTGGTGTGATTGCAGACAAATAATAATAGATAAGAAATGAGATAATAAATGGTCCAAAAAATTTCCAACTCCATAAAAGGTTTATTAAAAATAGTTCTTCATGAATTAATAATAATATTTAGCAATTATTAGTGAAATCTAAATCTTCATAAAAATTTATAAAATATTCAAAAAAACAAAGCTGCAAATAAGACATGAATATAATCCAGAAAAAGTTATTTATTAGCATCAATATTATGAATTCAACCCTTATTATATTAGAGGTTACGGTGAATAAATTACCTGTGATAAAGATCTGTGCCAATGTGGATGTGATGGAGAATGATGACTTTTAGAGCTTCCAGATGAGGAACTATTCAATGAACTGATAGAACACATCGAAGATTTTCTAGACCCCAAACTAGACGGGGAAGAAGGTGGTGTTTGGAATGACCACCCGCTATCGGAACTTTTTAAATCTGCAATAACCTGTTCTGAAGCTGGTGGTAAAGTTTTAGGATCAGCTGTGTGTTTATCCAATTGTTGAACGACTTCTTGAACTCTTGATAATTCTGATAACATTGCAATTTCTTCATCCTACAATAAAAATATGTATTATACCTTCTTTTAATAAAATAATTAATCGACTAACCACTACAGGTTTAAGAAACTCAACAAATGTACAAAATCGATTTCTCTCTTCTAATAAAGCCGCTCGAACGGCTTGTTTTTCAGTTTCCTCCAAAAAATGTTTCCTCTCGTTAACATCTTGAAGACCATATTCCAATCTTTTTTGTAAATCGCCCCCGGCTCCTTTACGCATTTTCTTTTGTAATCGAAGTGTGTCGGTCGATCTCTTCTTTAATTCAGCCCTGGCCTTTTTGTATTCCTTCGCGTGTTCCTTGTCCAGCGTAAAGACGGTCTTCTTCCAATCTTCGAGCTTCTCCTGCAGCGGCACCACCAGACAGTCCATTATAGCACTGAAACCAATACACGTTGGTAAAACAATAGGTCGAGATATAAATAGAATCGGCGGTTAGAGAGAATCTCTTTAATCGGCCAACAGCAAGTTAGACCACAACAAATTACTAAAATCGGTTCTAGTGAGTCGATGAACTGAACAATGGTTGCTGGCCCGTTTGGCCACGGTTAATATCTGGAAAACATGCGATCGCATGATCGCGACGATCCGTTAGAATCAAGAATGTAACACAATTTAACATTTTAAAAGTGGTTTTAAATTGCACAAAATGATCAATTAGCAGTGAATAGCATACATATTAAAGTTATAATAACGATCTTTTTATTAAGATTTTTATAATATAATAAGATAATAACGTTTTAAATCAGCTTTAGTGATCCCTGAAATATTCTTAACCTACTTTTTGAAAATTACATTGCCTGGAATTGTAACCGGTTGTAAGGTTTAATACCCGCATTTACTTTACTAGGTGACCAGAAAGATAATATTGTGGTTTCCGACTCAATAATAACATGTTTCGAAGCAATTAAAACGTGCTAATAACCGAGAGGTATTAATACTTGTTTAGTCGTTAAAGCAGGTTTAATTTGATTCCTAACTAGCTTAGAACCCAAACAAGTATTGTTTCAGTTTGTTGCCATTTAACAAAGATTGCTTCATGAATTTTTTAATCAGAAATTAAAACTTTCATTTTGTAACCATTTAGAATAGAGAAATAACAAACACACACAAAGTAAACACAATCGGTAATTTAAATGTTATTGACCTATCGTTTTAACAATAATTTATATCCATTTTTTTTCCAAACATGAACGTTTCGCCCACACAAATTATTTGTTTACGCGGACCATAAAACGGTTCCCCCATTTTACGACAAGCAACGATTAAAAATCGTCGTTTTCAGACAGCTTTCATCAACACGCACAACAAGAGCGCATCTGTCCACTGTTTATTATTACATAGGTGTTTATTTAATTTAAGTTTCCCAACCGTGAATGGACGACTTATGTTTGTCCCTTTTGGTACTTTGTTTAAAAAAAAAATATTAAAAAAAAGCGCCGAAATGCGATAGCGTTCGCTTGCAAGTCAACACAATACACAATTTTAGCGATACGCACGTTTTCGTAACACGATATTATTGATAGTTAGTTATTTCACGACGTGAGATACCACCACGTGCCATATGCCGGGGCAGAAGCTGGATGCAGGACAGATTGCGGACATGATACGGTCGAATTTAATACTTTTTATAATATTATAGGAGGTATGTTGGTCCCACGTGTGCAATATGCTATGGTGCACTCTCGTTTTCTTTTTTGCACGTGTGGTAACACGTAAATTGAACCGGGTAAAATGCGCATTGGACCGTGGGCATGTGGTTACACGTGAAAGGAAAAGACCCCTATCAAATTTTCTCAGGACAATAATGGATTTTTTTTTTTAATTTTGCATATTTTCATGTTCCAATATTTTACTTGTTTAGTATTATATACACATTTTACGCAGTTTAACAATTGTATTCATTGCACGCTTATTTTTAACACGTGTTTATAATGACGAAAATAAAATTAACATAAATTATAGATTATTGTTGCGATCTTCATAAAAGCGCACCTAAGACATTTGTTATAATATCTAAGAAAGGTTAAATAATAAGAACAGATCATCACGAGATTCATGATCTCATTCATGGCAGAATCGGTGACATTACGAGATTGCTTCAGTTAACAGTAATACAGTCATAGTATTGATTCGCGAACTCTTCCACGAAATCTTGTCACCTCCTTTGATAATTTTGTTTTAGAATTCGGTACAAGATTTCCAAAAATTTGTATTTATCAAAATGTTAGTAACTGAAACCATTTAATACCACAAAAACAAATTAATAAAGTTTGGTGAAAAGAAATTAACGAATATTTTTTAAATAAAGCTACATGAAAATTGATATGTACTATATAATATCACATTCGTAATGCGCCACCAAATTTTTTCATTTAACCTTCATGTACTTTTGCAAAAAAATGAACGATCAGGTAGTGTTTCCATCATTGGAACTTGCAAATTCGGGATTTTCTATATGTTTTATCCTAACTCTTTTGGACTACTGCTTTGCTGCTCTAGTTGACATACTTTGTCCCCCACTTGCAATTTAGGGCTAAGCAGAAAGGACATAGCCGAATACAATAAGTTGTACATACTCTCTAAATATGCTGTTGCTGTTTTTATCACATGCGGTCGTTGTACAATAACAACTTTGATTGGAGCATCAAATTGTTGTAATTTATACTCATTTCACAAAGCATTTGACAGATTGGATCATGAAATTATATGTGCAATAACAGTTTTAATTCTACCACATTAACTGCTAGTTTTAACATTCCACAAGGTTCTGATCTGGGCCGGCTCCTCTTCCAATGTTTATTGAATTAAGAATTATCTAATTTTAAAAAAAATCATGTATAATATCATTATAGCATCTCTTAAAGAATGTCTTGCAGTATTAAAAAAGTATTAAAAATCTTTACAAGCAGTTACATTATGAATGACAAAACTCAATAAAAGTGATTGATATTGTTGATAAAATTATCGAAGCTGTTGTTAAGACAAATATTTTAAAAATTATATCAAACTAAATAATAATGTTTTATTTGTAGGGGTTATAATATAAAACAGTTTTCGTGTGATTAAAGTCTAGAAGGGTACCAAAAAGGTGTTGAGTCCCAAACAGATAACAGTAAGATCTAGGATTACTGCGGAGCTTTATAAATTTATCAAGGCTTCTATATCGGAAAAATTATATTCCTATAATCAAAGAGGCGGTAAAAATGAATAAATTAGAAGGAATTTTTGATATAATTGTGGGACCCCTATTAATTAATATTAATGCTTTGATCGATACCAGCACAGCTGAGACTTCAAACGATGAGAATTTAATGTAGCACGACAGATTCAATTATGTAACACGATTAACATGGATAAGTATTAAAAAAGTAACCTACAATACAGTTACCTTGCTAAATCGGATCATTGAACAATGTCAAACTTAATTTATTAGTTCACAGAATTGGAAAGTACCTGAGATTTTATGTTTAAAATAATTATAATATATTAAGTATTGTTCTAAAACAATACAAAACCAACATTAACTAACGCAAATAAGTAAGGTAATTCGTAAACTAAATGTATCATTAATTTTACCTTTAATTTATTTTTTGTGCTTCACATTTTGTAGTTTATCCCTGGTAGGTTAAAATGATATATTATTGTTATAGAAAACAAAAATGTGACACATGGTGCAAATAAACAAGTTTACCCATATCGATGGTGTTTTTCCAAAAGGGCGAACGCGCCATTTTTCAAAATCACTAAAAATTACATAAAACTACAAACAGTTAACTAAAAAACCAATTTTTTTGGATATTCGCCCTTTTTCCAGATAGGCTTTTTAAAGAAATGACTATTCGCCCTACATTAGTCCTTTTGTTAAAAAATAAAGTCCATTCGCCCAAATCACTCCATTAATTTATTTTATTTCACCATTTAAAGGTGGAATAAAATAAATTAATGGTTTTAAATAACGGAAAAATTTAAAAAAAATATATTTCAAATTAGTATAAAAATATATTCACTTATTCTACTCGACCATATTTTCATCTTCTTCGTCTGTCTCCATCAACCTATGCTCTACGTGTGGTTTATAAGCCATAGAAAGAAACTCTGAGTGATAACTTGCCGGTATAGTTCCATTTGTGCATAATTTTCGTAAACCTATATATTTTTTTGCAGCTATTGGCAGTTTTATTTTATAAGCTCTCTGGGGTTTATTTGCGTTTGCGGACAAACTTCTTCTAGCTTTATTTTCAGGTAGGTAAATTTTAATAATGGCGAGCAATCAGTAAAAGATGTTTTGCAAGTGAAATAATCCGGAGTGTCTTTGGTGAAAAAAACTCTTCTTAACATTCTCATTTTAAGGTTTGTACCGCCCTCCGTTTTAAATACTTTTGGAAAATTATTGTCAGTAAATGACTTAAAACCAAAAAAATCCTTGTGACTCAACGTAAAAACTTCATATGGTCTAGGTTTATGTCTAGCGTTCCTAATAATAGTAGGCCATTCTGATGGAGCAAAAATTATTTTTTTCTTATGTGCTTGTTCGATGGTGCCGTGTACTGAATCAACAGGCATGTATGAGTGTCCCGGCAGCAGAAAATTGAGAGATATTTTTTCTAAATTTAGCGATAATTTAAGAAACCACTGAAGAAAACAAATCATTTGGTGGTTTTTATTCTGCCCTGCACAACTATCGCAATTTATACATAATGCTACATATTTCATTAGCCCCTCGTTTTCCATCAGATTCTCCCCAAAGATAACAATAAACATTTCTTGAAACGCTTTCGTAAAATGTTAGATTGTAAACAGCATATTTACTAGAAAAGCCAAGATAAAACTATCGCCATTCGGAGTACCCAAAACTTTTTGAAGATCAAAACTTGTACACAAGACCTCAGGATTATTCTGTCCTTTCTTCTGATCCTTAATAAATATTTCATTTGTTGATTTCTTCTCATTTAAATGTCTTTCATATTCATTTTGTTCATCCTTGGTTATTTGATCTTTATCTGTATTTTTGTAGTTCTCACATTTAAAACATTTGTCTTTTTTCGGTACATGAAAACCTATATTAAATTCCGTTTTGAATATTTTTTTAAAAACTTGAAGGCTGACTTTACAATTCAGTTTTCCCTCTTCCTGTAAATATTTCTCATAAATACGGTACACATTTGAGATATTATTAAAGTCGCTTGGTAGATATTTACGTGTAGTGTTTCCTACAATTATGCGAGGGGATTGCTGGGAGTTTATTAATAAATGATATTACTATATTGACATTATCTATGGGGGTTTTATTTTTTGGGAAATGTTTTCCACGCTTATCAACTTTTGAAGTTTTTGTATCACTTCTGTTAGGAGTATTGTTAGGAGTACTGAATATTCGTCCTTTTGGATAAACGTCTACAGCACGTTCGCCCAGAGTAAATTTAGTTTTTTTGCTACTAATTCCTTATTGTGATCCTAATATGTTCGGCCTTTTGCCGAAATGACCGTAGAATTCGTATATATAATCTGGTACATAAAAGTCAAAATCGCAAATTTGGCGCGTTCGCCCTTTTGGAAAAATACCATCGATATACTTGTTAAAAAAAACCTTTTTATAAATAACATTCACTTTTTTATTGGAACATGTTATCAAATATATATTCCAGATCTATTATTCTTGTAGCTAATAGAAACTTCAGTGCAAATACAGCTTGTAAAAAATGTTAAAAAACAGCATGAAAGTGATTTATAAATTCACTGATTTATAATTGAAATAGAATTACTAACAACCAACCAAGTTGGTTGTCCAAAGCACGCCATATTAAATTATTAATTAACTTGCTTGCGAAATAATGCTGCGGAACTTTAATGAAATTTCACATAATTCCTCTTATTTGTACACCAGAATTCCTAAAGTAAACCTTTAGGAATTCTGGTTCCTCGGATTCTCGGTACTCTACTCTAGTGTATATTTAATTGCAATAATATGCATCTAAATCTAATTTCCGGGTTAACCAATATGTAACTAATAATTTCCTGGTTTGGTTAGGTTTCTAATAGATCCAAAACCCGTGATATATATTACATGCCATTCATCCATAATTAATAAAAACATTTAAAAAAAACGTTATCTCAAAAAATTGATACAAAAATTAATTTGATAATAATTAGGTTATAATTAAAAAGATTTTTACCTCGTAAACGTTTTCATTTTCGCTTCTACGGCTTTCTGTCTTAAACAAATTCTCGTAAGGGCAGTTCCAATTTCTCTGGTAGCACCTGAAAACAAAAACATAAATAAATAAATAAATGAAAATAAACAAAATAAAAAAGTTGTAAATTAATATTAAAAAATGCAATCTCTTATTTTTCTTGTTTCATCAACCAAAATGAAAATAGGTAGCCAATTATTCTTACAAGCACTTGAATAAAGCACTTTTCAGCTTTTGATATCACTGGTAGTACCATAGTTCATTAGCTAAAGCTGCGCTCGCGCTTAAAAAAAAGCTCTCCCGCTTATACAACGGCCCTCACGTAAAAAAAGGCTTCGTGTTTTTTTTTTCTTAGATGCCTCCTGTTTAACGCATCTGTCGTTGCACATAGCGTCCTTGTTCTCTCCTCTTCCTGTATTGTCCCTGTCCTAAGGCGCAGGATCAGGTGCGTAAACAAGCGGGTCAACGGCTCCTGCTACTTTAATGTCGTCGTCGCCTGGGTGACTTTCTTACAAAGGTTTTCCTTCGCCACAAGAAGGTTGATTTTCGCTAGCTAACAACAGCTTGTCGTTTGCGGTTTGTTACAGTTCGTAAGATACGACGAGGCAAACACCACATGGGCCAGGCTTTAAGAATTTTAAGAATGCACGATAATAAAATTATTTTAATTGGGTTGTTAAAATGTCTTTTGTTAACTTCCGGTTATTTATGATAGAAAAATTCGTTATCGCTTTTTGTTGGTGCATTCGTAGGAAATACAATGAGTGCCAGAAATGATTACTGAAAATGTTATTTATTATGCATTCTATTTTTGTTGGTTTTCGCTATTTTTCCAGGTACAGATAAGCAAAAAATATTTGATCATAATCTACTATGATTTACAAAAACTCCATCTGTTTACTGTGTTTTGAAGTAAATTTAGCCTGTATATTAAACAAACTTTTTTGCAGATGTTTATTTTACTTATTCCACTAAAAGTTACGTTTACAATTCGATTGCTCAAAAAAAATCTTTTAATGTTTCGTTTACAAGTTCCTAGTACACGAAAATAGAGCATTACATTTAAAAATAATCTTAGGGGTTATTCTTTATTCACGGCGTTGCCCCAGTTTATAATAATCTGTGCCGCACCAGCAAACAGTTTTGCAATAAAAAAAACATGTGGCTAAGGCGCCTGTAACGATAAGATAACAATTTATGAGTTTATGAGTGAAACCGTTTATGAGTCATCCCGTATCACTTGCTTACTATTAAAGACTGATAATAATAATAACGATGCGATTCGAATAAAACGTTCGCTTCATCCAATGAACCTGAACAATTTCTGCGAGAAATAACTTCGTGGCCAATGTCCCTCGTTACCTTCTTAAGTTGTTATCGTTATGATATGAAATGTGAAGGACCGGTCAACACTAAACAGGAAATTGATATAGAAATTGTTTCTGAAAATTACCAGTTAACATTACTATTGTATTTTGAACGTAAAGTAAATTTGATACATCCTATTTACAAGATGTAAAACTCATTTACACCGGATAAAATTGCACGCCAAATCAGAATGGGCATAAATCAGTATTAAACCAATCGAGAATGTCTGCTGAGGGGATGTCAGACTTCGAGAAATACGATGGTTTATTTACGTGGACTTAAAACGTGACATTCGAAATGGTCGATTACTGAATTAGGGTCACTTACACAATTTAGTTAGCACGATTGTTCTTCGTGTCAACGACTAGAACATCGGGTTACTTTGGTTTAGACTTTTATAAAGAAGAAGACCTATATTATTCAATTGATAGAATGCACTAGAAAATTAACTGGTTCAGGATCGATTGAATAGTCACATGTTATTTAATCAGTTATAATAATTGTATATTGATTTGAATATGCATGTTCAATTGCATAATAAACGTTTATTAAATAACGTAGGCCTATAAAGTTTTCTAAAGTTTTAGATTTAATTGTTATTCAGCGCTAGATTGTTATATATTTTTATTGAACTAAAAGTGGAACTAACACTAGACCTAAAATTAGAAACATTCGGGTTTAGCCGTGAGTCAATTAAGACAGCTAAACCCGAATCTTTAGACTTTAGCAGAGGGGAGAGAAGGGAATGCATGTTAATCCTTGTCTTGGGAGATTCACCACCTATTGACCTAATAGTTAAAAGAAGAATATCACATACGGAAGAGGAGGGAATAAATGTAGTGGACACTATGGCAGAATGGGGAAATAGATGGAGAGAAAACACTGGGAAAGTTGGTTGAGCAGCCATGGCTGCTTCAAGGCACATCCATACTTACATAAAAGAGCTGAAAATGAGTTATGTATATAGTGCGGGCAAGTGGACGATGTGGAACACACCTTCTACCACTGTGATAGATGGAAGGAAATGAGAAAATTAGAGAAGAATTATGCTTGAGAGCAAGGTGTGTTACCTGAACTGGAAAGCGGGAGAAGATTGGATACGGCAGAGAGATGCGACGACAGAGGAAGAGAATATGCATTTGTTAAAAGGAAGTCGATACAGAGTCGCAGGCCGATGTCTTAAACACGAAATCGTATTCCAGCCCGTCTGCAGTAATCTACTGGAGGGTTATATGTATAAAGAAAAAAAGGGTTGAGTCGGCTTGGATTTGATTGGTGAAGCCAACCCAACCCAACCGAACTCAAGCCAACCCAATCGTAAAACTTTTCTGACACTGTACAAAACATTTTCAAACTGCTAAACACGAATGTTTTCAGTTCTAGTGTTAGTTCTAGTTTTAGTTCTTATTCAGCGTTATGTTGTTGTATATTTTTCACTGAACTAAAACTAGAACCAACACTAGACCTAGAAAGTTTCGGGTTTATCCGTGCATCTTCAGAGTCTTTAAACTGCAAATTAAACTTTTTTTTATATAACGGACACTCCCTCCCTTTCCCGTATTAGTCCATAATATCGAGATTTTACTATCTCTAAGTTAATCAAGGTTATAATTTAAGTCGAAAAAATATTCAAAAACTTCAGCTAAGAAATTTGCAGATGACATTGAAATACGATCTCAAAGAAGTAAGTTATGCGAACTATTGTAGTTATAGTTTCTTTGACCAGCTGTGCAAAGTTGCAATGACGGAACAGATGTGATCCTTCTAAATAGCTTTCTTTGTGTGTTCACTTTCCGCGGTCTGTAACAACGAATATACAATCGATGAGTAAATCGACATTAATAAAATCTGCTATGGATTATTCCAATAATTTACACTTATTTTAAGGTCAACGATTGTTTAATATGACCTTCGGATAGCGAGAGATTGATGACACCTATCATCCAACTCAAATTAGAATAGATTCGATATTGAATTTAATGTGCAAACTAACGGGATAATTGTTTTTCAGTCAAACATCGAAGTAATAATCTCAACACGACCAACGGACAGATGGCACTCTGTTTGTGAATGTGTGAGTGTGTATTGGCGTAACTGTCTGCTATATAACTGTTTTTGATGTGTCAGGACAAGGCGCACGAGTTGACCGAACGATTTTCAGTTCAAATATTAATACAATCTCTTTTTAATACGCGTTTCTCAATCGATAGAAGAACCTTTCGAAACCTATATTTAGACGGTTCCGTTAGGGTAGAAGTAATAAAGGGCTTGTTCAGACAACCAAAAGGGGTCGATGAAAGCGAAACGACCCGAAAACATTAATTAGGATGTGCTGCTCTATTAATATTCACGCCTATAATCCTGAAAAGTTATAGAGCGCTTAGTCAGTTATCTCTCCCGCCCGAGATATTAAAACGAGCTAAAAAGCGTAAAAATCGGCAAGGGTGAAAGTCTCGTGAATGAAGGAAAACGTAACAAAGCGCGGTTCGCTTTGAAAACAGCGAACGTTTTAATTTCGAAGTAACAGGTGCGTGTAATTATTTTTGTTTTCATCTTCAACGATCTTGATTTGAAATTTACCAGCCGTAATTATTAACTATTAATAAGAAAATTGTTTATGCTAAAAACACGTATAACTTTCACCCAATTTATTTTATTACTCGGTATTTTCATAATATTTACTTTATGATAGATATTTCATTTCGAAAACACTTTAAAAACAATGTGGTTTGATAATGAAAGTTGGAAAATAATAAGTTAAAAATAAAATCGATTAGTTTTTAGTGAAGTTATTACAAAAAAGTCTATAATAATAGATAAGTAAAATGACAAATCATTCATACGAATTGATTTTGAAGCAAAATTTAACGATTTTAGTAAACAAAATGTTACAATAGCTTTAGAATCTGCGTGTAGAACTGCTAAATTTAACTTTATTGAGTCTGGTGAAGCAATGAAAGCTTTTGGAGTGCGGTTCCTTAACACTTGAATGCGCATTTAAAAGTTGCCTAATGCAAGAACCAGCAATATACTTGTGGAATCTGAAGAAAGCTTTAGATAATTATTAATTGATTTATCATTCTATTTGTAACTATGAGAAGTAAAAATATTAAAGAACCACCACTTGAATTTGCTTTTATTTTTTTGCGCGCAGTGCGAATAACAATACGATTAAAGTTCATTGATATAAAACGTAATTATTACGATTTCCTGTAATATGAATCACCTTTGTATTGTTATCAACCAGTTCCTGTTATTTTCAATTAAAATTTATTACTAACTTGAATTGAGTTTCAATTATGTGCAATAATATCTCAATAAAAATATTAATTTAGATTTTTTTGTTGTAACTCGTGCACACGAAGCACATCGATTGACCCATTTCATAACAGTTCCAACAAAGGTTGTTGCACCCCACTGGGGGTGCCCTATCTTCCCTGACAAAGTATCGCTTCGTGGTGGCAAGTTCTCTACGAACTTCGTGACTCTTGCGCACGTTTAATCGTTTTCCGGCTAATCACGAACGTTGGTTGCATCGACGAAATCCCCGGACATAGTTTGCCCCGGTTTCGTGAGAACAAACCGGCTACTACCAAGATAATAAAAAAGGACTCATCAAACCCGAACACCTACTTTCTTTGTATGAAACAAGTATTTATCAGCTTAGATTTTTCGCAAGAGATTTCCACGAAACGTTTCCGGTATAATGAATGGGTCGTAATGAAAACTCACCTCTGGCGCTGGTTGCGGCATCTGCTATCTTCTGGAAGGCTTCCAAATAGGCCGTAACAGCCAAGATCGCGGCCCTGCAGCAAAAGTCGCATTGTCAGACATTACGCGTCAAACCGTGGCAATGACATTAAGTAATTGTTTACGGACACGTGCTTGCAAACACGGTCTTAACTCACCTTAATGTTGAATGTAATTTTGTTGCTTTAGCAATTAAATCTTCCCAAAGAGGCATACCATTCTGAAACAATAAAAAAATTCAATTTACCCAAGAATTTCTTTGAAATATTTTGATTCAGATTAGTTTTGTATTGTTTTATGCATAAATAAGAAACTGTTAATCGGTTTCAAATGGTTGTTTGAAGTGTGCTCCAGATTTCCGACATTTCCGCAGTAACCGAACAACGATTTGCGGTCGATTTTGAGCTCCGTTTAACGGGACGTTCGATGATTTATTGCATAGAACGAAGCAATTTGTCAACAGTTACGAACAAAACGTGATAAAACGTGGGATGTCGAATGCGTCACATTGCGATACAGTAGGCGGCCCGTGGCAAGTTTGAGAAGTTGTACTTCTTCTGTCATGTTCAACTTCACCCTTTACCCTCTCACTCTCGCAAACCTACATTTAAAATCGTTTTCCTATAGAGATGTGGACTATTGGCAACGTTGTCGGTAACATATTTGGGGTTAGGTAAGGCTACGGAAACAACCCACGGACGATGAAATACAGGTTCGTCGATGCATATATATAAAATGGTTATTTTCAAACGCGGTGCAGGTGTCTGTAGATGTTTAAACGTGAATGGCACGTGTAAGAAATGTGGAGCAATTAAAAAGTATTGGAGTATTTATCTGTTATCAGTTAATAGTAAACTGTATTGAATCATTGTGTTTACAATTACAATGGCTTTGTTTTAAATTGGTGGATTTAGTAAATTCATATGATGTAAAACGTGCTCGACTTTGTTACATTACTTCGAGCTATTTTTATAATACATTTAACATTTACTAATATATCTAATATAACCTAAGTACATACTCATTTTAGTGACACAATAATTCATTTCTTTTATCTTAACGTATTCTACCATTAATATTAACATCCAACATTGGTACATTAAAAATAAATAAAAACGCCAATTTTTAGTTTAGCGGTTGAAGATTTTGTACTCATTCGCTCTCTATGTGAGTAAATGAGATTGCCCTCAAGTCTCATCTACCCTTTTTTTATGTTTTTGTATATGATTTGATACTTGTATACACCATTCTGTTTGTATACTCTAATACGCAGACATAACCGTTGTAATGACACAAGATGGAAAAACTGGTTAGTAATCAGTCAGAAGCCCTAATTATTCTGTCATTTCATAGCGCGTATTTAGAATATTACTTAATTAATTAAGTCACCAATTTAATCAGCCCGTTAAAACTGTAAACAAAATTACGGAAAAGTACCGTACCTTTATATAAATTATCTATCCGAGATATATTTAACGATAGATTAAACTCTGAATGTGAAACAGTTATAGCAAGAATCAAAGAAAACTTATAATGTACTAATGCAGTCATGATAATTGCTGATATCTGGAGGAATACTTAAAAACCAGTGAGCAGTCTAGATTTGTACATGGAATGTTGTGCACACATTTTAATTTTAGTTAAAAGTTAAATAGCTGTAGCTTTAGCTTAGAAGATTTGAGTATATGGAGGATGTAAGTTTTAACAACAATACTTGATCCTAGATTTAAGCTTTAGCTTGTTTCAAAGCCACGTCAATTTAAGACAGCTTTTACAAAAAAAATGGCAAAAGAGGCTGCACTGCTACCAGATAATGAAGAATAATTAATCGATGCAGCCCTCACCCAAAAATAGTAGAAAGAATTAAAGGGAACCAAAACTTTAAAATATGTTTTCAAAATATCAATACATATAAAAACATCGATGCGATATTCTCCTTAAAAATTAGCAGTATAATTAATTTTATTATTAACTAATTTATTACTAAAACATACTTTCTAAAAACTCCATACTATTTGTCTTAAAACCAATTAATCAATCTTTGTTTTAGTAATTATACAAACAAAATGCCAAACGCTGAAATTCTTAAATGTTTTGTAATAGAAAGGATCTTCCACACAAACTTTATTCTGCGACACTCCATCAGTTCTTGTAATCTAATTAGGTTAAAAGATCAAACTTAAAAATCATTTCTTCAAGATATAATAGACTCATCAATTAAGTACTTGATTCAATAACATATGTGAATTAATAATTAATTATATTTTTATTTAATTATTTTCATTAATTTACCAAAGATAGTTTGAGAACTGCTGTTAAAGACCGTTCGAAGAAGTAAAAGGTGAATCGAACGTGCGTTTCTTAAAACAGAACTCGTAATAACGGTGATCGGACATGCTCGAGACATTATGACGCAGTTAAACCAATCGTTCAGATCGTACTTGCCATCTTTTAATAACTTTAACCGACAGGTTATGACCTCGTTATGAACATTTTCTTACATTTTTCTATATGTAAAACTACCATTGTTTTAAGTTGACATTTCGAAAATGATTTAAAAAATCTCAACCATTGTTTGGACACCACGCCAAGAAAAGTATTAACACCTAACCAAATATCCACCATATTTAGACACAATTATAACCATATGAATGAATAGAATTGCGTTTCCGTTTTTCAGTTGTATTTTAAATTTTAACGCAACTTCGATGCCATAAACACACTAGTTACAACATCTAATTAACAATGCAAATTGAATTAAAGTTGCGCAACTCTGCGTGAGCTGAGCGTTTTATTCGATTTTATTTATTTATTTTAACAAGGAGTAGGTACTTAATTAAGATTAAAAGTTATCGTTATAACAGAAAAAGTTCGTTTACTCCACGAAGTTGAAAAGAAAGTTGACGATAACTTGAAGTATACGAGGAAGAGCACAAAACCATCGGGTTTTCGCTCCAATAACCCTGCAAAATTATCTCCGCTATGGCTTGGCAATCTTGGCATGCTTCGCTGATGAAAGCAATTAAAAATCGTGCTGTTATGGCAGCAGTAGATGGATTTGAAAGAAAGGAAAAAATTAGAAAAAAAGTGAGTTTTTTTTAATTGTTTGGACATGGAACTTCCTGTTAAAGTAATAGTGATTATTGAAAATCCGCGGATATTTCCTATTGGGATTAAATTCCATTTCATTTCTACGGTGGAATCTCTTTTATATGCGAGCTGTTGTTATTACTGGTTCGCATACCAGAGCCTCTTTAAACGTTTGATAGTAGCTTCCTGTGCTAAACAATGGCAACAAACGTCCAGAAGCGTGTTGCATATAAATCAATTCACAGCAGCAAAACGGTGTTATTAGTTGCTCGCACTCTTCGTATTAATAACACTAATGATAACTGTATTTCGTATGTACACGAATATAAATTGTAAATGTTGACACGAGGCGACCACGGAATGCAAAATATACAATACAAAATAGACGAATTTAACAAAACGGACTCTCTTCACGGAAAATTAAAATATTAACACCGTGTAATTAGATTCAGTTACTCGGCCTCGCAAATTTAATCAACGCCATTTATGTCAGACCGAGTCGTATCGGCAACCCAGTTATTCGTATACTGAAAATGTAAATTTAATTAATACCCCGTTCCAGTAAAAAAGAATTATTTTAATTACGTTTTCGAATCGGTGGTTGACCGCCAATAACTTGAATTTCTAGCCGATTCACGTAAAAACAGTCAACTCTCCGTTATTAAGTTTTTGTGACAAACGGGTTTGTAACTTTAATTTAAAACGTTTATAAATACAAGAAGGACTACTGACGGTGTCTGTAATGGAGTAAACGTAACCGATATATGGATAGCTTTAAAATTAGATTTTATGTAGAGTTCTCATCACTTGCGCCATAAATTTGGGTCAATATCCGAGGTAATTCTCGTTCGTTACGATCAAGTGTCGACTACTTTATACAGCACTTAAAAAAAGATAAGAAATAAATTATTTATGTCGGGAATTGAGTGGTTTTTGGTTTGGAAGTATTTAGACAATTTCAATAATATAACTTAATACGTTATAAACACAAAATTTTTTTTTTGCTATATGTAAACTCTATTTAAAGTTGAAGAGTTTTGAGTAAGTTTCTTGATGCGTCCAATAGTTATTAAACAAATAACTTTGGTATTACGATTTCTGGCCTAAATATAGAGGAAATTATAAAATAAGGTAAATATGTTAAAGTGCTAGCAAAGTACCTCTTTTAGACCTAGAATGGTCCTAGGTGGGGTAATTCAACGTTTCTGTGCTTACCTTTTATTAATCTAAAGCTTTCAAGAAACTTTAGAAACTACGAACATAGTATCAACGTAGCCTCCTGAAAAGTACTCCAATTTCCTTATTCTTAATTAATTTAATTTCATAATTTTGAACATTTTGCGAAGTTAGATGAAGTTTGATGTCACTAATATTTTGTTAAGTTCGCGTACATTTTTTTTAATGATTAAGAAAAACTCTCTAAAGTTTTCGATATCGTATTTTTTCCTTAACGTATCCTTAAATCAGACTTTATTCTCATTAATATTACGCAAAAGCATTTTTCTGCTTAAAAATTTCATGTATAACACCGTTTGCCGAAAGCTGAGTGCTTTGTTTCGCATTCATACCCTCCTTATATGCAAATATTTGGAATACAATATTACCTAAATGTGTTATGTGTAAATATTATTGTCGGAAAAACTGCTGAATACTCAACGTTATTGGAAGCGTAGTAATTACGGAACTACTTCAAAACAATTTGAAGTAGTCATTAAAAACAAATACAAATAAAAAAGAATGTGTCAATTATGTTCAAAAACAAATTGGCGTACATTTACAAAATCGAAATAAAACAACAAGAAAATTAATCGAAAAATATTCGTTGTGATATGTTGATGAAAAAATTTTTAATCTAAAAACTTTAATCTATAAAAAATGTTTAACAAAATACCATATCAAATTTTTTGAAATCATTATTGATCTCATCACAAAAATTATCTTAAAAACATTACACTTGTGAGCTAAAATGTAGGTCACATTTAAATTGTCTTGAATTCTCCGTAAGCTTACATTACAAGCTTACATTTCCATATGTAAATTTGGAATATTTTCGTAGCTTATTTAATATGGAAATGTTATTCTACTTTTTATTGTGGAAAAATCAACAAATTTATATTTTAAATGGAATTCAACTTACTTGTTAGTGTTAATAGTAAGTCAAAAAGGAGTATGTCTTAACTAAAATGATAGTTAAGTTGATTTAAATTAAGGATCACTTTCAAATCGATTTTGTTCCACTCCTGCAATATCAGCAACTTCGGTCCGTTGGTGGTTGCATTGTATGGATTCGGATATGTCGTCTCGATTCATCCAGACAAGTTTCAATGGATTTATGTCAAAAACCATTTAATTCCTATTTATTCCAGATTTTAACTGACAACTCTTGTTGCTTGTAATGTAAAAAGGCATGGAATAATTTTCCAGAAATTGTGTTGTGTATCTATAAGCTGTTAAAGAGCCATTCTGTACACACAAATCACCAAATGGCAATCCTTTATTGATATAAACTGGGGCATACTGTTCTCCTAATTTTCTCCGACGTCCACCTAATTGAGTGAGGTACAAACATGACTCATCTGAAAATACTACTTCGTCATTACCTTTCCATGCCATGTAATTTCCAAAAAATTCAATGTTAAAACTCGTTGCTGTCGACACGGTTCTTTTAGCTAAGACTACATACACATAAAGTCTTGAAGCTGATCTGCAAACCGACTATCCCTTTGATTAAAAACTCTTTTCTAGCATATCCGGATCCTCTATTTATAATGTCTACACATAGCGATCACAATTTTCTACATATGCACATTTTGCAGGGAACATAGCCTTTTATCAACAATATTTACAATAATAGAATCCAGAGGTGTATAGCTTGATATATCAACATTATGAATAACAGACTATACAATCGATAAATTTTAGAGAGATGAATTAAGCGAAGACATTGATAACGTATTAATAAAGTCGGATGTTTGTCTGTTTAGTTCGAATTTCATCAAAATCTACCGAAAATTCAGTTTCATTCACAATAATACAAGTATTATTTGATATTGTTACAAGGTATTTTTCAACATTGAGAAAGGAGACACTTGGCAGAATATACTAAATTTTGGAACCCAACCCAACTAAGCAATAAATTTAAAGAGCTAGTTTATGCAGCGGAACAAAGACATATTTCGAACAGAATTTAATTTAGTGTTCTAGTTGCCATACAACGACTTCTCCGATGAAAATGTCAATGCTGTATTTTATTGTATACTAACAGGTGCTTTCAAAAAGAAAGGGAAGCATCAATGAAAATGGCTATAGACTTACAGGAGTGTCTTGCGTTAGTTCTATCTAACGCTCACAACATTTATACCGTGAAGCTATGAAGATATAATTACATTATTTATAATGCGACTGGAAATACATCTTGCACAATGGGAGACAAATCTAATTCTAGAGAGAGAGAGAGAGAGGTAACCGTCTCGTTTGATATCTGTCTATTGTGATAATGATATCAGAACCGCAACGTTACATTGATGATTACGTGTTTTTCGATGTACCACGAGCGATACATTTTTACCGAATTATTAATCACACATTTTTATATTGTAAAAATTTTATTCATTTATAAAATTTGGAGAAAAAGAAAGATAAATACGTTAGTAATGATTTTCAACTATCTATAAAGTTCTCGAGAATTAACAAAAATAAATATTTTCACTAGATTTTAGTTCAGACGAAAACTATATAGGTGATTAATGTGTACAAAGTTTTAGCATAATTGAGCCAGTAGATTTTTAGTTATCGTGGTTACCAATTACCAAATATTGTTCCAGAAAAATGCGACTGAAGTTTTTATAAGATACAGTTAATTTGCTAATCCAGGACCATAAACGGGTCATTCTTACAGGTCATATATATCATGAAAGTTTACCCTTTCGTCTCTGTGTTGCGTTGTTTGTGTTTCTTACGAAATGTGTCCTACTCGGCTAATGCGGATTTCATTGCGGCTGTGAGTTTGCAATTCTGCTTGTTAGCCAATTTTTACTTTCAATCAATAATCGTCAAAATTAGTATAGATCCCTTATTAAAGATTATGGCCGCCAAAAAGTTGCACTTTTAATTGTTATCGTTTTACAACGTAACTGTTTCGGAGTGAAATTCCAAATTAGCGGATTTAACGACTCATTATTATTTTGTGATTCTGCACCTACGCTACGTTCCGTTCGAGCAGCTCATCATGAGATAAGTCTTAACAAATAGGTTTTAATTTCTCCAAAACCTGTAAACTCAGCGGTGTACTTTATGAGAAAATTGTTAAATGTGCTGGCGAATTCAAGTTTACGCCGCCTACACCAACTGTCAGTCTTCTGGAGAGTTTTGATGTTGTGGCATTTCATGCGTGGAACTTTTATGATAGTACTTTGCCCCAGTTTCTTTGTTCATATCTTCCACAAACTCGGAATGTCTTCAGATAGCCAAGCACTTTCTTGCGAAAATTTGTTGTACGAAAGTTAAAAATATAGTATAACAAAGATTGGTATAAAATAATAAATCAGAATGGCCTAAAATTTTCTTTTTAAAGTTTCAATCAATACTAAATTACAAAAGCTAAAATTACGCTTTAATTAATGTAAGTTATCAAACAATAACTGAAATTAACGTTTTGTGGCTTAATATAGTTTAGCTCTTGTGTACAAATATAAATTGAAGCATACTTACCATTCCCTTTATCAACATTTACACTTGTCTTAAACAAACAACGAATATGTAATAAAACAAGGCAGTCTTCACATAGAAAGGAAAAGATAAAGTAGCGAAACAGATAGAAACACAGATAGGCGAAAACATATATAAAAATATTGCGTTAATGTGTTCCATCAAATTTGTTTGTAATTTAATAACATAAATTTAATCAAATTAATAATTTTAATTAACACACAGTTTGAATACCTTTGACAATCATTTCGTGAAAATTGATATCAACTTCCACAGCCAGAAAACTTCCATTTCAATAGAAATTGATATAAATAGTTCTTTAAAAGCATTTATCTTGAAACCTGACCTGATGGTGAACAATAGACTGGATAGATTAATTCGAAGTCAATGATAGTCTTGTCTACGCGAGTCTACAAGTTGACCGATATTTGTAAACTTAACGTGCTATGATAATTCTATTATCTGATAATCGTGTTATTTAAAATGTCTTAAATTGTTAGTATGTTTAGAATTAAAGTTCGGTACACCGAGCAAATCTATGAATAGTTTCAAAGCCCTCCACTCGCATCTGGTAAGCATTATTCATAATGTAAACATTTCAGTACGGCAACTACAACAAAACGGCAACGTACTGATGAAACTCGAGGGGTTTATGTCGACCGAGTCGACTGAAAGTGGTCATGTAAGCTCTACGGGTCTGAAGAAGCGGTTCTTTTGCGCCAATTGGGTCCAGTTTTTATTGCAAAACCAGCTGTGTATACCGTACACTGACCGTTCCTTACATAACTGTCTCCGTTCCTCTTTTTATGCCTCTCTTTTCAGCAACCTTGACATATGCTCATAAACCGAAAACCAAAATATAAATATGTCAATATTTAAATAAGGCCCGGTCATAAATAAATAATTTATTATATGAATTAACAATGAATTTATGTTCTTGAAATTTTATATAACGTGGTCTTCAACCGATTTCATTTATGTAACTTGGATCTGATACAAACATAAACCCCCATTTTTTCAACAACCCCAACTTACCTTCATATCTTGTATTATCTGTTGGAAAAGACCGCCTAAGGCGCCTGCTTCTCCTCGTTCTACGGGTACCTCCATGTTCGACACAATTTAATTTTCGAAGTATTTCGCACAAGAAATTAAGAAAATCACGTTGCTAGTTGCACCTAGGTTAAACTTTAAAAAAATAACACCTCTCTCCGATCAGAAACGACGATTTCAATCATTGTGTATGTAGTAAAAGGAGATTCAGTTCACGCAGTTTTTAACTGAAAAATACGACACTTTTTGAAGACTTGAAACAGTTCATCACACAATTCACATAGTACATGAGTTCCTTGATGATTTTAATGTTCAAGTTCATTCAAGAAACATTACGAACCCGTCGTTCTCTTGCGCTAACGTAAAACAAACAGGCCACCATTACTGTTAACTGGCATTATGTTTTCCAGCTATACAATTCTGCCCCCTCCTGATGGTTCTAGTTGAAATTCGCGACATCTAACGGCAACACTTTCAACCAACAATTCAATCAATAGTATTCCAAAAATTTCCACTCAAGATAAATTTATTACAAGAAATTGTTTGAATTTGTATTGATAAGTTTTGTTTGCCTACATATTCTTAAAATATCGATAAGTTTTTTCGACAATAACTCAAAACCGAACTTTTTTTAAATAACCTAAAATAAAATTTTTAATTATATTAGTGAAATGTTAATTTTCACCTCTTACTTTTTTGTTAATCAATAAGCCAGATCCACAACGAAATTAATTGATTATAAATAGATAATCCTGGATAAGATTTTCAATAATATTGAATTTAAATGAATTCGAGGAACAAACCGTCAATGTCAATTTGAGACCAACTTGAATATAGGCAACCCAAAAAGTTTATTAATTTATCTTTTCTGTTTAAATTTTTTTATTTTATTTTCATAATTCTCCTAAGAGATTACTTAAACTAATAATAATAGAACAGTATGAAATAACAGCAAATAATACTTATAATTTTTTTCACTGTTGTTCATTTATTGAAGTATTAATTTCATAAAAATCGCAGTTTAGCCAACCTATAATAAGATAATTAAGCTTTTCGAGCTTTTGATTAAAATAAAATAATAATTAGCTTGAGTTATCTACACTCATCTTTCCCACGTTAAGCATTTGCAATACTACAGATAATCGATATCAATTGGCAGAAAATTAATTCCTGAAAAGCTTTTAGGATACTTTGAAAATATGCTTGAAGCATAATAACCGGTATATTTTAATAAATGACATGTAGACTGAGATAATCTCCCACCATCCCTGCGTCCCAGTAACCGTAATAACGTCTTGCCAATGTCATTATTAGTCATTAAATTTTGATGTTATTGGCTGTTTATATTTCCTGTTAATACCTCTTACCATGAACACCATGGCATGGTCCACAAATTGAGGAGATCGTCCTTGTCCACAATCAACAAAACCCTCGTTGATATCTAATTTTGAATCATACGCCAACCAGGCTATAACGTCATCTCATCAAAGAGAAGGCAACAATACCGATCTTGAGGCGTCATGTTATTGACCTCTTCTTGTAGGGCTTCCATTAACTGTAGATTTATTCATACCCCGATTGGTACTTGACTTAACAAAGTCAAAAGCGACTTGGCAATGCAAATATTGTTCGCAGTATCTTGGACTAGTTTTGAAAATTGTTAAAGCTAATATTTTGTTTTGCAGTGTAAAGCGTCGTAATTGGCTCTTTTTTTGTTGTTGTCGTTATTAACTGACAATGAAATTGGATGTTGTGTCACTCATTCTATTTTTTAACATATTTTCGGCGATTTCTATTCTTTTTGACTTCGTGGAGTTGATATAATCTAGTTGATTGTAGGCAACCCAAATCACAATTTATTTAATTTTTTTTTAAATATAAAACCTTATTTTTTATGATTTGTGTAAAATGTTAATTAATTAATATAATATTATTTAAACTAATATCCCTTTATTTTTAAATTAAAATAAAAGTAAAATTAATTAACTGAGAAATCCATTAACATGTCAATGTCAACTTGACAGAATAAGCAACATAAATGAGAAAAACATAACCTTAAAAAACATTTATCAAGAATAGAATTTATTAATTTTTGTTTATTAATTAATTTAGTAGTAAAATTTGTATTAAAAATGGATAAAGAAGACGTAGAAAAATCAATTGATAATGTTTCATCAACGGAAAAAGAGATAGCGCAAAACGTATTAAGTGAATTTAATAAGTATGATATAAACGTTATTTTAACCCATCTTAATAATAAAATGTTCTTAATTTTGTTGTAGGGATAATTATGCCAGTTCTTATCAACATATTAGTAAACTAGAAGATAGAATTGACTATGATTTTAAAGTGGCACATAACAAGATTGTTTTGGAGTATTACAAAAGTGATTTAAAAAAATTGGATGTCTTTCAAAAAAGTTTACTTGCTTTATTCAATAAGGTGCGTAAAAAGCCAATTTTAGTTTATATTTTACACTTAGATAATCATTTTTAGTTCCATTTAAAACTAGAAAAGCTTGACGATGTTGATCATTGTGCTTTGCATTACAATCAAGCTTTGTTATTATATCATCAAAGACAATATTCAGCAGCTTTAAGAATCATGGATCGTGTTTATAAATTTATTGAACCAATGGGTATATTTACTTTTTTTTAAGTTTTAAAAGTAATTTTATATTTTTTGTAGATGATATTTTATCGAAACAAGCTGGTTTACTTATGATAGAATTACAGTTGTGTATTAAACAACCAGAGAAAGCTTTATCATTTATAACTTACCTTCAAAATCAATGTGTGAATGGAAATACTTCAAATATTAAACTTTTATCAAAAACAATCACAAATACATTGAGTGAAAAAGAAGAAATTAAGGAAAAACAAGAAAAGGTTTATTTATCAAAAATGATATACATCAAATTAATTAAATTTTATTTAGCCTGTAGCTATTAATACTCCATTAACACCCGCTGCTGAAATATTTTTGAAAAAACTAGTTAAATATCGTGCAATGTGTTATTTAATGAACCATTCGTTAAGGTTGGCTAAAAAAGAAATCCAAGAATTCGGAAATCAAGGTAAAATGGTGAGTTGTTAAAAGGTTTGATATATTATTGGTTTGGATTTGCTGAAAACTGGATGAGAATGATTAAATATGTCGTTATTCCACCAATAATCTACAATAAAAAGGATTAAATTCAAAAATAATTTTATGAAGCATAAATATACTGAAAATAACAAACTGTAATCGATTATAAAAAAACCTGCAGCTGTATATTCTAATTTTTCATTTACAATTTGTAAAGAAAACATTTCTATTTGATCTTTAACATCCATATCATCAGTGTCAATTTGATGTAAAAGTCTTCCACTTTTATGTGCCTACAATAATATAGAGAATTAATTATTAATTTTTATTTTTTATGATTTAGATCCATTACTACTATCTTTAAGCTAATCAAGATTTTTACCATGATTAGAACAAGAAGTTGGTAGTAATGGACCTGTTGAAAGTTTACTGTTTCTACTGTAGCATGACAACTTCGACATAAAAATAAACAATCCACCACATAAGTAGAGCACATAGCGATAGCTCCACATAACGGTTTTATATTTTCAATTGTAAAATATTGCAAGTGGGAGCTAGCATCGTATAAACATACAATAATTGTTATAAAAGATACACCAAAAGACACCAAAAGCATAATTCCAAAAGCTTCATTAACAATCTTCGCTATTTTAGTCAATTCGTGATGAATGGGACAAATGATTCTTAAAATATTTAATTTTGTACTAAGCGGTTTTGTTAATTTGATTTGTGATATTTCAGCTTCTTGATAATCCCGGGTTTTCTTTAATTCCATTAAATGTTCGTTTAATATTTCGTATCGTTCTCGAATTAAATCGTTATAATTATACAGTTGTTGAACGACTCCCATGTTAATTAACGTTGGAAAATAGTAAGTTATATTAAACCCTAAAAGATTCAAAGACCACGCGTAATCGAATATAAAAATTTGCGCGCTAACACAAACGGCGACGAATAAATAATGTAGTGTTAATCTGTAAGCAATCTTCTTGTAAATGCTGTCGTAATAAATACAAACGCCCAATTGATGGAATTTTTTATCTACGTTCGAAATTCGGCTTAAAAACGTAATAAATTTTTTTTGATAAACGGCGGAAACTCCCCAGGATACGATTGTTTGTACAGCCGCTGCTGTGACTTGCATTATATCAGTTGTTGTAACTAATAAATTTGTTGAAGAAGTCACTAATCGTGTGTATAAGGCGTGGGCGGTTAATGTTAAATAACCAATCATTAAGGAGATGTTTATTCCAACATTTAATAAAGAGTATTTATATTCGTTTTCGTGTATTTTAAAACAAATTAATCCTAAAATTTTATTTGAAATTAGTAAAGGTCGGATTGCTTTGAAAAACGTTGCTCTTGCCATCGCGGCGCTTTTAATATTTTCTATTTTCATTGCGGATTAATTTTTATAAAAGCGTACTTTATTCGATTACGGTTATTAATTATTAACGTGTTATTCACTTAGCAAATAAGAGTTATTACTTGAAGTTGTTATCGTTCAGTGAAACAAACTTTCTTAGTTTTAAACAATCACATCATACAGATGTGTTATTTTAATTTATTATTTTTGTTTAGAACGTTGATTATTTATTACTACAAGCGAATTTTGAATACATGACTGGAAGTTATCAAGAATCTATGAAAATTTTATCTTCTATACCAGAAAATGCTTTACAGTACAAGTAAATAAATTATTAAATTTAATTATTTATACAAAAAATCCAAGAATTACATACACAAATTCAGATAAACCGTTTTAGTAACATAATACAAAACCTCTAAAATATAAAGCTAGTCTATGTAATTCTTTAACATACTCTTAAACTCTTTCTAAAACAATTTTTAATAAATCTAGCGAACACGGTGAATCATCAACAGTTATATTTTACAATAACATGGGTGTGATTCATCATTCTTTAGGAAAACCGAATCTTGCTGCACATTATTTTCAATTAGCTTTAAAAGAAGATAACGCAATAACACCAAAAGACCTAAGTAGACAAAAAAATCACCTCTAAAGTGTATATATTTATTATTATTTTTTTAGCTGATAAGCAATTATATACAATTGGCGGCTCAAAATATCATGAAATTATGTATAATTTAGGCATATCTCTTTTATACGCAAGAAAACCAGTACAAGCTTTTGAATGCTTAGTTGTAGCGGTAAGAAGATACCATAGAAATTCAAGATTATGGCTTAGATTAGCCGAGTGTTGTATAATGACTCATAAAGAATCGAATGAACTTGATTTTGATTTGTCTAAAAAGCGAGATGAGTATGTGGTTGAAACTATAGGTAAAGGAGGGAATCGAAGGGTGGTATTAAATACGAATTTATCAAAAGATAAGAAATATAGTACAGAAAGTCAATCGTATGCCGTTCCTGTTCCAACTTTAGAATTTGCGATTTTATGTCTTAGAAATGCTGAAGAACTCCTTCCTTCAGATACAGCTGTACCTGTCCCATTATTATTAATACCTGGGGTTACTCCACCAATGCCTCCCCCAAGTCCTGGACCAGCACCATCTAATACACTTTGTCCAGATGATCTTATTTCGTTGCGAAATTCGATTTATATTACAACTGCTTATGTTTCTCTTTGCATAGGAGATTATATTGTAACGTTGGAAAATACTAATAATTTATTAGAACAACCTCGAAAATCTGGGATTCATGTGTAAGGGGAATATTAAATTTTCTTTCATTTTAAATAAAAACTTGTTTATTGTTGTAGACTTTTAGCTCATTTATATGCGGCGGAAGCATATATATTTTTAGATAAACTAACTGATGCTATTGAGCATTTAAATCCAGAAACAATAAAAGATATATCTCATGAATTACCATCTGAACCACCAACCGGCGAGGAAGACATTCTTTTGAAAACAAACCCACCATTTAGTGAGATTTTAATATTTATTTAAACATTAATCAAGTTTTTTACAAATATTTTTTTTTAGGATGGTTTCCATCAACAACAGCAAGTGCAATAGCAACAATGCAGTATAATTTAGCTGTTGTAATGGCTATAAAGGGGCAGTTAGATCAAGCATTGAGTTTATTGAAACAAATTTGGCATTCTAGGAGTCCTAATTATAAGGTTCCTGCTCATATTATTATGTTGGTTTTGTATATTGAATTGAAACTCGGACATACTGATAGAGCTAGAATGTTGATTAAACAACATACTATGTGTGTAACTTAATTCAATTTTTATTAAATAATTATCATGTTTAAGTAATTTTCTATAATTAATTGTAATAAAATTTGTTTATAATATTTATGTTTTTTTTTTGTTTCGCTGTATTATGTTTCATAAATCATTTTTAATGACGCTTTAATTCTTAGCTTTTATAAACGATTTTTCTCATCTATGCGAATTATAAAGCAAAATTATAGAAAGACTCGTTTCAATTTGTAACCGCGAAAATACGTTCTCCTATAAATTTGTTAGGTCTAATTCCTTTCATAAAAGAGTTTTTCTTTAGTTAATTAAGTTTAATTTTCTTTTCCTTTATGTTAATTGAATTCATCATGAACTTTCGAAGTTCTATAAATATTCATCGTGTAATTGTATCAATTTACGCGAATCATTTAGATATTTGAAACCAACCTCGACCTCTTTTTATTCTTCCGAGAAAATTTCTATTAATAAACAACTGCATTGTTCAGATTTCGATTCTTATCATCGACGTTTATTATCACCTCGATATGACTATTTAAAGTTAATAATCAACGTAATCATTTAGAAATTTGAAACCAACCTCAATTTCTTTTTATTGTTATTAAAAGTCTTATGTTAATAAATAGTGGCTTGGTTCAGTTTTAGCTTTTTTAAAACATAAACGTATAAAATCTTTATTTATACTTATGTTTTTTACATTATTTTCTTTATCCAAGTTCTAAGAGCTTTTAGAAGGATGTATGACATCCTGTACAATTACCATGCTTCATAAAAAAAAGAACTTTAGATTAAAACTGTTCAAAAGTGAAGGCTGGTAAGAAGGAGCAATAAGAGATCCGACCAGAGAAAGGAAGAAACCAGTTCTACGTTGAAGACAAGCAACTTTAACAGCGAATAAGAAGAACAGAAAGATGGTGATGATGAACCTCTCGAAAGAGTTGTTCCTTTATTTCAAACAGGGAACACCAACATGATAGGAGCTTTGTCAGCACGTCTGAAGTTACAAATAGTTCTTCGGTTTTTATTGACAACTATTCATTTCCATCTGTCTTATACGCTTGATATGTAGGTCTTCAGGAGTACATAACGGTGATAAATAAAACATTTTTGAATGCATTAAACTGGTCAGCGGCGCTAGAAAAAAGACATAATTGCATTCATTTAACATGCTTCATTAGTGAGTGTATCACTTCATGTACTTTTATTTTCATGGGTCGCACATTAATGTATCGTCTTACTTGTTAAGTCATTAAATGGAATAATAGACACTGTTAATAGAAGCCTAGATACTGCTGATAGGACCAGATACTTAACCGCAGACTAGACACGCTTGGAAGAGATTAGACGTTGTTTGCGCAAGATTATATAGGATTGCAGAAGAGTGAGTTACACTTGCTATTGTTAATGGAATAATTGACAATGCTAATTCTAGCTAAAACAGCTGACCCAAGATTAGATATTGGTGTTATTCCTAGATACTACTAATAGAAGGTTAGATATTTCTGGTAGAAGACTAAATGTTATTAATGAAAGACAATATATACAATGTTCAGCGCTGTATGTATCGGTAACTGTATTGTCTTACATATAGTTTTGTGGCACTTAAGACGGCGATTTATGTTAGTAATACAAATTAGGTTGTTTTGTTTTACAGCTTTTTAGCAATTAATTTTTTTAAACTTATTTTAGGTGCCCAGAACCGACGGACGGCTTTAGGAGTGATGCATACATTTTTAGCCAATCATAGAATATAGCTTTTGCTGCCAAGAATTTTTGCACAGAATGCTGTTTTTGTAGCTGACGAGCCTTTCCACTATAAAAAAAACCGTGCACGACATATTAAAAAGGCTTTTGGAGTAATGGTATCACGACTTCGGATATTTGAGGTATCTTTGTATAAAGTACTCGATTTTTTGATGCACATGTCGTTTTGTACAATTGGCTCTGTACCTCAGGATACAACATCAATATAGGAATGACTGATGTGGAGAATCTAAATGAAGGTACGATTACGCAAGGATCATGGAGAGATCAAAACGGTCCAAAAGGTTTACCTGATATAACAAATTTAACATCGTTTAAGTAGTAACATTCGTAACGTTAGTTAGTTAGTTTAGTTTTTGAAGAAAAGGGAATGAAAAAAAATGAAAACATCAACTAATAATCTTTATGGATGTAAATTTTGAGTTTGAACTGAAACAAAGATTGAGAATAACAAAATCTTGAACTTAGTTTCACAAAGAACTTAACATATTTGCCATTTAAGTATGTAGGAATGAAAAATAAAAAAAACGTTATTTTTGGTATAAAAATGTATTGCTATATTAATTATAAACTGTTACAGCAAATAATAGTTTGTTTTTAACAGACGCTTATCAGTTACCTAAAGCTTAAAAAACAAATAGTATTTGATCGTAGTAATCTGCAATAAAATAAAATACTATATCTATATAAATTCATTTTTAAATAAAAAGTGCACTTTCTGACAGCCATCGTACCCGGGTAGGGTTCCAACACAACAACATTTCATCAATCGCTTTTAAAACGCGCCAATAACCATTGTATTAAACCAATTTTTCAAAGACATATTTTTTTCTCTTTAAAATTTTAATACAACATTACCGCTACAATTTTTTATTTTCGACGATCGCCTAATTTATAATATATATTATTTTTCGCTTGGTATATATTATAAATTGCTACTTTAGTTAATATGTAGAGAACAGGCTCTAGCCATAGGACAATGTAATACTTCTCGTTTACGCAACGGGGGAGGAAATGCTAGGTGTGAGGAAGATAACAGTACTATATGGGCTTCAACACTATTCTTATGTTATAAATGTATACGATACTGAATAAATGTTATTATTCAGTATTTTAAGGGAATATGTGAATTCTATTTTTTTTTTGTTTTTATGATAGATTTTTTTAAATCTTTTATTCGGAAAACATTGGGATTTTAAGCTTGGCCATTTGTGGTAATGTTATTGTTGCCATTGGTGAGAATTACACTACCATTTAAAATGGGAGTGCTGCTGCCATTCGGTGTCGGAAGTCCGTTTTGTTTAACTGGTGTTGTAGTTGGACTTATAATCGTATAAAATTCTCCAGTTACAGGATTTCTTTCTGGAAATAACGAAAAAAATTTTAGAGAAAAATATTATTAAATCATAATTAAAGTGCTATAACATTTCTAAAATTATAAAAAAATATATAAAAATCGGTGCTTACGTTTTACAACCGTTTTACCTGTGAGGACACGGGGACTTTTCTTGTCAGGTCTGCAATCCCAAGAGATAACACCATCACCAGTTACTGGGTTTCTCGTAGTTACATCTAATAAGAAAGATGTATTAATTTCTAAAAAGCAAAAATCAGTATTTAAATCCTTACCTGTTTTTGGAAGAGATGATTTTCTGCTTGGCGTGATAGCAGAGTCTGATGTTCCAAACAACCTCTTAAAAGAATTATCATGCAACGATCTTCTGGAAGTAAAGCTTCCGTTCATATGATTTGAAGGAGGAGTGCAGATAACGTTCAAAATATCGCTGGGCGGATTGCGTACTCTGTAACAATTAAACAAAATATAATTTTTATTAATCTTTTTCTTGAATGGAATTCACTTATATCTGACAAAGGAACCCGGGGAAAAAAGGAATGGTTGACCTCGCGAAATAAAGAAACCCACCAAGTCGTAACCGACCCGTCGACGATTTCTTATTCCTTTCTGATTCACCGGGTGGCAATAAATATAAATAAGTGGCTGAGACGGTTGTTGTCCTGAGAAAGGGACACAAAGAAGTTGTGGTAAATATACGCGCACGCGTGTATATAATAATGGGTTATCTCGAATATAAACGGGGCGTAGGAAGGACATGGAAAATAAATAGTCCTTCCTGTCTTTGCGGAATTCTCAAGACGATAAATTGAGCCCAAAGCGAATGGATTGGATCGTATCAGTAATTTGTAAGGCAAATTATCCGGCAAAACGTGTCGCGCCATTCTAATTAACATAAGTGGAAAGTGAAGCTCGACAAGACTTTTTTGTCAAGTGAAATGATCCAACGGATAGAGCTAGTCTTGTCGATAAGCGTTCATAATAGAAAGTAAGCGAGAAAGCTGTATGAGTGTGCGTTTCTGCTCTTCTTCTTCAGTCTACTATGCAAAAAATGACCTGTATTACTTACAAAAATAATAATCTAATAACACCGCGATTTTTATAACTGTTTATAATAAAACTTAATGAGAGTTTTATTGAAGTTTAATACGAAAAAGATTGTTACTAATTTGTTTTCAATCGCTAATATTTAGGTTGCCACATAAATTTAAAGACATAATGCTTTTATTAGAGACGATCAAAGTTTTTGTCTCTAAATGGTTTGAATCACGCGAAAAACAAAAATTGGAATCATGGAGCGATGTCACCAATAGGATCTTATTTATTGATTCTAAACTATAAATATATTTTCAAGTTATTAAACATGTAATGTAAAAAATTATAATTTCATTTTATGTAAACTCAATTTTAGATAGTAAAACATCTATATAAAACATATCGATATAACTGATGAAATCAATGAAAAATATACCAGAATCTAATACTCAATAACAACTAAAACTAGAACTAACACTTGTATTACAACTAACACTTGATCTAGAGCTAGAAACATTTGGGTTTATCCATCTTAAGAGACGAGCGGCTAATCCCGAATGTTTCTAGTTCTAGGTCTAGTGCACTAATCTAGCGCTGAACAACAATTAACACTAGAACTACCGTCCTTGATTTATACATCATATAGACAACTGGAGAAATACCCCGAGTTTATCTATGAAGACAGAATAGAGCAATTCTACTACTGTCGGTAATGGAAGAACACAAGCAAACTGAATCATGTGCTGAACTGCGACGGGAGATTGTTGGATTTAGTTTTAACTAACACTGAGCATCAGTTCGAGCTCGTACGTGATGACCTGCCTGTTGTATCTGAAGATTTGTATTATCCCGCCTTAAATATTGCCATAAATTTACTCGCGGCAAGTAACAATCAATCAATTTTTCAAGCTTGTGTTAGTCGTTATGATTTTCGCAGAGCTAACTTTTATGACTTGTATGGTGACTGCCTCGAAACAAATTGGTCTGGTTTCTTGATTAGTGCGTAGATGTTGATGATGCTGTGCCGTTATTTTACATGAAGATCCACGAACTATTGGATCAGTATGTTCTAAAAAGAGCGTATCATACTTCTAAATAACCTATTTGGTACACTCCTAAAATTAAAAATCTTTTAAAGTTAAAAGACTTCTATAGATCATGCGGAGTTTGGAAGATTGAGATATTTGCATAAGCAAAAGATCTCTCATTCGTATATAGCCTTTACAAGTAATGCTGAGCAGTCATTGAGTCATCGATCTTTGTAGCTTCTGGAATTATATAAGGCATAAAACTGTGACTACACAATTCCCTGACGAAATAGCTTTGAACGGGTGCATCTACGATACTCCCTATAACATAGATAATGGTTTTGCCGATTACTTTTCGGAAGTTTTTGGTTGTGACTCTACCTACGAGTTGATTGATTTGCACTCTATGTATCCATCTATCATTTTAAAGATTATCACCGTACAACAGTTTCTTGATCTTTTTAAGAAGTTGCCGAACAAACTGGCAACAAATTCCGGCTGGTGATGATAACATTCCAGTGTTCTTTATTCGTGATTGTAGCGCAATTTTTGCACTTTGCGTGATCATGAAGTTGTGATCTAAAGACGGGTGAGTTTCCTAAAATCGGGAAGCGATCACGGATAATTCCCGTTTTCAAGCGAGTATGTTTGGCTTTTCTCTTGGGCTTATGTGTCTTGTGTCATCGTATTTATCAGCAGTTTATTGCATGATCAGGTGTACCACAGGGCTCTAACTTGGGTTCACTACTGTTTGTAATATTTATTAAAGACTTATTAAACAGATTTAAGTCTGGTGTATTGGCTTATGCTGATGATCTTAAGATATTTCGTCCTATGACCTCGGAAGATGACGTGGCTTCGATGTAGTCGGATCTTCATATTTTGGTGGAATGGTGCGATTACGATCAGCTTAGGATTAATGTGGAGAATAGAGAATATGAGAATATGTATTATCTGTATTACATAATAACTTTTAATCAATTTATCGAGTTATCAAAATTATTTTAACATGGCATTAAAATACCATTCTGGGAAGCGGAGATTAAAAAAAAAATTATATTGAACCGTTTAAAATATCTCGTTTAGGATAACTGTAGATTGTTATTATGGAATTTACCATATGTTCTGGCAGCAATTTACGTTAGTAATTTGGAACGAGAAATGTTGAAGTAATCAGGCCGCTTAACCAATGTATATTACTCTTTATTTGCATTAAAACAGCTCTACCGGAACCTAAATATTTTACCGTTTTCTAACAGTAATCGTAAAAGTGAAGAAAAAAGTCTCTATTAGAGCATCTGATTTCCAATTTGCTGTGATGACAATGAAATCAATAGAAGAAGCCTTCTTAAGTAGAGCGTGGTCTTCCGAGTTTTATCTCATCGAGAAATTGGTATAATCATGCGGTTTAGTTTCTTTGTTAATTTTACCGTTGTTTGGTAGCAATTTAATAAGTTCATTGTCGGTTTTCTATACAGACCAGAAACTTGCTTGTTAACACGCTTCAAGATTATACAATAAAATAATCGGATTAAAGGTTTGGGCACGAAGATTATTATGCTGCTATTTATTATTTATTAAACATTGTATGCCGATCTATTCAATACATAAACTCGAGCATTGATAAATTTTATTATTATGTATTTATGGCAGTTGTATGTCAGAACCGATGCGGGAATATTTACATTTGAAAGTCACGCGTCCGGTCGGTTTCGGCCGTATTACAAAGTCATATTTTCAACACGACAAAATTCTGCTCAAGAGAAATACGTAATATGATACAGGTGAACTGTGTATTATCGATTGCTTTACCCCGAGGTTAACGCCCTGCACACTTGGACGCTGCTTTTAAGTTATACTAAGCATATTATATTATGGAGATATTCAATTTTTTTAAATCGGTTCTAACAGTAAAGGAAGGCAATTTACATCTGTATGTAAGACATACACACGCATAATCCGTGAAAGTTAATGTTTGAGTAATAATTATTACTGTAGTCGATGCAGAAATATTCAGAACGGATGGTACGTTGCATGGAATTCGACCTAATGACATAAATATTGATGGTAAACGATGAAAATAGATTGATTAGAACTCTAGAAAGTATGGTCATTAACAAAAACGTTTTCTGATTAATTTTAACTTGAAATTAATGGACTTTTAGAATTTGAAAGTTCGCATTAAATTAAAGATGATTTCAGTATAAGGCACTTAAAAGGTTAATAACACACGGGCGGCTTTAATGTTAGATTTCCGAGAGAGCTAATGATGTCTTGACCTCCAAAGATGGGGCAGAAGACCTCAAGTAATAAACGCTGCGTTCCTAAATTGCCCTTAATAAAGGAAAAAACATCGAGTGCACTGTCCTCTCGTAATGTACCTTACAATTACATTTCGTTTATTTATTTCATTATATCTCGAAATCTTCAAGTTTAATTCTTATAAGAGTTACCTTGACTTTGATAAATACCTTCTTAATTCAATCTCGTTGGTAATGCATTGTAATGCAAAACAATGTCACCGTATGAGGTGGGCCAACCGAAGGACATTATTTGTTTATGCATTCGACTGCGTTAGATAATCACGTAATTCGTTTTAATGCGAAGACAATACCGCAATTTATACATGCATCTTATGAATGGTTCGGTGCGGTAATGAGCGGCTTTAGGTGCATGAAGGCTGCGCTAATCGATGGGCGTGCAGCATCTTTGTTAAATTAAGGCGTAGGAGATGTGACCGAGAACCGGCCCATCGCCTTGTAATTTAAGTCAATAGTTTTCTTTACAACGCCAAATTAGACGCTCGTTTTAAATATATTCCTGTCGCAGCTTTCGAATACCGTCGGATTATTCCGGTAATTTACATATCCTCCTCCGTAACCGCGCTCCCATTCTGGGTCAAATCAATATCCGTGGACAATAGAAGGATGCGGATTGCTAAATCCAAGCAGCCCGTTTACCCTTGAATCAGAACAACGTCCCAGAAGTTCTTCATTAAAATACTTTGACGCGATGTACGCGACTTTCGTCGTTCTCTTCGCCCTGTTTCCTTCGGCGCGACCTGAATATGCCACCGCAATGAACGTCGAACAAACGACTACCATGTCCTTTGAGAGTGGAAACGACGTTTACAGGAAACTCTTGTGTTTGGTTGGGTTCACACGATGCAAAGAAACGTGGGTAATTTAACTTTAAGCGTTTTGTGCAACGATTAAATAAAAACACTTAACGATTTCAGAAAAAAATGTGAATAATGTAATAAAGCAATGCTCGATTTCTTCTCTTTCATAACGATTGGAAATCATCCATTATTACCATAGCGCAGCAGATGGGGTAATTACCGGCGAATAATTGCACAGCGAATTATAAAAAGTGTAGACCGATA